AAAGGAGGAATTTTGGAGTAGGAATCGCCGGAACCTTAGAAGACGACGGAGAGATTTTGAACAAAAGTCTCAAAGGCAAGTTCTAATCCTATCTCTTTCCCTTAGGCTCGTGTTCTTTACACAACTAATACAATTCCAGGATTTAATAAGGATTAAATAAGGATTTAAATTGAACTGTATTGCATATCCTGAATACTTTAAACTGATTGTGTTTCTAAGTTGTTTAATGGTTGTTTTAAGTCCTTTGTTGTTGTAATTTATGTTAATTCATGGAAATTGATGAGTAATAATTTTAATTAATTCTATGTTATGTTGGGAATCACTGAAATTTATTTAGATTGCAAGTTTGATGTGTTAAAACAGTTGGGGTTCGGGATTGCATAAACTGCTAGTATTAATGTGGGTAATTGAACAAAGAATTTAGTGGATTCTGGAATCAGTTGGAACCCAATTTGAACATCCAAGTGCCTTAGGAATGGAAGTCGGATCAACAGAATCAAGTCGGACGTGAAGGAGATGAAGGAACGGAGAAGAGCAGGCTCCATGTTTATATGGAGCCGGCTCTAGAGGTCTTGGAGCCGCCTCCATGCTTAGGAGAGCCGGCTCCAAGCTTTAGAAGAGCAGGCTCTTCCTTTGGGGAGAGTAGGCTCTTGGTTGGATTTTTGTTTTCCATTTTTCTGTAACTTTATGAGCTACGGAACTCGGATTTTGGGATTTTTAGTTTCTGTTGGAAGCTATACTGAGGTGTTTAGAGGTGGTCTAAGTATGGTTAAAATCCTTGAGAGAAGTTTATGCAAAGTAAAACAACTTTGTTTTAATGCAACAATGGACAATGCTTAATTAATCAGTTTACTGTGTTTCTGTTAAGAAATGATGCAGAATTGCTTAACACTTAGAATAGCAGTTCTTAGCAATAAAATTCTCAATTAAACCTATCCCAATGTTATAAAATAAGCGTGTGGATTTAAATGGTTTAATATGCTTATTTAGTCCTAAGTTGGTTTACAGTTTAGATGGGAGGAACTGCAAGATATTTAAGCTTTGGTATTAAATTCTTAGTGATGATTTGCAGTTAGTCATGTTCTAGAATTACTAAAAATAAACCTGTGAACATTTATATTCTATTATGGTTGATTAGAATTAATTGGTTTACATGTATAAACTGTAATATCAATTAATGGACCTTGCAGAGTAGTATGGATTAAGCTTGTTAATTGATAATTATTTTATCATGCTTAATATGGAACAATTGATATTTGTACTTAGTGCTTTATTGTCAATTGTGGAATGTATGGATTGGTTGATAGTTATATTTTTATTTATTCTATTAACTGCCAGATGGATTGGATTGTATGCACCGGTATGGGACGGTGACATACTAGGTTTGGATTTGGCTCAAAATTGCTATATCCTACCTATACGGAATAAGGGAATGGATTAAAAATAAATCCTACTTATATTTAGGCTAAGTCAAAGAAGCTGCACAAGCTGAATGACTAGCTGGATTACTGGTTATCTATGTTAAGTCTGTGCAGTTGAATAAGCTGAACGACTTACTAGATTTATTATGGATTGTTATGAACGGATTTTAAATATATGTTTATGGTACCACGAGAGGAGCTTGAGTCTCAGACTCATTGGTTAGGGTGCGTATATGCAGTGGATGCGTAGCTAGCTATAGTAGATTGAGGTGTACCCTGTTAGGTCTAGGTACTCATGCCCACCTTTGGGTGCGTTTTCGCATGTTGCCTTCTATTCAGGTTGAGACCCCTATTGTAGTCCAGTGAATGTCCCTTAGTATGGATATATATATATATATACACGACTTATATAGTTATTGTTGAGTTGGTTAGAGTGTATATGCGTATCGAGTCTCTGCTTGGATTGTAGTAGGTTAGAACTTGTTCGTGGGCCTGACCCACTCCTATTTTCCAGGTGTACGTCAATTCCAGGCTTGAGCTTGTTCGTGCTGGGTAGAGAAGATCTTCCATTCTACCGACGATGTAGGACTTCTTTCCAAATATTTGATTTGGATTTTATCTTCAGTTTACTTTCATTCAGTTTGGTTTTAGGGGTCCACTGGAGATAGATTCCCGAGTTGTTAACTTATGGAGGTTTTGGATTATTGGGATTTAAGTATATTTAATATTAAAGGTTTTTATTTTTAGTTTTCTTCCAGCTTAAACTTTATTTATCAAATTTATTTTGTCTTCTGTGTTCGTATTACATATTAATTGTTTGATATTTCCCTCGGGTTTGGGCTTGGGCCTGATCAACCCGTATCTCGGATCCGAGGAGTATCACAAATAACGATGACACTAAAATACGCACGAGAACGGAATCCTCACACGAATGATTTGACAAGAATGGAAACACGTAAACACCTTCTATACTCCCAGAATACCCAACTAATGATAAACATGATCATGCTAATAATATACAACAACATTAAGCATTTAACACGTAATCATATAATCAGTTAAATAATTAACCATGCATTTTCAAATAATTAAACACCTTAACACATAAGCATATAAGTATGCAATCACGTAAGCAATTAAGCAAATAAACAAATAACTCAACTCCCCATGCAATCCTAGGTAGGCCTCTACCCGTCGTCCTAATGGTATTCGAACCATCACTCTGATATCAAATTTGTAACGACCCAAAATATACCAAAAGAATAATAATAAAATAGCTAAAATTTCGGCATGACCTCTGTAAAAAAAGTCTCTCTACGACCTGTTGAAATACAAAAAAATGATGCAATGGTCTCACTGGGCCTTAAAGATAACCTATCATGTCCCAACGCACAATATAATTATTATATTACATTCCCAAGATGATTATATATATATCAAAAATTCCTTTCCTCCATCTCATCCAAACAAGGAGTACACCTTAGTTACATCAAGTTACAGTCCATAAAATGTAGTTAGAATTTAAAAGTTCATAACTTACAACATTGTACCAATTAAACTAAAGTTTCACAAAATGGTTAAGTGTATATTTACAAAATATTAAGGTTCTAATACAAAAGATAGCAAAATAAAATGGGTCTCCAACCTCGTCTAAACCTATGGTGGAACGTCGTCTGCCACCTCTTTTCCGTGTCCTGAAAAAATGTTAAAAATAATGGGATGAGCATAAGCTCAGTAGGAAGTGTCTAAAACACACTTCTTATAACCCTGTGAATCCACATAAGGAAGAGGTAAAAAGAAATGGGGTCATACCATGAGAAATACATATTCTCAACCACAACAACAAATATGTAGCAAATGTCAACCAATCATAGATTTACTAAAATTCCATGAAGTGCAATATTATGCATATGTCGCTCCCCAATTCTGAAACAATTCCGTTTCAACTAAACCGTTAGTGTAATCCAACCCATGGCACCTCCAAAGCGTCACGAATGGAGAGTTGACTAACTATCCACGACCACAAGGCACCTCCAAGGCGTCATATCTGGCCTAGTTAGTTCAACCATACTCCCCTCTAGACTACACTAACAACACGGACCACTAGGCGCCTCCTAGGCGTCCGGTTTTCGCAAACTCCTTTAAAAAAATATATATTTTTCCCAAGAACAAATTCATTTATTTTAAAACATTTTCCCCCATATTTCTTCCCCAATGGATGCATGAATGCTTCATACATCATTTCATCAATTCAACTATAATGTTCCCACATACTTTTTCAAATAAATTAATAAATTACTAAAAATACATAACTCATATTCTCATCCCACATTTTGATAGCAATTTAAATATACAATTCACAAATTTATTTCCATAATTATAACATAAATTTTCATATCAATTGAAATCATGAAAACAAACCAGCACTAAGCATGCTTCTTTATAAGTTAAAAATCATTATACTAATAAGCCCAATTAACACATAACACACATTTATCACCATTAATATAAATAACCCTAACAAACATAATCACAAAAATTAAAATTAAGCATACTTTAAGTCAAATTAAAGGTGAAAATTCACAAAAAATCCAAGAAATAGTGGATTAGATCACCCCTACCTCAATAGAAGTGAAGACCCCCAAAATTTCTAAATCCAAGCCCTAATTTCGGAATCCCTAGGCTTGGCCAAATGGTGATTGGATCCTATCAAATTGATGGTCTCGACGAGCTCTCCAATTTTGCTTCGCAAAGTTTTACCAAATTCCAAAGGAGTGAAGCTAGATCAAGCCCTGAAATTGCGCCAAAAAAAAAAAATAATAAATAAAAAAATAATAATAATAATGAAGAAGAAATTGTTGAGGGTAAGAATGATGCAGCAGAGAGAGAGAAGCCAATGGGTCTGCGTAATGGCCTTATGGCCTTTTGTTATGTTTTTTATATATTGGTGGGACTCACTTACTTTTTGAAATAAAAGAATTATTTTATAACTTTAATATATATAAAATTATAACTATTACACCACTCTTATTTTTTCTCTTGATTTTCTCAGAAGAGATCCTAGAGCAAGTTCAACTGAGTTCAAATTTCAGCACCTAAAGCCATTCCCCCAAGCTCCTCAGCTTACTCATCATCTTCCTCTTCTCAGATGGATTAAATTGAACTTTGATACTGCTATTTTTGAGTCCCGGCTCGGCTCCAAAAGCTGAGAAGATCATTAAGGTTCAATTATCGGAACCGAGCCTGGACTCAAATATCATCAACATTGACTCTGATTCAACAGAATGTCAAGTTCTCAGATTACCTTCATCAAATGCAGTGGATAAAGGTTGGCTTCATATTGAGCTTGGATATGACTTCCAAGTAGCAGTCTCAGCAATTAAATTGCCTCTCTCACTTTCAATCCCTTGGAAGTCACTTTTTGTAGCTAGAGATTCTACAATCAACCTCTCTTCTTGATGGTCTCTCAAGAAAATCTCTTTCTACGGTAATGCAACTAGTCACAGGCTAGGCCAATGCAATCATCAATTAAAAATCTCAATATCAATTCTCTGAAAAAAATATGCTGCAATGCATAGATTTAGAAATACAGAGGAATATAATTTTGAATAGATACAGTAGTACTTGTAATTTGTACTTTTAACATCAATCATACATGGCATAATGAGGAGACCATTACAATAATCAAGGAGACTGTTCATACTGTCCAAGGAAAAAAAAAAAAAATCTCTCATCTTCTTAGAAAGATCTCCCCTGCAACCTTCAAAGTCATCTTTCCGGAGGTAGAAGAACTTGTCTTGCATGTTAACAGAAACCATGTCTTGTAATTTTGTAAATATTCATAAATTCTGCAGGTATAATTAAATTTAATCCCTGCAGGGCTATATTCAAGCCTTTTCACATGATTAAAGGTCAAGCAAAATTTGAAACTTTGCTAGTAATGTGAAGGTTTGAGTAATGCCACCTAACTCTCAATATATATATATATATATATATATATAATTACAAAGCTGAAAGGCTCGTATACCACCATGACTGCTTTATGCTCCATTTCTGGGATCTGCACTTTCTTCATTAAGAACTTGGTATTGTGCATTGAGGTCACTGTTCTCAAGAGCAGGTACAGAAACAGGGTCCTTCTCACTGTCACATAAAGCCATGTAGAGGACAAGTGATAGTTAATTTCACATACAGTTCCTTGAAAGGATCACAATTCATAAGCTGCATTAAGATTGTAGTGTGGCCATTACGCATTTTCAATTGGTAAATTAAATCAGGGCCGAGAGTCTAATGGATATAGAATATAGCCAAAGAAAAAAACCTAGGCCATAGGGCCATAGCACCTCTCTTTTATCTCAAAATAGGCTCAAGGAGTAAAGGTGATGGAATGGCTCAGTTGGTGATACATATAATGTTATTACCATAATTTAAAATTATACTTAGACAACACTGCGCACAACTATAATACTTCGAAGTACATGAGAAACTACCTCAACTCCATGCGTTGCTTCTTTAGTCTAGATGCGCTATTTCGAGGCATTCTTTTATATTATGTTTTGCCATAAAAAAGTATCACTCTATTCAAGATCACCTAATAGCTAAAGGGGTAACTTTCGGAGCAACTGGTGTTTTCTGTAAAAAGTGTGGTGAATCTCTTGACCACTTATCTTTCACATGTCAAAGACTTAAGGCAGCACACTATTGCCAATACTTTGTTTGGTATGAAGGACAGAAAAGTGGATTGATGGGAGGCATCCCTATTGAAGGAAATTGTGTCCTTCCCTTATCCTATTTGGTTGAGTGAAAGGAACGGAAAGGAGGTGACACCTTCCATTGGTTGGTAGAAAGGAAGCAAAGAGGAGGTTTTAATTCCTTTTTACTATTATAACCAACTCCCTCTATAGATTAATACAATTTTATGAAGTGTGATAATGTCACTTCACATTTTATACAATTAGTTATCCTTCCTTTCCCTCCTCCCTTCTGTCCAACAGTAGGATCCCTCATCCATCTCTTCCTTCCCTTCCCTTCCCTTCCCTCTTGGTCTCTTTCGTACCAAAAAATGCAGAACTACTCCATCCTTCCTCTCTTCTTTGTCCCCTTCTCCCTACCTCCTACCAAACAAAGGCTATAATGTGGATTGATGAAGCATCCTAATATTTGGGAACATAATAGTATACAATTGCCTAGCAATAGAATACTTGTTAAATGGACAAAAAGAGTTTGCAGATGGATCTATCATATAGATGCAAACAAAAAGGAAGAATGTTTGACATATATGGGAAATGAGAGTGGTGCTGGATACAAAATGTGATGAAAGAATCTGGCCACCAATTCGGGTTCTCTTGGGCGCTGACGGATTAAGCAACATTTGGGGAATTCACATTTGGATCATGTGGACGACAGCTGCTGCTGTATACCCCTTTTGTTTCCACGTGCACTTCTTGTTATTGTTATTGTTAGTGTTCTGTGGCATATCTACAAGACTACAACTGTATTTCTTTGAGAAGGGAGTATTTCCCTTAGGTCAGCCATAATACATAAAGTTTTCCTGACTTGTTTAGTTTTTTCTCTTCTAATTTCTTTTTTCTCTTAAACAAATTACATTACCTGAGTGTTGGAGAAGGTCAAAAATTAAAACAAGATTAGAGTTTGAACATACGTTTTTGAATATATGATGAGTCCGACAACAACAATTGCAAATGACAAATAGTATAGCCAGTCGACCTGCAATTGGAGATCATATCAGGCTTATAAAAGTTGTATATTAGTAGCATCAGGCTCAGAATGGTCAGATTTTGGCTAAAAAATAACTGGAACAGTATGAAAGAGAAAATTTTGAGAATACCTCCTGATGGTAGAAAAAGATGCGAATGACAACTGCCCACATATCAGACGTGAGAATTGAAAGGTTGAACAATGTGGCTCCACTCATCTGTACCCAAATTATTCTCCCATTAGAGATATGATACCATAATCCTTCCCATAGAACAGTGTCTCCATGAGGGAGTTATTTTAACTTGTTGCTTTCTGTGGTGAAGACAATTAGACTCTAAAATCATAATATTATCATAACACAATTAGCAGATTCATTATGAGCTCATGAAGTTGATAAAAGAAGAGAGAGAAAAAATCTATTCAATCTACAGACGATCAGAATCGGACAAGAATTTGGGAGGTTCCCAGATCAAATCAACACTTCCCTTCACGTTACTCTTTCAATTCATAGAAAACCAATTGCAGCAAAATCTTTAACAGGTTTTTTATTGGTGGATTGACTTGCATGACAGCATAAAGCCAACTGAAAAGTAACTTTCATATAAATGAATATCTATTGCATTAACAAATGTTAATAACAGTGAAACTGACCTGTAGAACAAAAGGTACAAAAGAATAGAATATAAAGCTTGCAACCGCATAGCCAGCGAAGGCTAATATCTGAAAACAAGAACGACGTGGAAGACATCATTCCATTTGGGATAGAAAGGCAACAAATGAGACAAAATCAAACAAAACAAATTTAAAAAGGAGAAAAAGGGCGAATTGTGAATATTTAGTATACACATCTTTTAGTACAGCCTCATAATTAGTTAGATATGCAAGTGAAAATACAAATATTCATAAAATTTGGGCAAAGTTTTATCCATATGTGGAAATCAGTGAGCTGGAAAAATCCATATATAAAAAGCAAGTCGGCAAGAGGCCTATCTATATGAAGTAGCTTCCATGTTCTGTTGTTTGGAAACCATAAGCAAGAGCTATTGAAGGATCATGCCACGTGAAGCAAAGCTCTTGATAGCTGCATGATTAGAAAAACTTATTCAATACTCTAATGAGAAAGCTGATAACCGACCTGCATCATAGATCTCTAAGATCATTCTAGAAGATCCGAAGGCATCCGGTTACTACCTTGCTATTACCACAAGTCATGCAGTCTAATGCTTACATATTTTGCTTTTGTGCTACATGTAAAGAAGTCTTTCCTCTGCATAATTACAGTGACCTATTCGAGCATACCTCATAGCCCCACTGGTGTTGCCCGCCACTAAGATTCATTATAGAAGAGTACAAGGGATCCAATCACTAGACTCACTATTTTGCCATCACTACTCAATTCCACTATTTACTGGTTAAATATATGTATTATTTTATCTAGAAATCGCACTTTAGGAACCGGAAGATTCAAAATACACATTCAAAGGTCAAATAATTTCTTCCCTAAGTTGCCAAATCCATCAAGTTTGTAATCCCACCCTTAGGGATTGGAAGCAGGCCATCAATCGTTCACAACGAATACTCATCTAAAGTGCGAGACTTTTAAAGCGCTTCTGACTTGGTTTCTCGACATCCTCTTCCACTGTCCTCTCCTTTACTAGCAATTTCCACCCAGATATTTTCAGTTAGATGTATTATGCAAAGTTGCATTGTGCACTGCACATGAAAATCACAAGTCCATTTGACATGATGTGCAAGGTTGGGCCACACTGAGAAATTAACAACATTATTATTTTATTTATTTATTTTTTTTCTATTGCATCTTGTATTGGACTCTTATGGAAAAATATACATCATAATTAATGGTAACAACTAGATTGCAAGAACTTGGCACCATATCTTTAATTTATGACGTGAAAGTAAGAATGTTAAGGACCATGTAAAGACCATTCTAACAAGAGAATTGTACCACAAGGATCAAATTCTCTCTTACAATTTAAGATGTGTATATTGTGATATGTTCTCAAAGGTCTACACAAAGCCACGTGAAACTACTGGTTCAACAAAAATATTAAGATAAAAGCATGAGATATAGCAATGTTTTGAATCAAAATAATATAAAATTCATCACTTACAATCTCTGTAGACCACGTTACTGATTCCAAAGTCGTCCTCTCCATTATAGCTCTAGAACAAGGTTATGGAAATGGTAGGAAAATGATTCTTGGAGTTAATGAAAAGCAACTCAACATACATGTTGCGTAATGAAAAGGATACATCTCACATACACTCACAAGCATTCCAAAAAGACCAATCATTGAAACTACTTCAACGCGATCTTTCTTCTTAACACAATACTCCTGCATTTAGGAAGGCATAGAAATATATAATTATGGGGGCTCAGGCCTCAAGATTATCCATAGACTTCCGAATTAGTCAAGCAGAAAGTATCCAAAAGTTCAAACTTCAGCTTTGTATTTACTGCTTATCCTCACAATGGTTCACATGAATATAGAACTAAGTACATATTAAAGATTAAGAGAGAGAGTAAATGTAAACAAAATTCACCAACCTCACCGACATTGCTCATTGCAAAGAAGAGTGTCCCTGCAATGACAAGTATATCACCCAGGAGAGGCTTTGAACCACCTGCAAGGCAAATAGTTCCGATGTATTATATTATAAAAAGAAATATTTGGTAATAGATTTTATACTGCTAAAGGTCATTTTTTTAATTTCATTAATGTTTCTCCTAAAAATTGCCATCAATGTACGAGTGATGGACTACTATAACTACAGAAAAGTTCCATCGGTGACACACCCATTAAAAAGGCTCAAAACAAAACCACCAGTGGTACTATAAAAGGTTAATTATTCTGCTCTCAGAACCATGCCTAGAAAATTGAAAGGAAAAAAAAAAAAAAAAAAGAAGAAGAAGAATGAGAACAGAAAATTTACCTCCTCCACCCACCCCAGCATCAGAGAGAAGCACTAAACCGAGGCCTACAACACAGATGGCTGCACCAAAGTACTGCCAAAGGGAATACTGTGTGTGCAGGAAGAGCCATGTGAGAATTATGACCCATGCTATGGTCCAACAATCCAATATTGTCACACTAGTAATTGATGAGTACTGGAATGCTTTATTAACTGCAGTAAACAATAAAGAGGTTAATATTTATCCATTTATCAACTACCTAAATAATGGAAAATTTCTAGACACACTTTTCATTTTAACAAAAATCATGATCAACAAATTTCCTATGTTTAAGCTCCTATGGTAAGGGTATGGAGAGGGCTTTCCTTATGAAATTTATGTTTTCTGGTATGGGGATGGACAAATGATAATTCAACCAGCCAATACCGCATTCCATACATAAATTGCCACAATTCTGCAATTTTTCTATAAGTTAATTAAGATCAACACTAATATGCCCTTAAATCCAAAGAAGAAAATAGCTCAAGTTGAAATTGCTTGTTGTGAATGAATGATGGTTTTATATAATTGTTTATTTAAAAGATATATTAATAAGAAAAATAATGAAGAGAAGAACACTATGTTAGGGCATCAGCTTGCTCAAGCTGAAGGAAGACCAGAAAAGAGAAATTTGAAGGTTAGTTTGATTGAAGGAAACTTTTAGTGGTTTTGTGCTCCTTATAAGCCAAGACCTTGAACTATTTCTTTACAACAATCTAAATATATTCCTCCATTCAATTGATTTCAAGCATCAAATAATTACCAATTCCAAGTTTGTCTTTGTGCAGAACCAGATCCCAATTCCAACAAAATTAGTGTCCAAAGCAGGGTATGTGTGTGCTTTAGAGTGTGAGTGCTTGCCTGTTTGTGTGTGTGTGTGTGTGTGTGAGAGAGAGAGAGAGAGGAGGGTTCAAATACCATTACTTACCTAGATAATTGCCTTGGACATCAGCAAAACCTAACAGGACATACCAATACAGTGGAACCTGCAAACCCAACAAAATTCATTGCAAATCCGCAAAAAAAATCCCAAAAAGAAAACTGCAAAACACAGCATGCATAAACATGTGCATATCTGTGTGTATTTATGAGAAGTCAACTGAAAATTATGCAAAATTGAAAAAATGTAATAACTGATGATTGATTAGAGTAATGAATTGTACCAGTAGTTTCTGACGCCGGTACACCAAGATGCTTCCGTACACCAAAGCTAAAGCCAAGTAAGGGAAAAATGAAAGTGTAAGAGGCGTATCTACACCTGCACATACATACCCAAATATCAAGTCAAGGTCAGTCATCATAATTTTTAAAAAGGTCAAGCAAAATAATCCAAAAATTACAATCCAAATGAGCTCAAAAAAGAATTATAATAATAATAATAAAATAATTAAATTTACATAAATACAATAACCCAACAAAAAAAAAAAAAAAAAATTCAAGAAAGAAAAAGAGAAAACATATGAAATTGGAGAAAAGAGTATTTAATTAGATTACCAAGAGTGACAAGTAGAGATGAAGTGAAGCTCATAAGTGCCATTACAAAAGAGACAACCTGACCCAGAAATAGTATGAACAAAGTACGCAAAAGGGCTTCATTGTTTCTGCACCAGTTATTGTTCATGGCTTTAAACCAAAACTAATAGAAAGGAGATGTTGTAGTCAAGAAGAGAATGAATACACATAATATGTTATATATATATACCCAATCCTTCTTCCACAGATATTTCCATGTGTGTTTATACATAAATATATATATATGTGTGTGTGTGTGTGTACGTGTACGTTTTGTTTTGTTTCTTTTCAGCTAGTGTAAAAAATCTGCAGTTCTGCACCAACTACCATCGAGATCTTAGGTAGAGGAAGTGTTCACCATATTTTAATTAAATATTAATAAAAATATTGTTGTGAAGAATGATGAAAAAAATATAATAATGGCCCTTTGAAAAATATACACACGGATACGCAGGAATGGCGGGGAGCACGACCTTTTTTTTTTTTTGGTTGGTGAGAGAGGAACGGTGGGTCAGCCAACGGTAAAACAGCCATAGTCAAAGACGTCAAGCAACGTTATGAATTGGATTCCCATGCTGTGGTGTTGTACCACATGGGATGGATCCCCATGAAAACTATAGCATAGGTTTCATGACCTCATGAAGTACGGACACTTTTATTAAGAACTGTACTCGTGCTTTCGGATGCTCTTTGAAAATGTGTCTAACACTTTTTATATATGTAGACATTTCACCATTCTCGTACATTTTTTATACAAATTTACCCAATAATTTTTAAAAATAATATAAATACTATTATAACAAAATAGTGAAATAACAATACATATAATTAGGGGTAGTAAAGTTTGACATGACCGATTAATATAACTTGAATACGATACGAATTAAACGGATTTTGATTGACGTTAAACGGGTTCGGGTCGTAAACGGGTCAACACAATTAACTCGTTTAGTTAATTGTGTTGTGTTTGGGTTGAGGGGTTCAACTAGTGTAACCCTTTTATACATGTTTAACTATATGTTTTATAAACAAATTTCTATTTAAATTCTAAAATAACTATACTAACTTATATCTTATAATTTATTCTCTTATAAATTAGAGATTATTTAGTAATTTGGTTGGATTGAAACTTATATTTTTTTATTATTTAATGTTTGATCGAGTATTAAAACATATATTTTTTAAGTGTTTAATGTTTGATCGAATATTATTAATAATTCAAATAATAAAATATTTAATTTGATTAAACAGGTCATTAAACGGGTTACACGTGTAACCCATTTAATAAACAGGTCGGATTAGTGTTGAAGGTTCTTGACATGATTATTAAACGGGTCGTGTTCGAATTGAGTTGTTTAGTAGAATACTCTTAAATTGACACGACACGATTACGACTCACGAACACGAATTGTCACCACCTCTACATATGATATAAAAATTATTACAATAATGATATAATTTCATTTTTTAATTCATTTCAAACAACTTTTAGTATAGAAATTATAAATAAATTAAAGTTTTATAATACTATTATTAATAGATGTATAATAATAAAAATTTATATTATTATATAACCGTGTTCAGGGGTGGAGCCAGAATTTGAAAGTAAGGGGGGCTAAAGAAAAATTTCAAACAGAAAATTTACTGGGGAAAAAAAAAATTTCAAGTAAAGAACGGTTTGGATTAGAAACATACAGAGCTACTTTTGCACTTTAAAATTGTGTTCAAAAGAGTAAAGTTTAAATATCTATGTTACTTAATACCAAGTTGAGCTTTGCCGTATAATTTGAGAAAACTTTAATTTTATAAGTTTGAAAATTCAAATTGTTCACAGGGTTTTGCAGATTGAGAAAAAGAGAGTTCAAGGTAACAGTGTGTTTGGGTTTGCAACAATGTGTTTGGATTGGGCTGGGCTGAATGTGTGATTATGGATGGGTTGAATGACTGATAGGAAAATGAAGAGTTAGTAGTACTAAAATGTGTTTGGGTTTGCAACAATGTGTTTGGATTGGGCTGGGCTGGGCTGGATGTTTTATTATGGATGGGCTGAAGAGTAGTGCATGGGTTTAGTAGTACTATTATTATTATTATTTTTTTAATTGGACCTGGGCTATAACCCAGGTTAGCTCATTCATAGCTCCACCCCTAACAGTGTCCACACCGTACATATGTCTTATTTTTTAAAAATATGACATGTCGACGTATTCGTGTGGTATCTTGCGTGTGTCATGTATCCATATCCATATTAGTGCTACATATGACTTTTATCACTACTTGAATTTGTAATACCATGTCATTAATATATAACACAATAAATAAAGTATTTCTTGTTCTAAACTTATTGTCTTTGTTTTTGTTTTTTTTTTTTTTTCTTTACTTAAATTCTATCATTTTGTTTGAATTTTGTAGAGACGGATCATATTTTTAGATTTTTCCGATAGTCAAAAAATACTCCACTAAATAATGTTAACGTTAAGATAACTTTTTAATAAAATTTAAAAATTACTCGTGCTTAAACTGCATTAATCACGTTGTTAGCCATCGCCTTTTTTCTTCGCTTTTTGTTTCCACCGCTCTTGGCACTTCAGCGTACAACACAAAGAGAATTTTTCCAGCGATGTCCAGTGAAGAAACCTGCCAATGTTACTACATATGATATACAGTATATATCATAGTTTGTTGGCCTTTTAGGATCTGAAAGCTTTTCAATTGCTAAGAACATCTCCAATAGACTCTCCGATTTTGCCACATCAGCATTTTTCAAGTAGCCACATAAACATTTCCCATAGCCACGTCAGCATTTTAGAGTTTCTAAATTTTAGCTATCGCATGTACTCCAATGGTGCACTTTCGCTCTCCAAAAATATTAATATTTTAATATTTTTAAAATTTAAAATAAAATTTATTTTTTAACTTTTTCCTAACGACTATATTTCTAACGGCTATAATGTCAATAGGAACATTAAAAAATTTAAAAACAAAAAAAAATTCACCTTTTTTTTTCCAATTTTTTAAAACTTTTTTTTTACCTAAAAAAACCTTTAAGTCCCTGTTTGTGTTAGCCAAATAGTGTCTTAACGGCTCTTTGGTTCAATTATTTTAAGGGAAAAAAAAAAAGAGACCAAAGTAAGCCAAAAATCTGAATTTTAGCTTTTATTTCAGCCAAACATGTCCTTAGGAATAGTATTTTGGGCTTAGAAATAGCGTTCTGGCCTGAATTTAAAAAAGAAAAGAAAACAAAAATGAGACCACAAAAAGTGAGCCCAATCGCCAACCCACTCTTGCTTTCTAGCTACCTCCATCAAGAGTCATTATTTGAGGCCCACTTTTCCCATAGTCCATTGGAGCATCCAATCTTCAAAAATTGGCCCAGTTTAGCCAAAAAGAGCACTGATGGAGTTGCTCTAAGTGCATTATTGTTATCGCTGATAATTATTTTTTACTGTTTCAACAGCTACTCCATATAAAATTTACCATAGTACCATCAATGATCCTATTCATAAGATTAATTACACTCATATCTTAAAGTTTGACTTATTAACAGATATATAAAACTTAGTCCCCTTTTAAACAATCACATTCTCTCGAGTTTGCTAAAGTACAAACTACCACATCTGAAACAAGGTGAATTGACTTTTTTGCCCTTTAACTTATTAATGATTCTATTTAAATAATAAAATTACCTTTTTAACCATCACACCCACCGCCACCACTCACAACCCCACCACCGCTTCACACCCCACCACACCCACAAACACATAAATCATCAAATTCAACCTGCATATAGATATATTATATATACACATATGTAAAAATCCCATTGGAGAGTCTAACACAAGCACAAACGAATAATATATACACATATATTTCTATATTAGAAATCATTTACTTGGATGCTTCTGTTTCTGTATATCTATATATTGTTTGTATGACTGTTAAAGGATATATGTATATTTGTTGAAAAGGAAAGTTGAAGAATTGAGTGTTTCTTTTTTTTCTTTCTCAAAAGGTAAGAATTTAGTGTTTTTGTGATCATATATACGTCAATACGCACAAACACGTACCAAATTCAATAACTTTCCTTTTAATCAAATCCTTTCTCTCTCTCTAAAAAAATAAAAATAAATAAATAAAATAAAAATAAAAAATAAAAAATAAAAATAAAAATTTTCAATCACACATTAGTCACACACATAGATAATTAATACACAAATATACATACACAGTGAAGAGTTGTCGGTCATCAATTTAGAATCTCGAAAGCCGGGAAAGCTCCAACCCAAATTTGAAGAAATAGAGGAGTAAGAAGAAAATACGAACAAAGGACTTCAATTAATGGGGACAAATTTGTCATTTTACAAATTGAGATATATATTTTTATTTTTATTATTAAAATGAATTAAAGATTGGAGGGTAAACTCGTCTTTTTTGGCTTTTTAAAGACTTGTTTGTATGATATTTTTGACAGGGGGTGTGCATGTTAAAAAAAAATGAATTGAGTTTCATCTAGTTGTTAATAGAGCAAACTTCAAGAGGTGTAAGTGTAATTAATTCTATATATAATTATCAAATTTTTTATACTTAGTATATCCGATGTTAATGGTTTAGTTTTGGAATTTAAGAAAAGTTAACTAGCAGAATTGTTTAAAAGTATGATCAATGTTTAATGTTTTTTGAAAAAGGGACTAATATCAAAACCTATACAAAATTATAGGAGTTAAGTAAAAAACAAAAACCCAAGCCAATAATAACATCGTAGTAGATGAAAAAATACCTCCTGATATTTTTTCATATGGTACTCCTCCCTATTAAAACTCTTTGTTTTCTTTGGTAAATGAAGAGTTTCAAGATAAATTAAAAGCTTTAATTGGATGGGGGCATCATGTGTTAAAATACCCCAAGTATTGTAGAAGATCCCTGATCTTCACGTTTAATATGGTGAGAGATCATATTTGTGTCTATTATGTTAAATGTGATCTTGTTATATGCAAGTGTTGGGTCCAACCCACCACTTGAGTTCGCCAAAATACTTGGCTTATATAGCATATAGGACTGCCAATGAATTGAACCAAGTCGAAATATTTGGCTTATATAGCATATAGGGTTACCAAAGAATTGAACCCGAGTCAAATTTATTTTGGTTTCGCTTGGTTGTTTTTGGGCTTCATTTAAAATAATGGCAAGTTTGAAAAGTTAAATTCAAACCTAACTTCAGTTATTATTTTAAAAAAACTCAGGTTTTGACTTGATTCGTTTAATAATAAAAATTGGTCGAGCCCCCATTGAACTCGTATTTAAGATCATTTTGACTTTTTCGTAAATTTATATGAGCATGTATTCATGAATATGTTTATGAATTGTTTCAGGACTTATTGGACGCAAATCCAAACACCAATTTATGAACAATTGTGCATACACGTGCACATTATACTATCTTTCAGGTCTACATAAGATATCTGTGGAATACTCTCTCTGTTTTTTATTCTTTCTAATTTCTATCTGTAGAATACTTAACTAGTGGCTGTTAGATATATTCATAGTTTCTTTTACATTTTAATTAATTAATTTATTTATTGGTTATATTTAAATGTTTTTAAAAGATAGAAATCATAGAACCATTTTCTTTATGTTTGGTTGGAGAGATGGATTAAGGTGGAATGGATGAGAAGGGAATTAAAAAAATTTCTTCACATTTAGTTGTAGAGAAGGGAATAGAGAAATGAGGCAAGAGGAATGAATCATCCTCTTTCCCTTGTATATATATATATATATTTATAACGGATGGGTTTTTGAGTTATTTTAACGCTGGGCTTTTAATAGCCCATACGGTCTAATTATTTCCCTCTTTATTCTGGCCAAGCCCAATAAATGGCCAGGTCATGTGATCCTTGGGCCTATAAAAACTGAACTTCTTCAACAGATCATATAATTCTCCAACAAACTTAATTGTTTCACGATTTTAGCCTTGGTCTTTGCAAATACTGCTATGTTTGGTTGTATACAATTGGTGCTTTAAAATTGAAATTGGAAAAAGTATTTTCATTCAACTGAACGCAGCATACTTATATTTCACATTATTGAAGATCGAAATCAATTCCATACAGCAAAACACCATCTAAAATAATGGACAACAAGGATACCTTTTAAGACATGCCTATTCATCTTCCAGGTCAGCCAATTCTAATTTATCTCTATTTGGTTATCATTAAAATTTATGCACAAATTATTTTGGGTTAATTTCTTATATTTGATTAACTGTATTTCCTTCATTATTTTATTTGGAATTTACTTACTGTGTAGATTGCTATATTAATGTACACACAGTACACATAGTTCTGGAACAATTTAGATTCTTGATACTTTCAGTATTTATCTACCAAACTATATAATTACAAATTAGTTGCAACAATGACAAGCATACTCCTTTAATGAACATCACCAAATAAGAGTTCACATATATTACAAACCTGAACCTTCCACAGTTTCACTCCACGATGCAAAGAATGTAAGTATACAATATCCATCTTTAAATTGTAATTAGAGCATGAATACACTGAAACTGCACTGAAAACTAGCTAGCCCAAAAAATAACCAAGTGATTTGTGTTTATATTATTATAAGCTTAAAGTTCATCGGTATGAGATGGTATTGGTGCTTGCTGATCTTCCACACTTTGCATGCATTTTTTAGAGGAGCTTAGTGTGTCTAACCAGACCTCATCTGCCACAACTGAGTCCGAGTCGTTGTTCCGATGCCATGACCAATGCGCATGAGTCTGGTTTAGAATCCTCAGCCTGCCATGTCCGAAGCTTGGCTCACGATAGAGTGAAATCGATGGACTAGGCTCCTCAAACCTTCACCCACATCATATGAAGCAATATTACAGTAATGAACATGGACTAACTTGTAACGTAATGCAGTCTAACTTAGCATGTGAAAATTCAAATTACAATATATATATACTAAATGCCACATATATTAATAAAATGTTGTAGTTTAGTGATACTTTCTCTGACAGTAAGAAAACCTTCAATAGATAGAATCCAACAACAAAGATTATTGTCGGTTAATTTTAAAAAATGATAGATTCCCTCTCTAATTTTATCTCAATCATTAATAGCCACATCAATAAAATTTTACTACTGACCTATTAAGTGTGAAAGGTCGGGATTGAAGTTTTATAAGAATATGTGAGTGCGTGTTTTTATTCACCAAAAAAACAAAATTAGAAGATTAAGTTTGCAAGTACTCACGCCAAGGCAAGCCCTTCTCTATTCCCTCCATCACCAATGGTCACATGTACTGGACCACATGGATCAGCCTTGTTGTCGTAAACCCTAGTCTGCTCCCAACAAGGAGAAAATAATATTAAAAAAAAAAAAAAACTTCAGTCAGAAAAGATATCGAAAATGTTTGCATCTGCATTATGATTTTTATTTTAAGAAAAGTAAATACTCACACGAGTACCCCAAACATCATCATGAAATGTGACCAATTGTATAATTTTTTTTACTTACGAATCTTTCATATGCGTGAACATGTCCTGTAAAGACAATGTCAACTCGTGCCTTGTACAACATTGCTTCCATAGCTTTCCTCATCCCCTCTCCTTCCCCTTTGTGAGCCAAATTTGAATTGTACCATGGCGCGTGAAGGAGCACCAGAAGCCAAGGTGTCTTCTTCCTATCAACTTTCGCCAAGTCAGCCTCTAGCCACTTGTACTGATCCGAGCTGGCATCAAAGTCCGTGTAAGATCCCAACATGACAATGTGGGTCCCGGCAACATCGAACGAGTAGTATAGGTTTGATGTGGACCCACTCTCCTGGAATGGCATTGGCCACCTGGCATTGTAGGCCTTGAAGCCATGAGGGTAGATGATTGGGAAGGTCTCTATTTCGTGGTTGCCTTCGGTCACCATCCACGGCCGAGCGCTCGCATATGGCTCCACAAGGCGCCCAAATGTGTCCCACAGTGGCTGATTTGTGTCCGCGTAAGATAGATCGCCGGGCAACAGAAGTACATCATAGTCCTTTGCACCAATATGTGCCAAGGTCGACGCAGTCCATTCGGTCTGTCCCAAATCCCCTATCGCAATTAATAGGAGATCACTCATGTGCACCAGAGAGAATTCGAGTTCATTTTATATACTAACAATAATTATTTTATTTTGAATTTTTAAAAAAATAATAATAAAAGAATTTAGCATAATTAATACAAGATTTAGTCCATTCGGTCTGTCCCAAATCCCCTATCACAATCGATACACATTACAGGAGATCACTCGTGTGTACAATAGAGGATTTGAGTTCATTTCATATACTAATGATCATTTTATTTTAATTTTTTTAAAAAAAAAAAACTTAATAATAACTTATCTACACAAGAATTTAGCATAATTAATGCAAAATAGGGGACACTGAATTGTGTGGATCAGTTGGAACATCAAAAGTCCAATTAAGTTCTAAGAATGTATATCGACCTTAACTTTCAATCTAAGATGACATATGAGCCTGTTATATATGCATTGAAGGCTTACAAGCTCTATAGTGAGCTTTGGATCGAAAATTTAGGTTTTTTTAATAACGTCTGTGAATTTTAGTCTTTTTTTTTTAAAAAAAAAAATTTGTCTAATTTACTGTATAATTTTGTAAATTTTTTGTTGGTCGTTTAATTTTCATAATTTGGAATTTAAGAGTGATGCTACGTAGGCCAATTGGACCCAGGCCTACATGCACATAAGATTTTTTTCAAATGAAAGGTTGGAGTTAGACTTGTAAAGTTGATTTACTTACTAGAAGTAATTGATTAAAGGAAAGCTTTTTTGGTAAGGATTAAAGAGAAAGTTAATAATGATGAAGCATAGTAAAGGAATCTAGCTCCTCTGTGTAGCCTTATGAGTAAAGTAACACATCAAAGTTAAAACACATTTGAGTCTACGCAATGGATGGCGTAAATGCGTCAATAATGTGGGAACTACTCACCGACAATGGCAAACTCAATTGGCAAGGTTGAAGGAGGTGTTCTGAAGCTAAACTCCGGGCCACCACCACCACCACCACACCTGTAGTAATACGTTGTGCTTGGTTCCAATGGTCCTATCTTGACGTGGTGGATGTTGTCGGAGCTGTAGAAGAAGTAATGGTACGACGTGTGCTCTCCGGTGGCTGATGCTTCGTATCTCCCGGACACCTTCCCGTATTCCACCACCGACGGCACGTGCTTATCGGAGGTCACCCATGACACCCTCATGTGATCTTTCCCTACCAATGATATATGGACCTATCATGAACAAAAAAATTAATTAAAGTTATGTTTGAAAACACTGAATCGATACCCTGAAATTGGAATTCAAAAAAATGCAACTTACAAGATAAACAATATGTAGTACTTAAGTTCATATCAATGCATGCTCAAGATAATAGTATGTGTGTGTGTGAGAGAGAGAGAGAGAAAGACCTGTTGTGGGTCAGAATCCGACCGCTGATGTGGAGAGAAGATAATAGGACGAGGAGGTTGGCGGGTATATTCTGGCGATGCAATTGATTGTACAAGGAAGAAGATGATAAGGAGGAGGATATGTGACCACCAACTAATTCCCATTGTTTTTCTTTTCCTTCTTGTTGTAATAAACCAACCTAGTATGTCCAAAAGAGTGTCCAAAATGGGAGATATATATATATATACAACGGGTTTTGGAATTTGAATTATTGTATTGTATAAAAATTGGATTGCAATGGCGTGAAGGAAGTCCTTTGGAATAAGTTGCTATGGATTTGCTTGCAGCAATCACCACATAAAAGTCCTTTGTATCTGCTTTTACCAATTCGTACCAAATTGGTCAATCTAATTCTGATTGAGAAGATATTTGTTAGGTTAATTAGAATGCAGATGCTTGTTGCATTTTTCTGTTTCTTCTTTTCTGAAGTTCTTTCAAAGATATTATAAAAGCAACTTATTTGTTTTTTTTCCCATTTGTGTCAAAAGTGTTACTCATGTATAATATCAATCAATGCCACAACTTGCTTTAACAAAAAGCATGTGTTGCAGGGTTGTCTTTTTAGTTACATGCAGGTGATCAATATATATATAATACGCAACTTCATATGTGACTCACTAGTGGCCCACTTTAATTTAGTCACTTCTGTATTAGGAATCATATAATCTACATAACCAATTCCATCTCATCACTATATGTTTTGTGTGTATATATATATATATATAATACGCAACTTCATATGTGACTCACTAGTGGCCCACTTTAATTTAGTCAATTCTGTATTAGAAATCATATAATCTACATAACCAATTCCATCTCATCACTATATGTTTTGAGTGTACACATGAGGGAGCTTCTTAACTTCTCCGAATTGAGAGAATTTATTTATTATTTATTATTATTATTATTTTTATTTTTGAGAGAGAGAGAGAGAGAGTGTGTGTGTGTCTGAGTCACATGCCTTGCTTGGAGTACGACAGCTTCAGGGAATCAGCATATCCAAGGAATGTACTCTTTTAGGGACCAAAGAAAAATGTGTGATGAAGAAGCATATATCTACCTTGTCCTTGTACCAGCTACACACCTTAATAGTCAACTTATACTGTGGATGTGTCATGTGTGCCTCCATTATTGGTATATTCACTTATTTTTTAAGCAGACTTGCCTGCCTCTGTGGTGGCAAACTCGAATCAAAACTCACCACCAACCCTCGAATCCATGACCAATATAAGCTTGAAGCTTCCTTCCATGCCTCCTTTTTATAAATATAAGCTTCCTTTCTAAATATCGAGACTTTTTCAAAGTAGCTTCCTTCCATGCCTCCTTTTTATAAAAAATCTCAAGTTAATTAGAAGAGGAGATTTAATAATTAAAAGAGGACGTAATTATGTGTAATTAAATTCTGATTCAAAAGTCAACTTTCCGAAAAAAAAAAAAAAAAAATCTCAAGTTCCATCCATGTCTCAATCTCATACAATTCCCAAGCATTTATATATTATATATAGAGACATATATATATATAAACTTCTAACGGTTCAAAAATTTAACAAGACGTGTATTTAATGCATTGTCCTCTTTTAAAATTACTGTAAAATTATTCATTTAAAGTAAATGATAGTCTGTTATAAAAAGTAAATTTTAAAAAAGTTGAGAATATTTAAAAAAATTAAATTATTATTATGCTTTGATTATTCAATTTTGAGACATGTAAAAAAAAAAAAAAAAAAAAGGACGTAATTATGTGTAATTAAATTCTGATTCAAAAGTCAACTTTCCGGAAAAAAAAAAAAATCTCAAGTTCCATCCATGTCTCAATCTCATACAATTCCCAAGCATTTATATATATATATAAATTTCTAACGGTTCAAAAATTTAACAAGACTTGTATTTAATGCATTGTTCTCTTTTAAAATTAATGTAAAATTATTCATTTAAAGTAAATGATAGTCTGTTATAAAAAGTAAATTTTAAAAAAGTTGAGAATATTTAAAAAAATTAAATTATTATTATGCTTTGATTATTCAATTTTGAGACATGTAAAAAAAAAAAAAAAAAAAAAACAGGAATTGGTATCATTTTACCAAAAAGGCAAAAACCACCGTACCTTCAATGGTGTCATGTTTGGCAGCACATGTGCTGCCAACTAATCTGTTTCTAGCTACCCCTTTGGTATCAACTCTTTTTTTTTCAAATTCGTATAATTTTCCCAATATTTATTCCATACGCAACCTCAAATGTGACCCCAAGTGGCCATTTATGTGATTTAGGAATCATATGTACGTGCGTGTGTGAGCTTCCTAATATCTCGGAGACCAGAGGGATTATTTTATTTTGCGAAAAATGAGATAAGTAAGTTACTTGTCCACAACAATTTCAAAACCAACTTGATAATTCCAAGTAAGGAATCAGCATATTCAAGAACTGTATTCCTTTGTAGATAAAACTGTGTGACATGTAATTTAAATCACTTTTATATCAAACTTTTTTTATATCTTTAATACTTTATTATTTGAATCATAAATCAATTATATCCCGTCATATAAATAAATGTACTTTATTTTAGTAAATAATATCACTATTTTATTTTAGTAAATTATATCACTGTGTGTCAATATATACTCTCATTAATCAGTATAAAATGAATATATCATGTGCTTCAATAATTAATTCAGTTATTCCAAGCAAACTTTTTCATGGGACGTCACAAAAACAAAACCTAAGGCAACAAGGTAATGGTTTCACTCTACGATTCTAGACAAATTAAACATCTTATTTAGTACCGCAATTAAGAATGTAGATTGTAATTGTCTCAACGGTGGGAGCAAACTCTATTTTCAACTTTTGGGTCGGTTGATTGTTATGCAGAATATATATCAATCACAACAAATTAAAATTTATTTATTTATTTATTTTTTTCCGGAGTGACTGGTGCTTATATTTAAAGAAATGAAAAGACATGAGCATGGTTGCCTATAATTTGGTGCAGTTCCACTAGGGCTGTTAGCATACGTACATTCTTAGATATGTGTTATCCTATACGGTGGGTGGGTGTGGGTGTGGGTGTGTGTGTGTGTGAGAGAGAGGGAGAGAGAGTCGTGTATTAAGATTTAAGAGAGCAATTTTTGTGTGTGTGTGTGTGTGAGAGAGAGAGAGAGAGAGAGAGAGAGAGAGAGAGAGTCATGTATTCTATTGAGAGCCAAAATTGGATCATGATGTCGAATGCACTTATAAGACACTCTTTAAGAGAATCCAAGTTTCCAGAGTAAGGGTTCTGACTCAATTAGATCAGATACAAATTTTTTTTTGTGAAACAAATATATTTTTGGGAGATAATTTTAATACTACTGATAAAATTAAAAAAAAAAAAATTGTAATTTCACCGAGAAAAGTCGTATATGAGTCTTCTAAAAATGCTCAAGAAGCCTTAGTTATTGAATTTAAATATATATAAAAAATAAGTGTATAAATTTCTTGTCTGTGTTTAAAAAATAAAAAAATTACTTCTAAGTTCTAACTACCTGCTTGGTAATATAATACGGAGTAGTACATTACAAGCAACAATTATTATTATTTTTTTGTTCTTTCCAAAGAGCAAGGACTATAGTATTTAATAGTTTATTATTAAGTGATATGTAAAACTAGTTGGACGAGTAAGGCGTGTGGGCTACACTTGCACATTAAAGGCCGAAAAGACGAGGTGGACTAAGACTAAGAGTCAACAATATTAAAATAAAAACCCAAAAAGAAGTTGGGTTAGGTTTGACCCCTACCGACCCCTCTTGAATGCCATCCGGGTTGAAGCCCAACAAACTCGGATCGGGCTTCAGCTTGGCCTTATTATTATTATTATTATTATTATTATTGTTTTTTTTTTTTTTTTTTTTTTTTTAATAATCTTACAGTATATGCAAAAGCCAAAATTATTAAATTTTTCATTTCAATGGGTCCCACATAAACCTATCTAAGAAATTTTTTTGAATATCATGTTAACAAATCTAATGCTATATTTGGAACATCGAATTTACTGATTAGATTTGAAATTTAAAAAAAAAAATAATTCAAACTTTATATTATATTATTATTATTATTTTTTAATTCTAGATTCAAATCATACTTCCAAAGACTTACATAAGAAAAGTAATTTTAATATCTTGAACATTTTGCACATTCCAAATTTTTAATAGGTAGATGAGTAATTAACTCACAAACACTTATAGTGAATTATCTAACTTAATAATTTTTAATTGACTATTTATAATAAATACAACTAAATGAAGAATTTTATTTTTTTATTTGTTATATAATTAACCAATTAAAATAATAAATTTAATAATTTACTGCAATTATTCGATACAAGCCATCATTTTCCAATACGGAATATGTTTAAAAGCATAATGAGAACAAAATCACGCATGGATTGTCTATTAAATCCGTGTGTACAGAGTTAAAAACCAATAGGTGGCCAAACAATAGCCGAATTGCAAGACCCAAAGTTATTCCCCAAAACTTGAACAATTTGCACTTCTATTCAGCTTTTTAATTCTCCTAAATTCCCACCCCCTCCTGAGATGTCTAACCATTAACACCTGGACCATCATAGTGCTGACACGTGTCAGTTGAAATCCATGAGACTGGTCTCCAACATTTAAAGTAGCCCGCAGGACCATCAAACTGAAAAATGATGCACATGCACGTGTTTATACTTCATACCAAGAATTTTAGTAACATTATATATTTGATACCTTTTTTTTTTTTTTTTTTTTCCGGAAAATGACTCATTTCAAGAGTCTCGGCCTGTCTTCTTTCTACATGACCATGGCCATCCGAGGGCTGTTTTTCTTGGCATTTGCGTATGCCTTTGCCGGAATTTTCGGTTTCGTTTTCTCGTCCGGTCGGCCACCAGCCAGCGAGATCCCGTTCGTCCCTCTCATAGAGGATCTTCAGTTTACTTCAGCTGCCCGACAGGTACATTTTTTATGCTTCTCTACATTTATTTATCACAAACTGTACAAGGGATTACCAGAAATTCATGTTAAAAGTAGTCTTTTGTGACAAGCTTTAATGTGTATCTTTCTCTATATACTAAATTTGCCCTCTTTCGAATTTCGCTATAGATAGGATTTGAATAGATTGGGACTGTAGTTTTATGTTTTTTGCATGTAAGTTTCTAAAATTTAAATTTTAAAAATAACGTCTGCAACTTTTAGGTCTTCGTTTATTTATTATTAGAGAAAATTCACTTTATCTATCGGATAGAATTGTATTCATACATGAACTTTTTTTATATAGACGAAAAGGTTAAAAAAACGTTTAATTCTAAATAAATTAATAAATTAAGCACTTATTTAATTAAGTACATTTGATAACGTAATTTGACTATTACTTAAAATGAAATAAAATTTTAAACGATATGATTATTACTTATTACTGAATGTTGCACATTGAAAATTTAATAAAATATTAAAAATATTTATTTTTTAATTATCACTTAATTAAACGTTTTCAGCTCTTAAAATATTCCGTTTATTGTTCAGCTTTATGAAATAGCAAAGAACAGTCATATAAGCCCAGTTGCCTTGAGTTTTATGAGTTCATATAAGTCAAACCCAAGTTGGGTTTGAAAGTGCGAAATAAAAATTAAAATTAGAAAAAAATCAATTTAAATTTTAAATTAAATATTCTATTATTTGAAATTCAATATGTCAATTTAATGCTCCACATTAAAACATTTACCGGACATTTTAAAAGGCTTATAGTTGTGTTTTGATTTGAATCCCTCACTAATTTATGATATTAACATGGTAAATACATTAATTGCTTGCGCTCCTAATATTCCACGACCGACAGATTACGAATATCTAAACCATATGGCATGTCCATAAAGCTCATTTGAAAAAGGAAAATTTGGAAACAAAAAAGGAAATGATGACCAAAATTGTAAAAAAAATTTAGAAAATAATGATAAATTGTAAATAACAAAATTTTAAGTCAAACTTTTTGATGTTTTTTTTTTTTATTTTACTTACCAAAATATATAATTTTTAAGTCAAAAGCTTTAATGCCAAAGCAATTGTAATTTGTAATACTAAAATATTTAAGATATATATATATATATATATATATATATATATATATATATGGTCCAAATTCCTAAGTAACACCTATGAAGTAAAGAGATCTATATGAATAATACTTAAGTCATACCCGCCATATTTGATTTGTAATTAAAGATGACATGTTTATTTATTATTGGTCCACATCCGTAAGTATTGTCCTACTTTCTCCATCCCAAAATAAGTGTTCTACTTTCCATTTTTGGCTGTCCCAAAATAAGTGTCATACATCAAAATCTAATACACTATTTTTTAAATATTCATAATATACCCTTTGTCTTGAAATTATAAAAGTAATTAAAACTTCTAAAAAAAAGCTATTGTGAACTTCACAATTCAAACAACTTTTGTGCCTTACTTATAAATTGTTACAAGGACATATTAAAATATATAATTTTTAAGTCAAAAGCTTTAATGCCAAAGCAATTGTAATTTGTAATACTAAAATATTTAAGATATATATATATATGGTCCAAATTCCTAAGTAACACCTATGAAGTAAAGAGATCTATATGAATAATACTTAAGTCATACCCACCATATTTGATTTGTAATTAAAGATGACATGTTCATTTATTATTGGTCCACATCCGTAAGTATTGTCTTACTTTCTCCATCCCAAAATAAGTGTTCTACTTTCCATTTTTGGCTGTCCCAAAATAAGTGTCATACATCAAAATCTAATACACTATTTCTTAAATATTCATAATATACCCTTTGTCTTGAAATTATAAAAGTAATTAAAACTTTTAAAAAAATGCTATTGTGAACTTCACAATTCAAACAACTTTTGTGCCTTACTTATAAATTGTTACAATCATAAAAATTAACGGTTTTAAAAAGTGATAAGAATGTCATACTCTATATATATACCTGTGAAGTAAAGAGATCTATATGAACGATACTTAGGTCACACTCACCATATTTGATTTGTAATTAAAGATGGCATGTTCATTTATTATTGGTTTACATTAGTAAGTATTGTTTTACTTTCTCCATCCCAAAATAAGTGTCTTACTTTCCTTTTTTGACTGTCCCAAAATAAGTGCCATACTTCAAAATCCAATACACTATTTTTTAAATATTCCTAATATACCCTTTGTCTTGAAATTATAAAAATAATTAAAACTTCTAAAAAACACTATTGTGGACCTCATAATTCAAATTTGAAAGTCCACCCCCATTAAGTGGTTGGGTGAAGACAAACAACTTTTGTACCATACTCATAAATTGCTACAAGGACATATTAGAAAATTCATCATATACTACTATAAAAAAAATCATAAAAATTAACTGTCTTGAAAAGGGATAAGAATGTCCTACTCACTAGTGAGAGTATATATTTTGGACAGCACTTTGCTTACTTATCTTTATTTATTACTTTTCTGATTTTGTAATTACAGACTATTTGTGTATTTATAATTGAACCACATCAACACTGGTAAGAATGTCCTACTCACTAGTGAGTATGCAAGTCTTATCTATATATTATGTTTGGAACAGGAGATATCATTCAATTCTCAAAATTTCAAATTTCAAATTTTAAATTTCAAAAGTAGAAAATTATTCTCAGATAATTATAAAAGAGTTTTTAGAAGTACTTTTTTTAAATGTGTTTTTAGAAGAAATCATTAACCAAACAAATTTTTATACAATTTTTTTTTTTTTTTTTCAGTTTTCAGAAATTTAAAAATTATTCTCGAAAAATTAAACGAAGCACACCCTAAATTGTTACCACTGTTTCTCCAAAAATTTACAGTATCCCATTGCTTCTACACAGAAATTACACTAAAAATGCATAACAAGAATTCAAGAAACTGAGGTAACGGTCTAGTGAAATTAAATGATAAAATGGGATAAAAACAAGGATTATTAGATTTTGAAGGCATAATTAATAATTTATTTTTGCAATGTCTAATAACAAAAATAACAATAAATTAGTATCATAAATACGAAGTTTAAAAAAATTGAGAGTGACAGCTTTAATTTTCCTATACAAATCCATCATTAATAATACTAATAAATTAACAACAAATTTATGAAATAGGCGCGAGGTATTTAAAAGCTTGGTCAGTATGAGTCGTATTCACACCTGGAAGAAGCCAAAATAAAAGTAAAAATTCGGTTATTAATAGCGGCGAAACCGTAACGATATGAACACCGTCACTAAACCTAGAAACCAAATAGGGACACGAGATTTGTCCAGGGAAAATTAGCAACTCAAAACCCCATGACATATGAATGTAACTGATAACAACAAATAAATACAGTAACTTATATATATATATATATATTTGCAAACCCATCCAATGAAAAGAGTATCTAATCTACACTCCACCACCTCTTTCAAAATCTGGTACTCTGTCATCATCATTGCACATGTAGCAGTAGTTTTCATTAGACAGTACTCTTTGTTTCACTCCATCTCTCTCCGCCGTGGCAATATTCGCCAGAAATATCGATTTTGTGGTGGTCGCTTTCATCCATGAAAACAGTTCACTCTATCCCTATGATGCAACCCACTTAAAAACTCGGGCGAAGCCATGCAAATTTATTAGGGGATATATAAAATTAAATATTTAAAAATAAAAATAACATAATTACAAGATATTTCTTTAAGTGCATTTTTAAAGTACGTTTTTAGAACGTTTCTATAAAATATATGAAAGGAAAAAATTGGAGAGAGAGAACATTGATGATCGATCAATGAGATTGTCAAATATCACCCATTCATTTATTTATTTATTTATTTTTTTTTTTTTTTGGGCAATAAACATACTCATAAATAAATAAAGTACTAATATGTTATATTTGATGGTAGGGGATATGCAATTGAACTTGATGCGAAATTTAATGATTGTGACATACATTTAGGAAAATATTTTTATTCTTTTAGAAAGGTTCTTTATTGGAGTCTATTTATTGGGGTAACTACGATTTTGTAATGAATAAAATTTTTCTCTAGCTGATAATGTTTAGTGAGCATCTAACCCTGGTAATTATTACTATACAATTCAACTTTACCTTTTAACTGAAATTAAAATATTTTTTTTTGCTTTTTTCTGCATCGGAAAAGAAATCGTTCTAACTCTTATAATTTTTTTTTCCATATATTATCTATTCTTCTTCGGCCTCAAATCTTGTTAAAATCTAAAGGATTGTTAGTATGAAATAGAAATATTCACAAATTTACCTTTTGAACGAAATAAGAATTTTTTTTTTTAATTGTTCTTCTTCTGCATTGTTTTCCTTGGTTTCTTCTTTTTAAAGGTTTTTGTTCTTTCTTTTGGGAGTATTCAAATTTCAACTAAGTGACTTGATGAGTGACTCATTAAGTGAAGGTCAAATCCATTAAATAATATACATGTTATATATAAAAGTTATATGTATGTATTAGAATCTATAAATATGAATTTAAATTAACAGTGGTTTAATTTTTTCATATAAAGTAGCCATTAATAATGATAAATTAATACCATCATTAGACATTTGAGGAAAATTTGGGAATTGGGGCATAGGTTGAAGGTATATCCTAAAAAGACAACTAATAATTTATTTTTGTACCCTTTAATAACCTATAAATAAGAATAAATTAGTATATGGGAAGTTTTAAAAAAATCGAAGGGCCAGGTTTAATTTTTCCATATAAAGTCCGCATTAATAATAATAAATTAATACCATTATTAGACAATTGAGAAAATTTTGGGAATTGGCGCATAGATTGAAGGTATATCCAAGTGTATGCCAACCTGTGTCGGCAGTCGTATTCACACCTGGAAGAAGCCAAACTTGAAGTAAAAGTGTTGGTTATTAATAGCGGCCAAACCTCAACGTTGTGAACACCGTCACTGAAACTAGAAACAAAATAGGCGCTTTTGTATTCTGGGAATGTACTGGTACACGCGTCGGAACAACAGTGACACGACATTTGTCTGAGGAAAATTAACAACTTACAGGCCTATGACATATGAATGCAACTGACAACAACAAAATCAATACAGCAAATTATATATATATAGATATATATATATATGTATGTATGTATGTATGTATATATATGTATATTTGCAAACCCATCCAATGAAAAGAATATCTAATCTACACTCACCCACCTCTTTGAAAATCTGGTACTTTCATCATCATTTCACATGTAGCAGTAGTTTTCATTAGGGCTCACATATTTAATTTGTTCCACTCCTCAATTATTATTTTCTTTTTTCATGCATTGAGATCCACTTGTTGATTACTACACAATCTCTCTCTCTATCTCCGCCGTTGCCATGGCTGTTCACCGCTTGTTTCTGGCCTCGGCATTCGCCGGAATATTCTTCTGCTGCGTTCTTTCCTATGACCGCCCTCCCCCACGCAAATCCCACTTTATTCCCCGCCATCAATATCTCGATTCTGGTTATTCTGCAGAACAGGTACCATATTTTCCGCCCCTAAAAATGCTACAATGTCTGATTATTTTTTTGTTAAACTGTTTATCTCAACACAGTTTTCTGTTTTCAATTTTTTTAAAACTATTTTAAGACAACAAATTTTCTTTTGTAATTCTCTGAAAATGATTTTTTTTGTGTTTTCTGAGTACTCATATATATATATATATATATTCTTTTTCTTGGTAGTTGCAATCATACAGTAGCATATTTTATACTCCTATATTATTGGAACACAAATGATAATGTTTTCTGCAACTATTGCACTCAATTGATAATGCAATCACTCATCTATGAAATTGAAAGGTATATATATTTGAGACACATGCAGATGTGTTTATAATAATTAAACTGAGACATTTGTCATTCATATAAGTTGAAATTATGGAAAGTTTGTTCCACCTTTTGTCTCCACAAGTTGTTCCCTATAGCAAGCAACCAAGTTTGTTTAATTGGATTACCAAAAGAACTTTTTGACTCAAGCCCATTTTTATTTATTACTATTCCCTTTGTTTATCACTTTTTGGTAGGTGAGAAACCAAATTTATGCATCTAATTAAGAGGCCTGAATTGATGTCAACATCATCTATTGAATTTTGTTTTTATCAAATTAACTGATCTCTAAAAACATTAAAATTGGTCCCAAATCCATATTTGGGTGTCAATTTAATCCATTAATTCCTACCCTTGGTAACAACAGTAACCAATTCATCACATTCAGGTACACATATCTCTGGTTGGCAGTGACAAGATGAGGATATCATGGATTACAGATGGTGATACTCCGGCGACAGTACGCTACGGTACCTCATCGGGAAAATATGATTTTTCAGCAACTGGGACTACATCTTCATATAAATATCTAATGTATGAGTCTGGGAATATAAATGAAGCGGTCATCGGTCCATTGACACCGAATACAGTCTATTACTACCAATGTGGCTCAGATTCTGCTCGCGAACTCAGCTTCAAAACCCCACCAGCTCAATTCCCAATCAAATTCGCCATCTCAGGTACATTGTCAATTTTCGTGTTGAAGCATCACATTTATTTCGTATCAATGTCATATTGTGCTAACACATGTATATGTATATATATATACAGGTGATCTTGGACAGACTGGGTGGACCAACTCAACCCTTGACCACATAGCAAAATCTAACTATGATGTGTTTATACTTCCTGGGGACTTGTCATATGCTGATTTTATTCAGCCACAATGGGATTCATTTGGTCGTCTGGTTGAGCCGTTGGCCAGCCAAAGGCCTTGGATGGTGACACAAGGCAACCACGAGATTGAGAAAATCCCATTAGTCCATTCCCAACCCTTCACTTCTTACAACAAAAGATGGCTCATGCCATTTCAGGAGAGTGGTTCCGACTCCAACCTCTACTATTCCTTTGAAGTTGCCGGTGTTCATGTCATCATGTTGGGGTCCTACACTGATTTTGACCCCAGCTCGGGGCAGTACCAGTGGCTTCAAGCTGACTTGGGGAAGGTTGATAGGAAGAGAACACCGTGGCTAGTGGTGATTGTTCATGCACCGTGGTACAATTCTAATACGGCTCATCAAGGGGAGCACGAATCAGATGACATGAAGGCAGCTATGGAAGGGCTGCTCTATGGAGCTCGCGTTGATGTTGTTTTTGCTGGCCATGTCCATGCCTACGAACGCTTTGTAAGCTTCCTTTCGTTTCTTTGCATCACTAAATATGTTTCTCAATCTGAATTGAGACATAGCATGTTTAGTGAAAACATTTCTTCCTATAGTTGAAAAACTAGGTAAAAAATGGATCGGTTCATATTTGATTAGGGGAAGAGGATCCCTTCATGTGCGGAGGGGATCTGTGCTTTGTCTGTGCACCAAGACAGCGTAGTAGACACGGAGCTCAATGTTGGCCCGTGCAGACCGTTTTGGTACACAACACAGGCACAGGATCCCTCTCCGCATAGGAGGTTGATTAAAATGCACCTCTAAATATTTGCTTGATCTTAACTTCTGTCAATATCTCTCTGATCATTTCAGACGCGGGTTTACAAAGAGAAAACTGACAACTGCGGTCCTGTGTACATCACTATTGGGGATGGTGGCAACCGTGAAGGCCTTGCCAACAAGTAAGTTGGTTTTCTACACAAGCTTATAATCATGGAACTGCTTTTTATTACAACTACATTTGACCTTTGCTGGTGCCAATCCATCCATTACCCAGTTTAAAACGCATAAAAACACTACCTTAATACTAACACTGCATCCAGAACTGGATTGCCTGATTGATTGTTCGCTCATTTTAGGTCGGTATCACTTGCTTAAAAATTAATAAAGTTTATGAAATCCTGCACTTACAGGTATATAGACCCACAACCGAACATATCTGTCTTCAGGGAGGCAAGCTTTGGGCATGGCCAACTTGAAGTGGTGAATGCAACCCATGCACAGTGGACATGGCATAGGAACGACGATGATATCCCGGTAGTGGCCGACTCTGTTTGGTTAAGAAGTCTGGTAACTGATCCAGCTTGCAAGGTGTAAAATGTAATCTAAAGTGTTTGTTTATGTGAAACACAGTTTCAGGAAAGAGTTTATTTTTTAGAATACATTTTGATTCAGTTCAATTTTACAAAAAAATTAAAATAAAAAATAGTCCAATGGTTGAGAGATTAGTTTGTTGATGACCACATCAATACGAACTAATTATATGAAATGGTATCTGATTCCAGATTATGATACTAATAATAATAATAATGGCCCAAAAAAATAATCTTATTTGAACAATTCATTAAATCCATGAAGAAGATGGACACATGATTATACGGATCTACAGCGTTTCTCAGACACAGCTCAAAAAAATAAAAATTTGCAGAATTAGATAACCACTACCGAGATACCAATCCCAAAAATCCAACAATCAAGATGCGAGGTTAGAATTCAATTTGTTAACAGTAGAACTCTCTCTCTCTCACACACATTCAATGTGTGCAGTGCGTGCGTGCGCAATAATACATCCTAGAAAAAGAAATATTTACAGACTCCATCTTTTGGCTAAAAGCCTAAAACCTACAGATCTACAGACCTCATCTCTTGGCTACAGAACTCAGACCTTTCTATATATTATACACACTTATATATATATTATATCAAATCAAACTGCACAGGTAAGCCGGAGGTAACAAGAGAATCGATTGTTCCCAAGTATACTTTTCATATATAAAAGAATGATGACATTAAAATTTTCACTCTATACATATATACATCATGTACACAGTGGGGTTTATGTACAATCATATTCCCTTTTCTTCTTCATTTTTCCTCTTCTTTTTTTTTTTTTTTTTTCGGGTTGTGGGGGATGGGTATTGCCTATTAGGGTAGACTGTAGAGACCACTTCCTACTAGAGAATTCAGGAGATCCAAGTCTTCTAGTGAAATCAACTGATGTGACTAGCCTCTCACATTTTCTTTGGAGCGATGAATATAAACCAGCACCCTCCAAGCAAAAAACAATCATATAATCGCACGATTTTTCTGACCTAAATGAGACTACTTTGATGCAAAAGATGCACTGAACCCCAGCCTTGCTCTTTTCCCTTTTCAATTGTAGACTTCAAAACTTGTAAGAACTCCTCTGCCTCTTCTTTGCATGTAAATTCCAAGGTGGTCTGAAAAAGTGGGAGCGGAGTAGGAGAATTGTTCCACCTCTTTCCTTTTGTCCCACCACCTCTTTTTAGATGCTGCTGATTCTGTCTCAATAATGTATCCGAATTGCTCCCAACAATGTGTACAGCTCCTTCAGCATTATCAGCGTGGATTACACTATCCAGTCCAATCTCTGCTTCTATCATCCACTCCGGATCAGCAGGAACACCTCGAAACTCAGGCTTACCCAGATCCACTAAACAGGAGCAGCTAACAATCAAGATAAGTCTCTCGGTGATGATAACAAATCGACCACCCTGTTTAAGGGTTTTGCACATGACTAACGCCTCATCTTCCAACTTCAAGCCATCATCAGCCTCCACAAGAACAGATGTTCCAACTGCTTCTTCCCAAGAGTAAGGCTTCAGAGGATGTACTCGACTCAGAGGTCTTGGGAGACGGACCCTATAACGCTGGGTTGCCATCTGGTGGAGCTTACTTCGGTTTTTGATACTCTGTGCAGTTTTCCCAGTGACCTCAAGGATACTGGCTGCTGGTCTTGCCACAAGTCCTGTTAATCCTAGGGCTATACCTGCAGCAGACAAAACGTAAAAAAACCATTCAAAAGCAAAGAAACACCTACTGCATCGTGTACAGTAATACCTGAGAGGACTCCTGGAAGGCCATGTTTCTCAGCTCCTTTAATTGGTGATTGGAGTAGACCAGTTAATCCCTGGTATAAACGGAGGTACAAAATTGAAACATATATTCAAATTTCTGAAAGTATAATGCTTATAGTTGATATTTGCCTCCTATAGAGAATAGGGTTGATATTTGCCTCCTATAGAGAATAGGCATACTCTGCTATGATTTAAGATTTTTGTCCACAGGCATGACGATTTATGAGAGACTTAATGACCCATGAAACTGATCATTGGATAAATAATATCAGATAGAACTTAGAAGATTCAATTCATATCTGTCTTGTTCAGGTAATGTATGTGCAACTAATTTCTCTAATAACCAATGATCTGGCTAGTGCATTTGTAAAAAACAGAGTGTTGGATAATTTAGTAGAGGGAGGCCTGGAATTCAAGACTCCTTGGGGCATTTATGAAACAGGCCTGGACGGTGACCAGCCAATATAGGTTGTAGTTGAAAAAAAATAAAGGAAACCACTTCGATAAGAATTAGTGTATAGAAAGATTAAACACCTCAAAGAATTCATTTACGACGCCTTTGCTATGTGAAGATAGAACCTTCTTTTGCTGTTCCATTTTTGCAACAGCCTGGTCATCAAATGTAAATGCAACAATTCCCTACAAGTTGAAAATGCTCTTAGTATCATCAAGAATAAAAAAACTGACACACTGAACCATTCGAGGTCATATAATGTGGAATCACCTTATGAGCAGCTTTGCTGAATTGAGTCGCAGCATCACTTAGGGCATAGACTGTGTTACTAAGAAGACTAGTCGTGCCTTGTGCCATGCCCGTAACAATTCCAGCAGGGCTCTGCGAAATAAGAGCTACTTTCAGTATTCAGATTGAAGAAGCATGTATTGAGATAACATAACACACCTGCAAAATACTCCTGGCAGGAACTGACAAGAAATCTTTGATACCGAGACCCACACTTCTAGCAAATCCCATGGGGTTGCCTATAACACCAGCAGAACCAAACACCTGCACAATAAAGAATTACAAGATAAAGTGTAAAGAGTGTAAAAAAATTACTCTCTCCGTCCCAAAATAAATGTCCCTTTTTGGGAATCTAACTCTTTAAGAGGATGAGTTTTAGTATTTTTTAATATATTGGTACTGAATGAATTACCAAGGGTCGACAGAGATGTGATGGTTTACTTTTTATAAGTTCAATGCAAGAAGGTTAAATTGGTATTGTTACAAAAAATAGTACTTTGACTTTTCAATTGGGACATTTATTTTGGGACAGCAAAAATGGAAGGTGGACATTTATTTTGGGATGAAGGGAATAACATTTACACTATTGCAATGAACTTGGTAATACTGTTGCCAAGTGAAAAACTACAACAATTAGCTCCAAGTAACAATTACAATAAGTGGATCAACTGCTGGAGTTCATCACATGGGAAGCTTAGTGACAAACATTTATCCAGAAACAGATGCCTAGAAAATGGTAGCCTAAGATAACGTCATGTGGAATAGCATTTCTGACAGTAAACTTTTCCACTGATTATGTATGTGTTCTTTTCTACCTCCCTCTTGGACATATCTATTGGGACATATCTATTCGGTACTTGTATGAAAGTAGGGGTAGCCAAGAAGAATAATTATTTGCTTGCCTAATTGTCAGAGCTCTGTTTTCTCAATGGAGAATTATATGAGGAAAAGATTACTAGTTCAAGAAAAACGCCATAAAGCTCGACAATCTTAAAACATATACTAACATTGAACTTGGGGGAAAATTTATTTAGTCTTTAGTTTGTTTAGGGAAAAATTACAACATTATGTCTATTCTTTTTCCATTTCCAGAAAATAATCGCTGCTTATTACCATTATTGTTCTTTTTTCATTTAAACAAATAAATTAAGTTCAATATGGGTTGAATGAAGCTCATATTCTTGTACTCCATAACCAATTATTTCGTGTACCAGATCTACTGAGCTTCAAAATAAAATAATGATTATTTGGAAGTTCAAATCCATAAATCTTAAACAACATGGATGGCAAAATAATTCAGTTAACAGAACTTGGACACAAAATGATGAGTAAGTTCAATTGATACGCGTGTCAAGCATTCACTGAAATTACAGCCAGGCAAAGAGTGGCAAAAATGACTGCTAACAGCCTAACACTCCCTTGTATATTTGAATGCACTATATTGCTCTAACTTATGAACAGTGTCACCTGAGAACCTAATATGTCATGGGCAATGAAACTAAAATAACGAAGAATGCAAAACCACTGGGATAAACTAAACCACAAGATTATAATCATAAGTCTACCTTGTACATCTCATGAAGAAGTTGGCGAGTGTAATGCCTGACAAGGATTTCTTGAATGGATTCCCAGCTAGCCATATGATGGGCAATGGTCAGTTGATTGAGATAAATTTGAGCTCCCTCAACATCAGCAAGGGCCATAAGGCCTCTCTGCAATAATTTAAGGTTATAAAACCAGGACAAATATATATATATATACAGAAATCAGTAGCTATATGAGGTTAAACAGAAGTACTGCTATCGAAGGAAATCCTTTGTATGATCAGCAATAAATCATGTAATATAGCACTTAATGCTGAAACTGAGGGTTTTAAATGGTTGAAGTTGTTCACAGAGAAATGCAACCAAAAATTCTTAAATATTGTCCTACATCACAATATAATATTTTGATGTCTTCTCTAAAAGATCTTGCTACTTACATGGATTAGAGACTCTCCTGATGTAAGAGCCCCATTTCGAAGGATCCATGGATTGCTGGAAAAGCTGCAAGAAAAAGATTAATGTACGTTAGCAGATCAATAATGAACTAAGAGCTAAGTATAGATATAGGGATAGCATCCACCAACAGAACAACTACAGGTTCACCTTAATGTCAACTTGATGGGTGCTAAATCAAACACTTCGAGATAAATTTTCTTTTGTCTTCTGGCTAAGAGGTATATTTTCTGCCAAGGAGCTCCAATTGGAACTATTGAAGGTGGTAAATAGCTGCTTTTGCACTTTTCAATAAACATAGAATCATTCATCAAGTAGTGTTGGTCCCAATTTGCTTTCACATACTCATGAGCCTCAACTTGTGAAGAGTATTTTTTCGTAAAACCTACATCAGAGACAAGGGGATATGTCGTGGAATCCATACAAGTCAAGACTCTGCTCTTGAACCTTGAAGATACAGTTCTTAAAAAATCAAACAAGCTTAAGATCACTTCTTGCTCGAGCTCTAGGTGAAAATCTGCCACTCTGCAAGCATTGAACAGCATATATCAAGCACTGAAGGTATTAACAAAATTTATGAGGTAAACTTGACAAAGTAAAACACACCTCAAACTTATATATTCAAATGAAACCAATGAGAGATTTTCATTCCTCCACTTAGCAGCAGAAAAGCAGAATACAGTTTCACATGGACCTCCAGCGGCAACTTGCATCACGGTTTCGGTTTTGATCTTTGTATTTTCATCTTTATTTTTCATCTGCCCGACTAAATTACTTCTATTTTCATGATCAAAGGACAGGATCACAGGGTATGGAGTACTTTGCAACTGGTTATCAATTTGCAAAGATGAGATCTGTAAGGCAAACTTTTGTTGATCCAGACTCTGGAGCAGATCAATCGACGTGTTTCTTGCACATGCAAAAAGTAGTTCCTACAAAAGAAAAGGCAGCGAAAGCAGAATTCAAAAATAGTGATGGCCTATGAATGGTAAAGTTCTACCCCCCAAACCACTCATACCTGTGAATAAGAATTCATCAAGGAAATTCCAATAAAAGGAACAGCAATTGATATCTTCTCATTGTAATCAACAAAAGTTTCCTGTTTCTGGTCGTGTTTTCTATTTTCTTTAATCTGAGGGTCACGGGGATCCTTCATATCAATCAAAATATGATGACTTGAATCAATAATACTGAGAACCTGTATTGAAAAAAGTAACCACTAAGTTCTGAAGGAACAGAAGTGAAAAGATTGCTGTCAACTCCAAAATTTTAAAATTCACCTTCAATGCTCCTTCAGCACGGACAGAAACAAGCAAAGTTCTTTCAGGCTTCTGAGAGAAGAAAGTGTAAACCATTAGTTCAATTGATAGATAGCGGAATCAAACTCCGAAGTACAAGTGACAACTAACAATGAATATTTTGTGTGAAGATTGATAACAGAACCAACAGAAATCAAAAAATACAAAACTATGAAAATGAAAATAAAGATCTAAAAGCATATCAATAACAGAGCTCCATAGCTCTCTACTCAACCATTTATTGCATCGGTCTTGGCTTCCTGAAATTTTTCTCACTCGTTTGTCAATATCATATTTCTATCATATTTCAAAAGTTGAAAATTCAAAGATCTTCTGAAAGGAGCAACATCTAATATTATAGTTTTCAACAATTTCTTCTCATAAATTGATTTGCAACATGTTTATTGCTTAAACTATATATTCTTAATTCCAGTCAGTGAACTTCAAATTCATGCCATAAGGAAGGTAACTAATTAGAACTTGGAGTTCCTGGCATAAGCAAGCTAAATAATAAGAATTGATAGTACTGTGATTTCTTTCTCTCTCTTCTTTCCTTTCTTTTTCCATTTTCTTTTCTTTTTTATTTATTTATTTTTAACTCTGGGATAAGTATATGAAGTGAGGGATTTGCCCATACCACACATGAAGTTTGGAAAACCGTGACTGATCCCAAAAAATACTCTCATCAAATTGGTTAAAAAACATTCATTGAATTTGTGTCTTGACTCTCAACAAAAATCCAAATGTTGTGAATAACGTATCAAAGCCACTTCATCTGTTCAATTAGAATTATTATCTACTTGTACTTCTGTTTATTGTCATTTCAACGATCAACTTCTCCCAAAAGATATTATGCTACCTCGGATCATCATCATATCAGCTTTCTATTTGATTTGTACCGGAAGGCCCAATTAATTGGGATTTCCATAATGGTCCAGGTCATTTTGGGGCAAGCGGATCATTTATAATGAAGAGGATGAACTTCAAGAGAATGATTTGCGGTTCTTTTAGAGTGGTCCATGCAGTAACAGTCACACCCCACCATAATATTCACAGAAACCATTTCGAAAATTAATTTGAACAATATTGTTTGTGAAGAGAATCTATACAAACTATTATAAAAATTGTTCTCTTTAATTGGATAAGTGCATATACATTAATATCTTTTTAGCACACTGTGCACACAGGGTAGAAAAGAGCATGAATGAAAACCAGAACAACTTACCTCTGAAGTTGAAGGTAAGCATACAGTTGCGCATTCTTTCACTTCATCAAGAGAGTATGACCCCAAGATACGCTCTCCAGGCACCTTACAATTTTTTTAATAAATCTTAATCAGTAATAATCTTGGATTATTCAATATCTGAACTAAAAATTAGAAGGCATACCTCAACAGTGAGCCGATGCGGGTAGCAGGGCTCATCCCATGCATAAGGGCAAGATGTGTACGAGTGAATAAGAGTTTCAAAAGTTTCACACCTTTGTTGATAAATCCGTAGCCTCTACAATGCGGGGGAAAAAAAAAAGCTTCATGATAAGCTGTGCAGTTATGGTTCTATTAAGTGATAATTGGAAGATTGCGTTTTCAATAATTCAATCATTCCAAGCTATATTTAATTTTATAGAACACTATAAAACAAGCAATTATTTTCACTTAATAACACTCTAGTATAACTACTTGGAAAGTGTGTATCTCGTGAGTATAAAAGTGCATGTGTTTGTGTGTGTGTGTGTGTGTGTAAGAGAGAGAGAGCACAAGAAGAAAAGATTAATCCGTTATTGGGCAAGAAAGATCTTTGAAACTGCAAAAGGAGTGTCAACTGTTCTGTGCTGGGTCAGAGCTGGTCCACACTAAGAACCATTTCAACTTGCATAGTTTGCACAGAGATGTAATTTTTCACTATGTATAAAACTAAGCAACTAGTTTCAAGTATTGTTAATCACGCAGAGAGTACACTACTTAAATCACTGCCTGTGAGAAACATCTATTTAACAAAATGAGCAAATAGTTTTAGATACTAACGACAGTGAAAAACTGCATTGAGTGTATGGATGATCTAAATGTATATTACAAATTAGAATACCAAGTAATACTTTGATAAAATTGGTAATCACTACACATATATTATGGGAATAAATTAAGTAGCTTCTTAAAGTTATACGTTAGGAAAAGAAAAAATGGAAAAAAGGTTTACTCAACAAAGCCTTTATTCCAAGTAATCAGTGAAAATGCTCAATGAATATACACCAACCTCCTTCGAGAAGTTATCAATTCTGTATGGCATAAAGCCTGTATCATCATCGGATAAAAGAATCAAGTTTGTCCCAGAATTTCCATCAGGGTTCCCCACAATCTTTTCATTCTTAAAGGCAACATCAGCATTCTGCACTTCCACGCGTATCATATTTACTGCCCCAGAAACATAGTTTCGCATTTTCACCTGAGTATCACCAAGATGCTCTGGTGAGAAGCACCCTGACCATTGCCATCCAGGTTCGTTGAAACGAACGGAAACTAGTAACTCCCTGCAACACGTTGAAGCATGACATTACAAACAAGAATGAAAATGAAAATACAAATAAAAGATATGGCACCGGAAATTTGACACAAAAAACAATTGCTAGAAATAAGGGCACTTTTCTACCCGAAAGTCAGAAAGATGCTATAAAAAAAATTAAAAAATTTTAAAAAAAAATTTAAAAAAAAAAAAAAACAGTTTTAATTGTATCAAGTTCAGAGATTAATTTAATTTAGATCATGAAAATTTAGTCCTACACCCCTCCACACCCACTTTTTTTCTAAAACCACCTCCTGTTTGTCAAGTAGTAAGGTTGTCAAAAGTGGAGGTTAAGTGAACATATACACACCCACACATATATATATGAGTTCATTACCCAAGACACTGACAGCAAGTGAATAGGTCTGATATTAATATGAATTTGTCTTATGTTATCACGATTAATAACATATTAATTTTAATCATTTACTCAAATACCATGATCGATTAATGCAATCAGCCATGGAAGAGAGAAAAAACATCTGTAAGAAGGATAACAGAGAGCTAGATCAAGCTAGAGAATAGCTTAAACACCCACTACACAGTCCCAAAAGAAAGGGAGAGGTAGAAAGCTGCTAGGGTATTGTTATTAAGTGAAAATAATTGATTGTTATCTATGTTCTATAAAATTACAACTAGGAACAACCCTTTTATAAACCACAATGGATGTCCTAGCAAAGATTCAATCCTAACCATTCACATAAATATTAATCAAAGAGCTGCTATTCTGTCCAGCAGAATAAAAGATACTAAAAATGACAAAACCACCCTTAAATGGTCACATGAAACACTTAATAGGCACATGCTTTCTAAATAGAAGCAAAATGACAAAAATATAGAAGATGTTCTTCCTTTGAAGTATCTGGGTTTGCCTCTGTGCTCTACTGGCTTGAAAAATTTTCATTGCCTTGCATTGGTTGATAAAGTCAATCAGCGTCTCACTGCTTGGAATACATAGTTGTTATCAGTTGCAGGGAAGGCGGAATTGATTCGGTCAGTTGTTACTCCTATATGCTTATACTGGTGCAATGTGTTTCAGCTTCCTGTGGCTGTGATAAATCATATTCAGAAATTGTGTAGGGATTTTTTGTTGGGCAGCAGAGATAACATTAAAAAAATTCAACTCTTGAGCTGGGACTTGATTACCAGAACTAAGGTGGAAGGAGGGATGGGTATTTGTAAATTGAAGGATTTGCAGGTTGCTCCTCATAGTGTTTTGGCTTGGGACTTTCTAATGAGCAAAGACAGGCTATGGATCCCATGGTTCAAGAATAGATATCTTCATTGCTCCTCTTATTGGAATGCTATTCCGGAACATCTCATTCTGTTATATGGAATGCAATGCTAAATACTAGAGAGAAAATGCAACGGCATATTAACTTCTCAGTGGGTAATGGTCAATTAATTAAAATCTTAACTGATCCATGGTGCGATGGACAAACACTGTTACAGAGGTTTAGTCATAGAGTGGTTAGGAGATTAAGGTTACCTATGGAAGCTACACTTAACAGTCTTACAGCCAATGGGAGTTGGAATCTGGATATGTTTCAAGATGATATATTCAGACCTGTTAGAGAATTTTTGTCTACCATTCCTTTACGTTCTAGAGAAGATCGATTACTATGGGATGGAGGGGGATTTTCATTCAAAAAGGCTTGATTTTGTTGCAGAGAGACTAATGCAGAAGTGGAATGGTATGGGGTTTGTTGGGGTAAAGCTAGGCCAAGATGGTCTGTCATCAGATTGATTACATTTCAGGACAGATTACCTAGCATGTCCAATTTGCAGAGAAGGAATTTTCAGCTTGTTTCTAGGTGTGCTATTTGTCATGAGTGTGACACTAGGGATCACATATTTGTGAATTGCCCTTTTGCTCAAGACATTTGGACATGGCTGGGGAGAGTGATGGGTTGGCAGCGATTTTCTGGCTCCAGTTTTCTGGACCTATATGGATGGTTTATTCAGAATACAACTAAGATTCATTATTGTTTGCTAGTGGCAGTTCTTTGGGGCATTTGGCAGGAGAGGAACTTGAGACTGCATGGAACAACTTCTAGATCTCCACAAGAGATGGCTAGGCAGATTCTTTTTGAAGTTTTAGATGTTACTAACTCTACACTCCAAGATCTTTTACCTTAGTTGCGTTCTCTGTTGGTTTTCCTGTATTGGAATGGTCTCTCTTTGTGCGGCCTTTATGCTTGACGATGCTTGATGTTTGCATGATATTTCTTATTTTCTGAGGGAATGCTCTCTGTGCCTTTGTACATAATTCTTTCTTTTATACAATAACCCAATTAAAAAAATAACTACATAAAAATAAATGACAAAAATATCACCACTAAAGCTTAAGGCAAACATTAAATAGGAAATTAAGACAAAATTAAAACTTAACTAAATGACTTAAAACCCAAAAAACAATGCTGCCCCTAATTACCAAAAATAAAAAATAAAAAAACAATGCTGCCCCTATTAATGCAATCTCAGTCTAGTCTTCTTAGGATGCTCAACTGTTTAGGATGTTAACTGTTTGAACAAAGTCCACTTCCATCTGCGCTACATCGTTTCCTCCATATGAGAGAAAACTCGTCCTCGAGATCGAAGTAAATTTCAACGATCAATAAAAAATCTAAGCATGGTGTTCCATCCCTTCTTCTTTTCCAAACTTGAATAAAAAACAATAATCTTCTTATACTAACAAAAAGAATACATTTTCATAATAAACATGGATTTTGCTAGATTTCCTTTGATATTGTGTAGATTCGCGAAACTCGGAGGAACACGTATCCTGAACTAAAAAATCAACTTTAATTTTTGTTACAACAAATGCCTGGCAGTTGTAATTCACCCCAAATCATATCATAAAAGTGAAATCCATTATTTTCATTCCCAAGGATCCAAAAGTTTCATGATTCACCACATTTTCCAAGCTATGTAAACTCGTTTTAGTGATCAAATCTTCAACACCAACCAATGGTCAAACTTGTATTCTTGCAAAACTCCCGTTGGTGAAAGGTTAAGCACTTCATTTTTCTCCGTTGCTATTGTTACCACCACATTCTCATAGCATCCTTCGTTTTGAGATTCTTATTTTGAACCTTCCTAATCAAAGATCGCTAGTTGATCCCAATCCATAGACATTTTTTACTCATATGATTCAATGGGTGGTTCGTCATCCAAAATTGGAGGCAAACTCCAGTCAATGAATGGTTATATGGTGGTCGATCTTAGGGAACCTTTCCAACCATGACTCCTCACGATTGACGAAAATGTTTTCATTAGACTCGTCATTATTATCATAAATAGGTTCCTCCTCTTCTTGTGGTTGTTCTTCTTCTCCACCAAGATTCCTGCAAATTCAGTTTCCATCTTAAAGCCACTATCCCAACGCCTTTCTTCAAATGGACTAGGTTTTGGTCTGGGTGCTGCGTTTCTGCGAAGAGGATTAACAAAATCCTCATCCAGATTGTCCTCCTCCTCAGTTTCAACACCATCTTGAGAAGGGGTTGGGGTTGGTGCAACGCACTGGGCTAAAAGCTTCAATGTGCCTTCTTAGATCTTCTATCAGAGCAAGCACTTGTTGTTCATCAACTGCTATGTCCTCATCAGGTCGAACGCCTAGTCTGCAAGGTGGGTTTCTTCTCCTTAGTAACATGTTGCAAAACCTAAGAGAGAGATCTTATTACCCAACATAAAACCACTAGACCAAAACTTGCTTAGATACCAACTAATGCAATCAGCTATGGAAGAGGGGGAAAAAATCCATAAGAAGGGAAAACAAAGAAAGGGAGAGGTAGAAAGATGCTATAGCAAGCTGAATATATTGATAATACCAAGAAAATTGCTGAATAAAATTTGGAACAACCCTTTTATAAGCCAAAAGGGATGCCCTAGCCTCCTAATCGTTATTAAACATAAATCTAAGAGCTACTATTCTGTCCAACAGAACAAAAGACGCTACAAATGACAAAACAGCCCTATAATAGTCACATAACTCACTTATTAGGCACATGACTTACTAAAGAGAAGCAGAATACCAAAAAACTAAAGCTTAAGGCAAACATTAAATCTCGAATTTGATATTTATCCGCCAATGACAGTCAGTCCGCCCGTCAAGTGATCTATGGAAACGCAGAAAATAGAACAGATTTTCCGCAGTTGTCTTGGTGTTTGACACAACATCATCCATTGGAACAGTGTCATCAACCGGCAGGTTGACAACACATTGACCCAATAGTTGAGTCAACAAATCAACTTTTTTCCGCAAAAACTCTACCTCGTCCTGGGGTTGCTGGACCCTACATCCTACAATTTCCTCCTCCTGGTTGTCGTGGAAGCATGATTGAGCAATCGGAAAGCCGAAACCAAAGCTCTGATACCGAACTGATGCTACCAAGAGGAGACGATCAAATTGTCTTCACAGCAATATTGAAATGAAATAAAAGAACGATGCAAGAGAAAGGAGAATTGCAAAGCAAACTATAATTGCTGTAAAATAATCTCTTCAACTAATAATCAAACCCTAGCAATTAGAAGGCTTTATATATATATAAAGCTTATATTAGCTAACTACCAAATATAAATTAAAATAAAAATTGGAAAGTTGCTGAAAATAAAGGAAAGTTGTAAAATATGGAAAGTTTCTAAAAAACACAAATTTCATTGCAGAAAATTAAGGATTTTCTGGCTGCATCACTTAGTGAGAATATTCTTTCATATACCTTGTTGTATCCTTCCAGTGAAGATGATAATGGTGTCCGATTCCCAGATGAGAAACAAAATTAGTTCCCTTTTGCTTAAAACATAAATACTTGCTGCATGCATTGCCGATAACATATCTGCAGGAAAAGAAAAAGAAAAAAAGGTAACAGGAGAGTGAACCATAATCGTATAAAAATAAATTACAGAATTCAATAAATATCAGAGTGATGTCGAAGATTGTACCTGGGCTGGAAAGTGATGGCTCTTGTCCTTCCAGAAAAAGGTCCAGCAATTGCACTTGCTGTAACAGATACTATATATGCAGCATTTGTATATGGTTGAGGAACAAGAACGCTGGTTGAACCAGTTGGTGGAACGAGAAGAAATGGGCTAGACCAAGAACATTTTGATGTGCTTTCTGTATAACATTCAGGCAGTTGCTGACTTACTTTAACCATAAATTCACCAGCAGAGGAGTTGGGTTTTGGAGAATACATGCAACTTTTAACTTTTTCATGACCAATTCCTATGAAATCAGAAAAGTCTAAATTTGACTGACTGCTTGAACTCAATCCATTCCTCGAACTTTTTAGTGAAGCTCTTCGAGCATGTAAATCATGTTCATCTGAACGCTCAAGAATAATTGTTGTTGAATTTTCGCGGACCAAGGGTTTGCTCAAAAGCTTCCCACTGTTGGAGTCTACTTTCTTCCTAGTTGAGACGATGTGATTTTTTGAAGCAGAATTGCTCAACCTATCATAGTCCAGTGCTGTAACATGCAAATCTTGATTAGAAGAAAGAAGACCTAGACCATCTTGTCTTCCTAGGTTTAGGTCTTGCTCATCCAAATCATAATATGAAGGAATGGTGCAGTCATATCCTTTCATTTCATTGGTAGAGTCTGAAACAACGAGGGGAAAACCAATGCAATTATATAACAAAAAGGGGACAAAAATGCAGATTTCACGAGCTCCAGAGAATGCATCCATGATCTTTTCCAGAGTCACATATATTGGACCTAAAACAATTTAATATCAACGCTATTAGAAATTTATAAAAAAAAAAAAAAAAAAATCAAGATCATCTCGACAAAAAAGTTCACAAGTAGTAGACATTACCATGAGATGAAGCAGGATCAAAATTAACGATTTCAGATAAAGAGAACTTTGTTCCACTGAACTTAGCGGTTGTGCTAAAACTTTCTGCACGTGGGAATTTCAGTATTGAAGGTTTAAATCCATTCATATGAAAAGCTAATCCAAGTTCATGCGAAGAATCAATATGAAAATAAGAAGTTTCAACCTGAAAAGATCAGTAAATATACAACTCGATTAATCGATGGTAGCACCAAACCACCATAAGCAAACACTGAGAATTATGGATCCCTAAGGTTACAAAAAATACACCACAAACCTCTGAAAGTAATGTAGTATGTTTAACCCCGCCACTTTCAATTGTCAATGATAAGGCCTCTGGAAGATAGTTTTTCACTACTAACGGACTGCTTAAAGTCACTTGGTGAATGAAACGCTTATTTGACTTGTCCACATTATGCAATAATTGGCCAGAATCTTCAAAGGACTGCTTAACAGTACTATTGATGTGACGAGATGAACCCTTACTTGGCTTGCCAGTTGAAGGTAAGCATATATCTTGCACTGATATGCAGCAGCGAAATGGATCACTGCTTGGATGAGATGGATAGCAAACAAATGAACGCAAAAATCCAATCCTACTTTCATGTGAAAGAATATTTGAGATGTTATGAGCTTCACTCCATAGGTAAGTGTGACCAAGTGGGCGCCATCTCATGCGACCAGCTTCAGCCAAATGTAGAGGCAACGGAAACTCCTGACAAGGATATATTGGATCTAGGATCTGAAAATAACAAGATTAAAAGTTTAGGCACAATGCAGGTGATGTGAAAGGCCATTGCAAGGAAGGATAAAGCAGAACAACTTTCATCCATCTAAATACCTTAGGAGACACTCCAAATGGAATATCAAACCGCACCTCAAGTGGTATTGAAGTTGCATTGAAGAGGATCACCTGGAAACATACAGCGTAAGTGGAAGCCATGAAACATATAGAAATATAATAAACACTAGAAACTATTTAAAATTATAAGAAACATATTTTTAATATCTACATACCGATGAGTACAAGCGCACCAACTTACTATACCGCTGAACCGAAACATCAAACACCACAGGAACAACAAATCCACTGTTTGCATCGATTTGATTGTTCTCTTCGACATTTTTATTGTTTTTTAAAGCATCCCGAATACTATCAACTCCTATATTATTTGATGACTTAGAAAAGTCCACCTCAAAGTAACTCACACCTACAAGATCCATTGAAATAGGAGCAGAAGGTACAGAGGTTCCATCAAGCTGGATCATAATATAATGATGCACCACCCCATTTGGTTGCTTATCATTCAGTCGGTCAGAAGAATGAGAAGGACAGCAGTGGAAGAGTTGTTCCTCTGGAGTTTCATTAACGTAAATCGGAATACAAGAACCTGGTTGCAAAAGTTTCCCATCATTCAACGATGATGCCTTCATGTCATCAACATATACTGGCCCTTTAAAGACATGGAATACTAGAGGCAAGGAAGTCAAATTTTGTAGTACATAAGGAGCATATCTTCCTGTGCATAAATCTTCACGATTCTGATAATTTAAAAAACTTTGGTTTCCATCCCTATTCACGCCTACTGGACCCCAAGCATCCTCAATCATCTCAATTGCCCTGAAAACAACCTTAGAAAACAAAAAAGGAATCAGTCATCAGTTATATGGTTCAACTGACTGTAGCTCTTAATGCATGTTGGAAAAATGATACGCAAGCTTATAAATAACATCATGTTGTTGTCTGGAACTATAAATGGAGAAAAATTTACTACATTAATCATAATGGAAGTATCCCATTATGGAATGCTGGTGAAAAAATAATTTAACACCTCCAGCAAAGATATTTGTTAGTTTGCATCTAAAGTACCCTGGTATTGATTGGATTGGATCAATTTTTGAAGTTCATCACACAGACTAAGGCCATCCAAGAAAATGGGAGCCACACAGAGAGCAGATTGTGTGATATCAGATTCAGGTTTTTATGAAATGAATAAGTATTTAAAATATTTGCCTTCGTTTTTATTGTAAGATAACCACCTTTTGTAGTTTTCCCTTTCACATGGTGGCTTTCTTGTAAGTAAAAGTCAGTAAGTCAACAGTTAAACTTTAGCTAATGAAATGGTAGAACATCAATACCTCAACAAGGGATTCTGTAACATTCAAATTAAGCTGTGCTGTTGAAAAGAGACAGAAATCTGTCATAATGGCACTGTTTAGTAGGGCACTCTTCTCATATTTTCTAGTAACATTTAGCTGAAATTTCCAAGGCTCGACGAAAGGCTCCCATAACACCTGGAAGCATTGGATATGAGTAACAGGTCATTATTAGATCGTTATTGCAAGAAAGAACAGAGATACTGGTGCTTCCACACCTAATATACCTTGTTAATGTTATTGTAGTTCACTTGAAGGTCGCCTGAAACTGAGCACTCCATTTTTTTGTCATTCATGTTAGTATCCAGGAGCAAATTTCTCATAAGAATTTCTAGTAGAGGTCCATTGGAGCTCCACTGCAGGAACACGAAGACATAAAATTAACATCAGAAAACTTACACTGGAATAAGCTGATTAATTGCTGTGATTTTTTTATCTGTAGGATCAGAACCATAAATTACAAAAAATATAACAAATACAAAATTTTAATATCCAATGGAACAGATGGTATCAGATTGGTTAACATGGCAATAGTGGAAAACCACAAGAACTCTAATTGGTCAATGGTTAAATCTCTACAAATTATAATGATTCAGTGCACAAGCAAAAGACAGTCGATATTAGATTTGCAAATTCTTAAAGGGAGTGAAAATGTAAAATTGAACTGATGGCCTTTCAGTTATGAGGAATAACCACAAGAGACCATTGTTGTTAGAGGTCAAAGGTCCAAAACACAAGACCAAGAGGGTTGAGGATTTTATCATTGGACATAATTATAAATAAACAAGTACTTCGAAGAAGATAATTAAAGAAGACAACAGCTTGTGCCGCCAAGCATGAGAATGCATATCTTAATAATAAGGACACCCACTTAGTGCAAACAATGCCAAAAATTAGGTATAAACCTACACTTAGTCCATCCCTCCCAGCCCCAACGACAGGGACGGAAATTAGGTAATGGTTTTTTTCACAATTACAGAATCCAGAAGAGAAACTAAGACTACCTACTCCAAAAGCTTAAGCTGTTAGAGAGCGTGTAACTTAAATATATATCCTTCAACACGGCCCCCTCACGTGTGGCCTTCTTTTGGTCCAACACGTGCTTTTCAATTTTTTAATTAGGGTGACGGTGAGGTTTGAACTCGAGACCTTTGGCTCTAATACCATGTTAACAACCATCTACTCCAAAAGCTTAAGCTGTTAGAGAGGGAATAACTTAAATATATATCCTTCAACAAGGTTAATAGACATTAAGTAAAGCCAGAAGAGAAACTAAGAGGTTAATAGACATTAAGTAACGCAACAAAAACTATTTTTCATCACATATTACTCTAACAATCAGGAAAGCCAGTACATAGTATTGAAAACAATTAAAAATACCATAAATAAACCATAACTGATGTGATTTTAGAAAATGACATACCCTTGCATCAGTCAACAAAAGAGAAACCTTCCCTAGTTGGATTTTGAAGTTGAAACAACTGAAAGCAAACTGGGAAGATCCTGCTTCAGGAAATCTGAATGGGATATGTTGCCAGAAGTAGAGAACATTGTATGAAAGCCACACATCTAGACAGTGACATTGAACTTCCGCTTTGACATGCACCTGCTCCATCTCATTACTACAAATCTCTGCCACAACATTAACTTCAAATAACTGAAAAAAGGGCCATGAGTGAACACTATTATCCTGACATATCTTCACTATTCCATTTGTTTTTTCCAAATTGGACTTTAATCTTGCGGTTCTGCCATTTATAACCAGTTCACAATGTCTACTTTGCAAAGTAATGGCAATAAAGTTATCACATTTTCCTTCAACTATGTCACATATATCTTCTGAAGGACTCCCCTCTGGAATGTCAAGCTCCCCAGATACACTGAATGCCTCTAAGCTAACACAAACAGGGATATGAATTGTTACATCAATATTATCCGACTTCACAATAAGAAATGTGCCATCCCTTTTCGTGTTTTGAGAACCATGAACTTCCACATTTTCAATTCGATCCACTGTCAAATTTGAATTCTTTGACGATGCATCCACAATTGAAGTTTTAGCCAATTGTGAAGTGTAAGAATTGAATAGGGCAACGACCTCAGACCACTCAAATAAACGTAACCAAATATCTAGATTAGGAAGGGAAACATGAAGCTCATTTTCGCCTTGATCTGACATTGAAAGATGCATGTCAAGAACTGGTGAGACTGAGAAAGAACTGCATCGGGCTAATATAACAGAATGAAGTGGTGAAAATAGCGCTAGAGAAGAAAAGGAAATATCCAAGCGAAGGGGTATCTCATTTCTCCATGATGCAGAGCATGTCAATTGCATATTAGCCTTGGCAACCAACTCTGAAGACAATGATTCTCTTCTTGAGCGATATAAATTTATTGACAGTGAATTGAAACAGAAACTCGTTTCTGTGTATGTCACAGTTGAGTCTTCGGGCAGAAGTGTACCGATTTCCTTCATACTCCTCTTCAACTGGAGAAATTGTAAAACGTCAGATGTAAAACCTTTAGATTCTCCATGAACAGAGGAAAACTGATTTATGACATCCACTAATGCTTCAAATCCAGCAATAACGTAACCATCTGTAACCAAAAACAGAGTGGCAAACTAATTCAATAAAGAGAAAGATGAACAGAAAGAAATTTAGGTTCCAACTGAACTGGAATAATAAAAAATAAAAAAAATAAAAAACCGCATTTTACCTTCAACAATAATCTGGCAATTGTCAACGCTCGCCATGATACATGTCCGAGAGAGAGAGCTTACACAAGAAGATTCACTTTCCTGCGGTATCCTGACCCATATATCAGCACTGAGTGGTGAAATTAAGGTGATATCTCCCTGTCCGGTACTTTGATTCATTATTAAGGGATTAAATGCATCATCCTTTAACAGCAGGAGATATAGAGACAAATCCCGTCCAAATAAGTTTAAACAGTGATTTCTATCGGCAATTTTATCTGCTCGAACCAAACATTCAGGAGTAATGTCCTTCAGTAGATTTGTGTCACTATTATGGAGAAAACTACAGTAGAACTGTGGAATTTCAAGTTTTAGAAACTGATGGTTGTCGGTCTCCACAGGTGTTAACAAAATGCAGTCCAGTATCTCAAACTTATAAGTAATGGAACTGCTGTTTCCTGAATCCTTGTACCTGGGAGTTCCAGTAACAGACTTCTCAATAGCATTGTAGCTCCAATCAGGCAATGAAAAATATCCAATAATGATAGCCAAAAATTCAGGTGGCAAAACGCAGGTAACATGCTGAGTGCTGAAACTTATTTCAAGTTCAGATTTCAATGATCCAGCATTGCCTTTCCTAATGCGCATATTCAAAATAGGAGAAAGACTTGGTAAAGAAGGGCCCCATAGAAAGTCATGGATATTTTTTGTACACCATAATGAAGAGAGAATCAATCCATCTGTAGAACACAATATGTCGAAACAGTCTTTATTGGCGGCGAGCGAAAATCTAGAGGTGGGGAGCGTAATTGTTCCAACAATGCATGATGAATCATGGAAATGTACTCTGACTCCACTCAAATTTGAATCAACAACAAGTGGATCAATGTCACCAAAACTCTGTGACAGAGGCGATGCATCTGAACCAAATGTGGATTTCAATGGTGGGGCATTTAGCATATTAGATCCTTCCTTCACACAGAAACTTGGGCTTCTTATCTCCCTCTCCCTCAAATTGAAAATTTTCCTCCATCCAGGAATGTCATAGATAAGTGAATTCTTAAGGTTACAAAGAGAACCAAAATTGTAAATAGTAACAAAAGGAAAATGATCCAATGGAATGCTTGCCCATTCGGAGTAACCAGTTTCATAAAAGTTTGAGAAACCAAACCTTTTGAAGCAAAACCCAGGCACTGGTATCGAATTTTTATCATCAATGAAGGGGCTAAACGAATTTTCAGGAACACGAGACAAACCATATTCAGATATTTTCTCAGAAAATCCAACCAGCAATCCAATTATATGAGGGTAGCAGTGAATATCAATATTACTCAAACACATTGCATATTTGTGACAAATTATGTCAGAATTTCTGCAAGCTTTATAATGTAAAAGAAAGCATCCTCCATCAGATGCACTTTTGTCACAACAATTTTCACTTGGATTGCTAACACCCATGTCATGCTGATGTGCTTGAGAACGGGCAGCAAATTGATTTCCAGATGAACAAAGTATATGGCTGTCTATCTCACATTTCGAGGAAAATGTGCTGATCCTCAAGTCCTTCAAAGAGATCCAGCACTCTGGGAATTTCCCAAGAACATACCTGCAATTTAGATATTAGTACAGGAATTTTACTTTTGGACAGTGTACATATAAAATTCTAGTAAGTAATTGCTATGATAAATTTTTTATTTAACTACTAAGGACTAAAATTTTCAAGAAAGTAGAGTAGGAGTCTTAAATTCAATCATCAAAGAGCCAGAGCAAAGTTTTAACACAGCTGAAAAAGGTCATGGTGACAACGAGAATTGCACTAGAATGGTAACCTTTCATATGAGATGAAAATTGGCTAAACGGAGCTTAATGGTAGGGTTGTATTTGTCTAATTTTTCTAAGGGTAATTCCATTTGATTCAGCAGGCATCTCTATTTTAAAATGCCTCATGGGTATATTTGGCACATTTTATGCATCTAATAAAAACTGGTGTCAATATAAGTCATGAGGAAGTACTACGACAGCATTAAAAAGCCAACACAAAGACAAAGGTCAATAAATAATGGGGAGAATGAAAAAAAACAATGACACTGCCTCATAAAATTTTGAAGATTTTGGAGGTGGGAAAGCGTGGAAACAGACACAAAAAATGGATAAAACCAAAAAAGAGCAACAACTTGACAGTTCTAGAAACGAATTGCAATACATGTAGCATGGACATGCAAAAAACACATATGGCAAGTTGCAATACATGTAGCACAAATATGAACTCAAGACTAGATTCTATCCAATTTCCCCTTTTCATGTGTCACTTCTTTCTGAAACGATTCAACTAGATAAATCGTTGTATTTTTTGCTGTAATCATACCTTAAATTTATACTAGGAAAGACAACTCAATATCAAAAGCCAGTTGCATGCATGTCCGAAGTATTAAGAAGATTAGTGAATGTGACTAAATCAAAAAATCCTTTCAAAATTATGGTCCATCTTGGAAGTATAGGTGATGTAATAAGAAATGTTTGAGACGTATCCATATTCTATAAAGATAAATTTCCTTTGTACTATATGGAAATTATTGATTGAATAAAGGACAACTAGCAAGAAACAAATGAAAATATAAGGTTTTCTTTTCATAGCCCAACTTACCGAATATCTAACTCTTGCAAAGCAAGCATGACAATGCAGCTGTTTTCTATATCATTTTCAAGGTTGACACGGAAACGAATCAACTCCAAGTTCGCAAAAACAGAAATTGAAAAATCTTCAGCAGTGTTTGGTACAATTGACATTATATTAAGAGAATCAACAGTTGACATGATTTCTGAGTCCAATTTCGAGTCCAGCATATCAAAATTTGCTTTTAATCCCAGAACTGCACCGTATATTGATGGAGAGAAGTGTGCAAGAAGTGATGATGCAATGATATAAACCTGAACATAAGAACAGCTGAGTACAACAGATCCATAAAATATATATTCATTTACATATTTATCAAGAGTAACCAACTATAACAAACATTTTCAAGATTTGTCATGTAAATTTCCACATAAAACATGCTTGTAATATATATGTGCATATAATTATATATACAACACATACAAGATTGATCTTTAACATGCTATTAGAAAACTTGTCAACATAATATTCAGAGTTCTACTTGTTCAACACTTGTGGTCTTTAATGTTGTCATGGAGCCTCACAGGTCATTGGCTGATGCAACATAGAGACAAATACTCAACTCATGTGCTGAGTTTCCAGTGGGTAAGTTTCGGTTAACAGTCGACACATCAAAACCCGAAAAAAGTATGAGATCGACATGACATGGACAAGGCTATATATCAATAAATTTATATATATTATTTTTGTAATGTTCAATTTTAGGGTTGTCTTAGTACTTTATTATTTCAACATTTTTAGGGTTTTGTCATTATATGCTATATAAAGGTTAATATGTAACAAAACGATTCAGTTTCGGAATTTATTACTGTGATTTTTAGATTTCTTTCCCTTTTTTTCTTCCTCTTTTTTTCTTGCTTTCCACAAACCCTGTCTGTCTAGCCTATCTATTCATTTTTTTTCCTGATCCCCTTCATCTTCTTCTTATCTCCTTTGTATAGTCTCATCTCATCTTCTGCTTCCTCATCCCATACTTTCTTTCTGGTCCTACATCAGCTTGATCTCAAAACTCTGGTCCTACCGTCCTACATCAATAAGTGTCCATCTTCTTTTTTTTTGGAGATGTCCCATCTTTTATTTTGGGAATGTTCCAAAATAAGTGTCCCTTACTAAAAGTCAATGTTTAAAATAAAAAATAAAAAAATAAAATCTGAAATTATCCTCAAGTTTTGAAAACTTTTCTTAGTTATCAATGTTAAACTTTTGGAGGGCTATTGAGGAATTTCAAAGATGCATTAAATGCAAGTCCCCTTAGAAAGTGTCCCAAAAAGGACACTTCGGGACAAAGTGAGTACCAAAACTGCAATCATTTGCAAGGAAAAAACTTCCATTTATATATTAATAAAAAATATAAGAATGCCCATTTTACTCAGATTATAGAATAAAATCAGCATGTTATAGATGTTCAATGGGATTACTTACCCCGAGCTGTTTCAGTATTGATTCATTGGGGATGATGCAGGACGCAAAGGTAGTATAAGCACAAAATTTCTCCAAAACTGATATAGTTTGATGACAGTGAGGCATCATTATCTTCATCTGTACAATGCAGATTATTTGTCTAGTATTCATGCAATGGAAAAAGAACAATTAAGGAAGAGGATAAGAACCTTACGCCAAAATCATTTATTTTCATCTCAAAGTGATCATAGAGATCATGCTGTAACCCTGTACAAATATCACTGGTGGAACTGTGATTAACAAAGTTTTTCAGGACATGAGATTGATCTTCAACATCTGAAGGAAAAGAACCTAATTCACGTTTGGACGCAAAGGAAAGAGCTCCTGACTCTAGTATCTGCACAATAAAGTAGTTCAAAATAAGACAGAAGTAGACAAGCACACGCATAAATAAAAACAAACACGTATATATTTAATTTTGAAAGGTAGAAACAACTTAGAAGAATCCTAATATTTAAATTAAGCCACTCCGTTTATTGATCCCAACACACCCATAATTCCAGAACCAAACTTCAGAATAAAGGTATATATCACCAATCAAAGAGCCAGTAGAATCCAAGAAAAAAAGGTTTGTTCTTTTCTTTTTCCTATTCCATTGCTTTTTCACTGGTTATAGGGTTCAAGTGCATGGAAGCCAACAAAATAACTATTTCTACTTTTGCTTGAACTATTTCACCAATTACACAACAATTCAAAGAAATGCTGTTGAAAGCTACAAAAAATAAGAGAAACACAATAAATACTTTAATATCTATTTGAAAGTATATATATTAGTCATTGAAGAATGTTTGGTTTTGCTTCTATAAGCAAGCAAAAATTCAACACCAAAAAGTGTTACACATATCATTGACAGAACTAGTGTGAAGCGAGAATCGACAGTAAAGTCGTGCCCAATTCCATTGAAACTGGAAAGAATTTCAAAACTAGAGGAAAGAATGGGAATCTAAAGAAATTTCAACAATGCAAAGATAACAGATAAAGGAATTACCATTTTGTGTAGCTCTGAGTTTGAATTTTCCCATGGAATAGTTACAATTATATTGACGAAATTAACATCCCAAATCACCGCCTTACGACTAGATAAAATATATCTGCGTAGACAAACAAATGACCAAATGGATAGATGAATTAAAGACTAGAAAAGGAATACCTACATATACGTGCCAGCACATTCGATTCACATACATTACAAATAGTACCAATGGGCGTATCAGATTCTTGTAAAATTAGAAGCCAAATCACAAGTAGCAAAACTCACTCAGCTTTTGACAACAATCTTGTTTTTACATCTTCAATCCCATTTAGCGACCACAAAACCTGTAATAGGACAAAAACTAACATTTACCATCATTTAAGCCCATCCTGTCACTAACAACTTTGAATAGAATAAATTGTATGAAGGAGGACAGTCAGCCATTCTAAAAGTCACAGTCAAGTTTATGAGACACGACTTGATAATTGCCGTATAATGACCAGGTTGTGGAATGCTATTGAGCATCAACCATTTGTAATGCCTTTTTTCACATACTGTTCAAGATATTTGAGCTGCTTTGGAAAGAAATCTCTCTTGGATTTACAAGTTGTACACCATCTTCATAAAGATGATAAAACTTTGGAAAATTATAGTAGTGTTTTAGCTAGCTGTCTAGCACAAGTCTGCAGAACCAAAAGCGGACATGGATGGGACATCTTGGCTGCCGCATTTAATGCCCAGCATGGAAGCTGGAAGCACAGGGAAGGTATCTCGAGCCCTAATGGCTGAAATAGGACTGAGTGGGAGTACCCTCTTGACGCTCGCAGTTTTTAAAATGTGCCTATACATGTAGGGGCATTCCCGCTTATAAGTGCAGGCAAGTTCTCCCTCCAGGCGATGTGGAACGTCACACATTCACTTTTTTTTTTTTTTTGATAAGTAAGATTTTATAAAAAACGCTCTAAAAAGGGGAGCGAAGCCCAACGGAACAGTCACACATTCACTTTTGAACAAGCCTTATGTTTTACTTATCAAAATAAAAATAAAAAATAAAAATTAGTCTTACGTTTGCTCACAAGTCAAAAGGTATACAATAATTAGCCAAAACAACCTCGCTTGGTTCTCCTCCCGAGTTAGTTTCTTCAACAAGATGTTCTATTCCATCTTGTTCCCAAATTTCTCTCTTCTATATATACATATATAACACTTCAAAATAAATGTAAAAGAAAAACAAACAATTCTGTCTGTTCCTGACGCACCCTAAGTTTTTGAATGTTTTACTTCTTATAAAAAATAATGTAGTTTCTCTTCTTGAAGCTAATCCAGCTACATCTCTTTCATGTTGATTGATTTTTTCCAACAAAAATCAGTGATTGCTTCTTACCCTAAGTTGCTTGCAGGTTGTTACTTACAACGAGTAGTTTCTCTTCTTGGCATTACTCTAGTGGCATCTCCTTTGAAGTCGCTTAATTGTTTCCATAACCATAAAAAAGCCAATGACCGCTTCCCCAACAAGCAATTCCCATTAGAAAAGCATGTAAAGGATCCATTGAATGAAATAATGAATTTGTCTGCTTTACTCCCCTCCCTTTTGTCATCTAAATATTTTCCGACGTCTTTCTATTGTTCATAAAGTTTCCTTTTGGAAGATAGCCCATACTCTCAATCATTTTTTTAGGTTGTACTGCTTCAGTTTTGGCACAAGCTTATAAGCGTCACCAATATAAAATTATCCAATGATAAATTGTTCCATATTGCAACTTTGAAAAGCCTAACTCTGGACATACTAAAGGTTATGACTAAAAGAATATAACATTGTTAACAGAATTTTCCCAATGCATTCTGCTTGGTTGAAGAAAGATAATAAAATCTCAGGGGAAATTTTCCACTTTCACCTTTATGGAGTCAGAACTTCAGTGAGTTCCTAATAGAACACAGACATGAATAAGGAAAGCAAAGTTCAGGATGAACATACTCCACATAAGCAGATAGATAAAGGAGGAGGAGGAGGGGGGTTGTTAGAGAATGCGCTTATGGTCAGTTCAACACAGCTAATTAAGGTTTAATGCTAATCACTTGGTGCAGCTCCACAGATTTATCTTTCTCCAACCAGCTTTATGGATATCCATACCAATATTTAAATCTCAAGAAAAACCTAAGTACAAACTTGCAAGTTGCAAAATAAAAGATTTTAAAACTTAGAAGTTTTTAAAGGAACTAAAGCTTCTCTTCCTATCAAGGTCACCATTACAACTCACCATTAAATACTGATAGATCAACAACTGACAAGTAGCAAAGGATGATCGTTAACAGGACTACTGGCATGAAAACCTTTCCAGAGATAAAGCCTAAACAAAAATATTCTATAGACAACAGGAAAACCCAAGCTATGGCATTACAAAAGAAACAAAACACCCAACGAATGGAACACAATATCATTATCATCCTTGCCTTTATCCTGTATGAATGGTCATCCTCATGGATTCCCTTTTTCCATTCTTTCCTATCATGAGCCATGAATAAAACACAATATAATGGGGATGAATTTCAATGCTTACCCTTTCATGTTGAAATTTGAAGGATCTTAAAACGTTGTAAAACTCCATGATATTCAAAAGTAGTTCTGAATTACAAGTAACTTCAAGTGGTTGAAGCATGACCTGGATACAGAAGTCACAATGAGAATGAACATCCAGACTCCAGATAAAACAAATAGAAGACAACTAAAATAACATCTAAAATGTGCTAATTATCCAACATTGAAACAGAAATATATAAGTGAAGCACAATAAAGTACCTTCACTGATAATTCAACCTTCCGATTTACTTGAGACAAATGAACTTGAATACTGAGAGCAGCTTGCTCAATTTCAACTACATCTTCCACAATAGTGTCCTGAAAACAGATAGGCCAATCACTGATGACATCTTCAACTTAAAAGATGAAGAAAGACAATGAAAGCAGAAAGAATCCATAAAGAGATATTCACTTAACAATCAAAGGGAAAACTAATTTGGAAGTTCTCTGACATCAATTTTTAAGATCAACAAGGACGATGAAATGAAGAGATGAAACCACCATGCATATAGCCATATACTTAGTTAGAGTGCCACAGTAAGATACAGGATTGGGTGAACAGTCAACAGAAAAATTTGTAATCAAAAAGTGTAGAAGTATTTTTATTTTGGAAGGAAAAAGTGTAGAAGTATTAGATGCAACATCAAAACAGGAACCAGAATCAAGACTCCAAGAAGATCCTAGAAAACATAAGATTGTTGGCTGAGCAAAAAGAGAAATGGTTTTATTAGCTTACATTGCCCTATCTGTCCTAACTCCAATGCGCTGCTCAAGTTGATTAACAAGTGCCTTAAAATTTGATATTCAAGGCAAAGGAGTAAAAGTGACACCATCTGTGATGTTGTGGCCCGAAATTTGTTTCGGTCTTTGTTGTGTTGCGGCCTGGTTTCAACCCAAAATATGATCTTTGTGTGGACCCAAGCCCCCCCAAATTTTTTTGACCCTCCTTCTCTTGCAGGTCTTGGACCCCGTTTAGGATTCTCTTGTAGCCCAGTATATAAAGGCGTTTAGGGTTTGGAGTGGGTAACTAGAGAACACTTAAAACCGCAGAAAAAGAATGAGAGAGAGAGCTAGAGTTTGGTGACTGAAACTTGTAATCTCCTGTTTTTGCATAGTGAAATCTTTCACTGGATCTTCACCATGGACGTAGGCCTGTCCGAACCACGTATATCTTTGAGTTATTTGTGTGTGGCATGTTTACTTTTCTATCATGATTCTTGATTGTATTCTTGGTTCGCATCATTTGTTGTAACACCATCCATAGCATTTTAGATGATAGAATGTTCAGAAAGGAAGAATAAAATACAGAATATAAGGCATCAGAATGTCAAATTTTATCAAAACTACACTAAATTTTTTTAAACCAACCTACAAAAAAGAACCCCCCCCCCCCCCCCCAAAAAAAAAAAAAGGTAATTACAGCACCAGAAAACTGTGATATCCCATTAAGTAGATCTTTTGACAATTTTATGGGCTATCAAGTGGCAAGTAAGTGAATTAACAAACAAGTCTCAAAGCAATCGGCGCATTGAATAGGACGAAACCGAAACCTGCTACATGAAAACTTATATTTTAAAATTTAGGGGATATGCCTAATATGCCAGGACAACTTAAATAATCAAGATTCATTAATCTTTGATGTCAGAAAAATAGTATTTCCAGTACTATTCGCATAAAACTAGAAATAACCAACATCTTGGCTTCGAAAAATTACACTTCACATAAAATGCTTGCAAAAATTGTCCAAACCCCAAAATGTTAAATAGATTATAGAAATAAAATGGAAACAACAGAGGAATTCCAGCGTGATTTTGGTCATGCACACTGAACCAATATTTACGGAGTGATCATAGTGATATGATATATCAAACAGTTGATTAAAAATGATAATAATAATAATATCAGATAAGAAAAGGGGGGGCAAAAAAAAAAAAGAGAGAAGATCTGAAAATGAGATAACTCAGTTGAGCACAATACTGTGTTAAGAACACAGAATTTTATAATGAAAGTAAAACACAAGTGAATATTGTCACAAAATTTTACTATATAGCATAGGAATTATTATGGTGTGCAAATATATCTACTGTATCCAATAATAATCAAAAAAAAAAGAAAACCAAAATGATGCCAATTGAATCAGACATTTTCCAGTATTTGCCATTTTTAATCGATTCCACACAAAAAGGTTGCATCATATTGCTGCTATGCCTTATTTAAAACAACACAGCCGAACAAGCTTTCTTCAACTATGAACTTGATCCTACACAAGTTATATCGGCAATTCAGTTTGCCATGGAGCTCCTAAGCCAAATTTGGGTAATAGAAAAAAAAATGTCTTATGTCATACTTTCAATACTTTCCCTTTAGTGAAAGTAAAAACAAGTTCACAGTCCCTCATAGAATTTAACTGTAGAACATAAAGACTCAGTATAAAATACGAACCCTTCCTGCAAATAGTAAGATTTGCTCGTTACTGGGATTAATCATCTTGATAGCGTTGACTGTGGCAGTAACAACGGCAGATTCCTCCCAAAGCTTACACTCAATAAACATCCCGTTGAAAATCAATTCAGCAATCGCTCGATGAAACTTCCTAAAACAGCCAAGCACCACTGCACTTTGGTTATGGACGAATATGGCAAATAATGCAAAGATCATCATTTTAGTTACTATAATTAGCTACACAAATAAGATTAAATGTCCACTTGGTTGGTTATCAAAACAAAACAAAAACAGACCACCACAAATGAATTTCAGAAATCATACATTTCATGCCTTGAATCTCAGCTATCTGAAAATCCCAATGCTTACCTGAGAATTTGAGGTGTGATATTTGACATTACATTAACTTCTAAACATCCATTTTAACCAATTATCATCCGAGGACTAGTTTTCAATGCTATCATATGCAAACCCCAGCCCCCACCCCTGTTCAATATATCAAAGTATTCATAGTCAACACTACAATGTCACTCCCAAAAATCACTACATGGTTTATTTAACTTAAACTTAAAAAGAATATCAGTAGCAGCCTATTTTAAAAGTTTTCCATGAAAAAACCATAAACTCTCAGGGAAAGAAAGGACATGAAGGGGCCATTGCTTGGTGCAAAGGTAAAAGCTGGGTAGATAAGCTTGCGATCACGGGTTCAAGCATAAAAGCAGCAACTTTGTTAAAAAATTCCAATAATGATTTTTCTCCAATCTTTATATCCAAGGCAAGATCAGCACTACATAATGGCCTTATGGAAAGAAAGGACATGAAAATCATCATTTAACAAGAGTCACAACTAGCAAATTCGATAAAGAATAAAAGAAATAGAGAAAAGCTAATATCTAGAAAAGAAAAGAAAAGAAAAAAACAATAGCAATTTTCTTTAGGGTATGGCACAACTCTCTTAATTTGAGCTAATATTCATGCAAAAGCAATATTTTTCAACCAAAAAAATAACTATCTGTGAAGAAAACAAATAATTAACATTTACAATTGCTAATATATAATCCTATAATATAAGTGATAGGGACTCATACATGCTCCGCAGTGTTGCAGAAACTCTTTGAATGTTAAACTTGATCGATGAAAAATAGATTTCATCATCCGCAGCTGCAACCCCATTGGGTGAAGGCACAGGTTGGAACTTTGTGGCCTCGTAAATATCCTGTACCAGTGAAAGTCAATAAATTCCGAAAAAGTACAACCATTTTATTTTTATTTTGCCTGGGAAAAGAACATGTTTCAATAGCAAGTAATTGGAGCGCACAAACCTTGATAACCTCATCTGAAACAACACCCGAAAATTGACTAGAATCATCTGTTCCTCCAGCACCCAGCACGCCACGGGACAGCCAGTTCAACCATCCACGGGGCTTGCTGGATGAACGATCATCATCCTGTGACTTCTCAATAACAACATTGGCACCTTTAATCCCTAAGCAGGAGTCTGAATTCGCCAGAAATTCCTGCAAGTGCATAAGATTATACAAGAAATGAATTTTAGTAATATATGTTAAAATTCATGACATCGATAAAACCACTGCTAACAAAATTCAAGGTGCACATTACACCAAAAAAAACCGAAAGAAAGAAAGAAATTGTGAAAAATATTTAGAACAACAGTCAGGGTTAATATAAGTAGCTAACTTAATTCGCAATCATATACTGATGAACTTTCTTAATTCATACACAAGCACCATTCATACCTTAAGCTCACGTTCAGCAGTACTCCTATAACTCAAAATATCGTCTATGTCAGATTCTTTCTCCATTTGCTCCAACTCCCAAAGAATATCTTCATCAATCAGCTGATATTCACAATTACAGAACAAGATCAAAACCACATAAAGTTAATCAGGCGACCAACTTTAAAATTCAATACAAATGTTGTATCACTGAAAGAAATCTAAGAAGCAGACACTTCCAAGGAGTTGCATCCATGTTGGGTGTGTCAGACACCGGAACTTCTCAAACACTCCCGGAATGAGTCCAATGCATCTTGAATGTGCTTACAATTTAAAAGATATCTTCCTAATTTTGGGCCCATGGTCAAAACTTTTTGGACGTGCTAATATCTGAACAATGAACCTTGAGCGTAGGATAAGACTTTAATTTAGCATCAAAAAAGTATAATTGTATGAAAATCTAAATTAAAGGCTTTTATAGAAATTATATAAGATATGGCATGAATTTTTTATTGAAGGAGTGAGGATGCTATTAGGAGAGGAGTCACCAAAATTGTGCTTTTATGTGTAAATATGAGCATCTACATGCAAAATATATGCATATATCATGTCATTTTTATATCTTTTTAAATGAAACAAAGTTAATTATAATTATATTTTTAGTTGTATCTTGCTCAGACCAATAAATTATAAACTTCAAGTTACAATCATAAAATATCATTTTATAGTATTTAAGTATAAAAATGTCTTTTATTGATCCATCCAGACCATGTCAGTGTACCGTGTCAGTGTTCCGTTTTTTTTAGATTTGTCTTGTCAACATGTCCATCATGTTTCGTATCTGTATCTCACATGCATATCCATTCTTCTTCAGAAGAAATAAAAATCCATTTACAAGGCCAATATGGATCAATAACTCACAATCCAAGCTAAAAACCATTTTAAGACAAGATGAGCAGGGAACAAACAACAGGAAATGAAAAAAATAAATAAATAAATAAAATAAAACCTGGGAATTGCTTGTGAATAGAGGTCTACACAACTTTGAAGCAAAATTAATTGTGGATGATCTATCAGGAAGATATGCATTTTAGAATGGCATAATTAAGTGCTGATAAATTTCTGAACAAAATTCACAATGGAAAGAAACCAAAGAAAGAGCATATAAAGTTTATAGAAACATCTGAATCCTAAAGATAGAAACAAGGTCAGATATGCCTCCTTGACCCATGTCCATATCCCAGAAATGACAACCTCTAGAGAAAATATTGACAAAACATAATCCCTCATATGTAACACTCCTCTCAAGCTGAGCTTGACTTGCAGAAGTTACTTCCTCATGATACAAAAACAAATAAATAAATTTCTTCATAAATCTTTCACTTCTTATATATCAAAGTGAGATTAAAATTCTTCAAAATGAAATCATGAATGAGAAATTGTTGAGAAGAAAAGACAATGAGAATTTATAAGACATTTTCAAAGCAAACTACACGGGAACCAGGCAATGACAATGAGAATTTAGAAGACTTTTTTTCTCAAAAACTAACTACAGATACGCAAGGCCATTGGGAAATGGAAGGTCATCGCAAGAGGGCTTGGGAACTAGAATTATCAGCTGTACAAGTGGTCAGAGACTTGGTCAAAAAAGCTGGAACCGGGAAGGAAATTCGGTTGGGTTAAGAGTTCTTCTGAATTGCAGATTTTGTAGTTAGCCCTACAAACCAACTTTATTAATTTGATAATATCTCACTCTAGGAGACTCCAAATAGCACAACTTTTTCTTTACAAATGAAACTCGTAAACCTTTCCAACCATTTATGGCTTAGCAACTAATTATTCCCTAATTAACTCAAATTTAACAGTCAATTTCAACCAAAAATGCATTCTGCACTTTCTAATAAGTCAGAACAAAAAAAAAAAAAAAGTGGGGGGAGACCGGAATACCAAGTTTTTCCATAGAACTGCTAATGCTCATACCAAGTTCCCGGATGTTGTTCAAGCTGTGTTGGCTAGGGTGATGTTGGACCACATCCCCTTGGTTTTGGACTGTGGAGGTTTGAGATCTCGTAGCACTCCTTTCAGATTTGAGAACATGTGACTTCGTGCGGATAATTTCCAGGGATCTGTGCATTCTTGGTGGGAGAAGAACCTAGTGGTGGGTACGTTGAGTTTTATTCTTGCAAAAAAGCTTCGAGTTCTGAAAAATAATCTCAAAAGGTGGAATAAGGAGGTCTTTGGGAGCTTGGAGTGGAGGAAGAATAGGGCATTGGCTGATATTGCTGAGATTGATAGATTGGAAGGGGAGGGTGCTCTTTCTGAATCTCAACGCAGTAGGAGAGCAGCTTGTCAGGCAGAATGTGTGGAAATTGCAGTTTTGGAAGAAATTTCGTGGCGCCAGAAATCTCGGGCCTTGTGGCTCAAAGAGGGAGACAGGAATACCAAGTTTTTCTATAGAACTGCTAATGCTCATAGGAGGAGTAATCACATTGGGCGGATGTGTGTGGATGGTGCGGTCTTGACTACGGAAGAGGAGGTGCGAAGCGGTACTGTCTCTTTCTACCAAAGGCTTTATTCTGAGCCTCTTCGATGGAGGCCACGTCTTGATGGCCTTCACTTTGATTTTATTTCTGCCTTGGAAAGGGATGGGTTGGAGAGTCTTTTTTCGGAGGAGGAGGTGCTGAAGGCTTTAAAGAGTTGTAATCGTGATAAGGCTCGCTCAGGCCCTGATGGTTTTACTATGAGATTTTTGTTGGAGAGCTGGGAGGTGGTTCGGTACGAGGTTATGGGCACCTTTCATGAGTTTCATTCCACGGGGCGATTTGAGAAATCGCTAAACGCATCCTTTATTGCCCTTATTCCTAAGAAGGGTGGTGCTTCTAGCATCAAGGACTTTAGACCAATCAGTCTGATTGGGTGCATTTACAAGCTCATCGCAAAAGTCCTTGCGTTTAGATTAAGGGAGGTTCTGGATGGAGTTATTTCTGAGTCTCAGAATGCTTTCATTGGGGGTAGACAGATACTGGACTCCGCCTTTAATGCCAGCGAATGTGTGGATGCTAGACTTTGCAGTGGGGCTCTTGGTGTTCTTTGCAAGCTGGATATCAAGAAAGCCTATGATCAGGTCTGCTGGAATTTTCTGTTTTATCTGTTGGAGAGGATGGGCTTTGGTGAGAGATGGAGGAAATGAATTGTTTCATGTGTTTCCACTGTCAGGTTTTCGATGTTGGTGAATGGATCTCCTACGGGGTTTTTCGACAGTTCTCGCAGCCTGAGGCAGGGGGACCCTCTCTCCCCATTCCTTTTTATTATCGTTATGGAGGCCCTTAGTAGGTTGATGAGAAGGGCGGTGAACTTGGGTTTTATTAGGGGTTTCAAGATCGGCCCTGACTCAGTTCAGCAGATGGAGATCTCTCACTTGCTTTTTGTGGATGACACTATTGTTTTTTGCGAGGCAAAGGTGTCCCAGTTGAGGTATCTGAGATGTGTTTTGGTTTGCTTTCAGGCTGTCTCTGGTTTGAAAGTCAACGTGGGTAAGAGCGTGCTTGTTCCTGTGGGGGAGGTTCAGGAGGTGGACACTCTGGCTGCTGTTTTAGGGTGTGGGACACAATGCTTTCCTATCTCGTATTTAGGTTTGCCGCTAGGGGACTCGGCCAGGAGGGTAGGAAGTTGGGACCTGGTGATTAAGCGGGTCGAAAGAAGATTAGCCGGTTGGAAAAAGCAATATCTTCCCAAGGGTGATAAAGTTACATTAGTGAAGAGTACTTTGTCAAGCCTCCCAACATACTTTCTATCGCTTTTTCAGATTCCAGCCTCTATTGTTGGACGACTTGAGATGCTTCAACGAAACTTCCTTTGGGGGGTCGTGGAGAGGAGTTTAAGTATCATCTTGTTAGATGGGAGCAGGTTTGCAGGCCTTTTCAGTTGGGAGGGCTTGGGATTAGGAGATTAGCCCCCTTCAACAGTGCTCTCCTTGGCAAGTGGCTTTGGAGATTCGGCAGTGATAGACATAAACTATGGAGAAGGGTTATTTTGTGTCGCTTTAGGGAGGAGAAAGGGGGGTGGTCAACTAGGCCAGTCAGGTCTGCTTATGGAGTGGGGGTGTGGAAGGCCATTGGAAAGGGGTGGGATAAATTCTCCAAATATATTAGATTCAGAGTTCGGGATGGAAGGAATGTCCGGTTTTGGGAGGACTCCTGGTGCGAGGATAAGCCATTGGCTTTTTTGTTCCCAAGGCTATTCAGGATTGCTGTTGACAAATATGCTATGGTTGCTAACTACTATCGCCTTGATAGCGGGAGGTTGTCTTGGGATGTGCAATTCCGGTGATCTTTTCAGGATTGGGAGTTAGATGATGTCACTGGTTTGTTAGCTCTCCTATACAGACAGAAGGTGGAGGGCACTGGTGCAAATTCCCTGATTTGGGTGCCTTTTTCACAGGGGATGTTCCAGGTCCAGTCCTTGTTTGTGTACCTCTCTAGTTTTCATGGTACCACCTTCCCGTGGAAGACGATGTGGTTGTCTAAGGCGCCTCTTAGGGTGCCCTTTTTTATGTGGACTGCAGCTTGGAGTAAGATAATGACTTTGGACAACTTAAGGAAGCGAAGACATATCATTGTTAATCAGTGTTGTCTTTGTAAGTTTAATGGGGAGTCAGTGGACCACCTTCTGCTGCATTGTCTTGTGGCTCATAACTGTTGGAGTCTCATTTTTGGTTTGTTTGGTATTCATTGGGTCATGCCTCGGACTTCTCGGGATTTGCTGGATATTTGGAGGGGCCAATGGGTAGGGGCTCAGGCGAGAGACTTTTGGAGGGTGACCCCTTTTTGCGTTTGGTGGAGCCTTTGGAATGAGCGTAATAGAAGATTTTTTGATAGGAAGGAGTCCCCCATTGGGGTGCTGAAATTTTCTATTACTTGTACTCTTTTTTGTTGGGGTTGGGGGAGAGATTTTTCTTCTCTTGAGGATATTGTGGACCTTTTAGGCTCTTTGAGTTCATAGGTTCCGTTTTGTTTTTTGTATAGCTTGGGACGCATTCCCCTTTTGAACGCTTTCTAATACATTTTGCTTATCAAAAATAATAATAATAATAAGTTGGAACAATTAAAACCAAATTTTTTGAATTATGACGTCCTAAGGCATTGTAGCAAGGAGTGATTCTGTGTCAATTTCATCCTTGGTGAAGGCATGCTTCAGTTGGACCTTCAGGGACCAAGCAACAGTCCCCTAAATATTCAATTCCTGAATCAATCAAAAGAACTTATATTGTTATAGTTGTTCACTGTAGCACCCACATCTTGCTTGATAATAATTTAGCTTGCAACTCATTATTTGAACAGGTGACATATATAAATATATATGGCACAACTCATTACACTCACCTTCCATTAATAGTACTCCCAAATCCATATTCTATTCCAGTATTATTACTCGAACCTTATTTCTACAAAGCATAGACCTTATCACTCATTATAACGCTGAATATAAAATTAAAAAAAATAAAAAAAATAAAAAATAAAAACACTAATTAGGTAGCATAGCTGGCTATGAAGCACCGACAATGCACAAAGGGTTGCCGCGCGTGTCCGACACTGCTGCAGAAGTGTCGCCTTTTTTTTTTGTGATCGGATACGTCACTGGACACGCAAGGACACTGTCACTAGACACGCAAGGACACTATCGCGGGACACGCAAGGAGACGTTCAGAGGACACAGCTGTTCGAAGTCAGCTGTTTGTAATTTTATTGCACAGAGGATGTAGATGATATGTAGAAATATGTGTGTATATATGTGATCTGTATGTATAAAGTTGAGATTGGAGAGAAAGCGAAGGGAAGAGAGAGAGGGAGCCAGAGCTGTGATTAGAGTGAGGAAGGGATGGAGAAGACAAGCGGCCAGAATAACAGTGTCGTGAAAGATGGAGATTGGGGAAGAGTGAGGGGATAAGATTTTCATCTTATCTTGATTTCCTGCTGTTTGGTTACAAGACTTGCACATCCACATATATGATATATCACATATAATATATGGTATATCTTTTATATACAGTATATGTTACCGAAATTTGGGCATTTTAATTTTACAAAGAAAGTGTGGATGGGGTCTAATTAAAATAGGCCATGTTTATTAATATTATAAATTAGAAATTAAATAAAAATTAAATTTTTATATATAATAAAAAATTATAGCATTATTTTATTGCCGTATCCTTGCCGTGTCCGTGTCCTATTTTTTAAGAATTTGCCGTATCGCCGTGTCCATGTCGTATCGTGTCCCCTGTCCCGTGTCCGTGCTTCATAGGTAGCTGGCATGAGCATTTTGTATTCATTTAACATAATATAGCACACATAAAGCCTACAAAATTAGCCTAGTGGTTCATAATACCAATCTACAATAAGCATACAGACAACAAAATTTAAACTGGTGGTTCGTAATACCAATAGTTTATTCATTGTATAATACTGTAGCATACAACCAAAAAAGGTGTCGGAGAATTTATGTAAAAAGTACGTCACCTGCTCTTGTCGAAGACATTCCAATTTGGTCTTGTACAAATTCACATACTTCCGGCGTGAATTTCTGTCATAAGGAAACATAGTGTTTGTTTCACATGCTAAAGCAAGAATGACTGATTTAGCAAAAAAATCATAATAACACTATACAAGGACTTGCATAACAAAGTTACTACCAAAACAGTGAAAATCATGAGATAACTAAGATGTGTGTGCGTATAAACTGTAAAGAAAGGGCAATAATGTAATTCCTGTTCATGTCGCAATGGTATAACTAAAAGAGCAATTTTCTTTTCTCTTCTTTCCGAGCGGTCAAAAACACATCAGAACTTTATTAGAAGAAATACAGCAAAACCGCAGGGAATCAAGAATTAAATCATTGTCACAGTTGCCATGATGTGCTGAATTCTTTTATTAGGCTGCACAACACTTAAAATGTTTAACCCCAAAATCCCATAAATCAATACATATGATAATTTTTGTTAACTTTGTTCAACTCACACACTGTTAGAACAATATATTCCAGAGTATGGCCCTTCATGTAATTATCAGTAATTTAAGTAGTATAAATACAGCATAGAGATGAGGAAAATAAACTTATACTCTAAACCCTTTTTACATCCCTCTCTTCTCTTATCTCAAAACCCTTATCCTATCTATTAATTCCAACTTGGTATCAGAGCGATGTGTTGTGGCCTAAAGAACATCAGAAACGTATAGAAGTGAGCTGGAGTCGGCACCTGTACTGACCCATCTGTTAGAGACTCACATAATTCGACTTGTCTCTTCATGCTGATCATCACGGTGATTTATTCAGAAATTTATTAAGCCTTTTGGTGAGGTTTTTGAATTTTTGAATGATTTTTTTTTTTTCGATCTGTTTTTTGGGGGCCGCTTGGCTTGGCTTTTTTTTTCTTTTTTTTTTTCCTGTTCCCCTAAATGGTTTGGTTTTAAAAGATAAAGGCAATGAGATACAGGATTAAAGTGGAGGCATACCCCCACTATACATCACAATGAGAATCAAATAAGTCCACTTCCAATAGGAAGCAGAAAAGCAAGCAAGATAAATACTAGCAACCAATTACAAGACATTCCAATCAGCGAAAGGAACTGCAGCAAGGTCAAGAAATTCACAAACAGTAGATCTGGCAACATTGTTTTGGAGGTTTTTTTCACAAAGGGGCTGCAACATTGTATGCTGTTTTTTTATCAGAATATGGAGTTAGGGGTGCTGGAAGTTGTCCTTGGTATGTTAGGCCATTGTTATTCTAGTTGAATATTTTGATTTTTAGTAGAAAATTTGGCTTTGGGTCTCTACTCTTTCGGTAGTGCTCTATTCAGTGTGTAAACATGTTAGACATTAGTGCAGTTTCTGAGTAGTGAGGACGGAGGGTTTAGCTGTACATGCGCCCCTGGAGACAACCCCTCACTGCAGATTAGTCCGGTGAAGTTGGACAGGATCGACTACTTAGCTTGGTCACGTTCATGCCTCTTATCAATTCAGGCACACGGCCTCCATGGCTATCTGACAGGAGGGCGTTAGAAGCCGAAGTCATCCGAATACATTGCAGAGAATTCACTGGTGATGCCTTGGTTACTCAACTCGATGCAGCCACATATTAGTCAGGGCTATCCTTTATTTGACTCAGCACATGATATATAGACTGTTGTGAGTCAGACATATTCTCAGACAGGTAATGATGCACAGGTCTATGATCTTAGAAGAAAGATTCATGGAAATAAGCAGGAGGGTAAGACTATTGCTCGGTACTATACAGAGTTTTAACAGTTTGAAGCAGGAGCTAGGTTACTATCAGGATTTTAAGACAGACTGTGAAAGCGATAGTGCAAAGTTTCAGAAATAGATTGAAAGGAAAGAGATTATGATCTTCTAGCTGATCTTAACATGGTAGGGTTGAGAGGTGTAAGGATACGTAACCCAAATTTCATAATTTTAGTTTAAATCTATAAGAGTTAATTACTTCATCAATGGAACATTTGGAAATGAGAAAAATAGATACCTTCCAGAACAAAAACTAAGCATGAGATAAAGGTATTGATGTTTGTCGGCTAAATCATCATCATCATCCTTATCTTGATCTCACATGGATGAGGTCGGCCACATGAATTCTCTTTTTCCATTCTTTCCTATTATACATTATGTCTTCTCTTAGATTTAATTTTTTTAAATCGTTTTTTAAATACTTCAACCTACGTAAATTTTGGTAGGCCTCTTACAACTCTTCCTCTTTTAACCAATGCATCATCGGGTCTACGTTGAGTATGGTCATACCACCTAAGTTTATTTTCCCAAATTGTATCATTTATAAGCGACGTTCCCCTCACACGATCATTATTTATCTTGTCTCTTCTAGTTACTCCTATCATCCAACATAGCATCCTCAATTTTGCTTCATGAATACATTGTATTTGTGTCTTTTTCAAAGCCCAACACTCTGCTCCATACAAAATTTCTGGCCTAATAACCATTCCATAGAATTTTTCTTTTAATTTATTTGGTATTCATTTATCACAAAGGATACCACTAGCTTGCCTCTATTTTGTCCACCCTACTCAAATCGTACTTACTACATCACCATCTATCTCCCCATTTTTTTGTAATATTGATCCCAGGTAACAAAAATAATTATTTAAGTAACTATTGGGTCTTGAATTGTAATATTTATATTGTCATCGTTTGCTATTTTATCAAATTTACATTCCATATATTCTGTTTTAGTTTTACTAATTTTTAGTCCTCTTGATTCTAAAGCCTTTCTACATGTTTCCAATTTTGTTGCGAAGGCTTCCTAAGAAGTGTCTAATACTATTGCAAATAAGTATGGACTCCACACTGATCCTTGGTATAGTCCCACTTTTCTTTAACTTCCATAGGCAATTATGGAAGTATCTACTTGCACCTACTCAGAGTCTAAATTAATCTGGAGGATCTTACAAGGAGCTTCAGAAAGTTTACATTTGCAAACTTGAAAAAGGTGCAGGGATTAGCAACTAGCATTGCGAGGACCAAAATTAAAGAATTACTTGCTTGTTGACATTCCATAATATTTGAAAAAGAAAGATATTTCTAGATTAACAATGAACTTACATTCGTTCTGCAAGGTATTTCCAAGAAGTTTTCTTCAATCTTTTACGAACATCTGACAGGACTGATTGTTGAGCATAAAACCACCAAGCTCTTTGCCAACCCTTAAGTTTTCTTGATAAAGGATTATTCCAAGGACGATAGCGTCCATACCTACAACATTTGAAGACAATGCCACAAAATTAGAGTTACCCCGAGTATTAGAAGATACAGGTGCTTGTGAGACAAACTTTAAACCAAATATAAACAGTAATCAGTAGCAAAAACAGACATAAAAAATGAATTTCACAAAAAAAGAGAACTATAATGTCAGTATGCGCGGTTTTCCTAGTTAATAAAGGAAGTCCATAATGATGAGACCTTATGAAAACTCCTTATCAGTAGACCAAGGACAGCATCAATTAACTAAAAAAGAAAAAGATATAAGCGACAATGCATGAGAGCACTAATCTTGATATCCCTTCAATATTTTGTCTTCTGCTCGAGAAGGAAAAGAAAAGTGTGTGAAAACAAGTGCCCCTCCATAAAAAGCTATGACATATAAACAATGAAACAATCATGGCAATAAAATACAATTACAAGGTAAGCCGAAAAGAAAGGTCATCACCAAGGGCCTTGTGGCCTAGTGGTGCGTCCTCTCGCCTTCCAAGGTAGACGGTCGAGGGTTCAAGTCTCCATAGGAGCAAAATTGGGTGTATGAGTGTGTTTCTTGCCAAGGAACATAAAAATAAAATATATATATATATAAAAAGGTCATCTTCCCTCAACAAGTCAGGGTTGTGTGAAGTTTTACTATAACATGTTCTTCAATTTCCATACAAATCTCACATTTGATCTGTCAATACCTGCAAATATGGAATCTGCTATCCAATCTACATTATTAACATTTTCTCATATACAGTTGTATTGATCCATCATAATTCAATTCAATTACTTTTTCCAGTAAGCTTTCTTATATCCAAAAACGAATATAAAGAACTTCCAATCAGCTGAGATGAGTAAGTGCTAAATAAAAACCTTGAGAACCAAAATCCAATGATCAAAGATAATGACTCATGTCCATTAGAACATGGTAGGTGCGAAGGTAAAAAAACACTCACGCCATTGTCTCGCAAAATTTTAGTTCCTCCTTGAGAGTATGGCTTCAGTAGAAGAATGAAAGCTGAGAGAAGAACCAATTTTAATACACTCGCCCACCCTACCAATGTAAAAGAGAATTCATGTGGCGGAACCCATTCTTATGGGATTATGATGATGACGATGACCTTTACCCACTCTACCTATGTTACCCGGACTCTTTTACATGTGGTCGGGTTCAAGTGTACATGTTCTCGGGTTTGTGATGTAGTACGAGAAAGTAGGCTTAGATGGTATGAAAATATACGTGAAGCAAAAAATGCACTAACAAGAAAAGGATCAAACATGTTTATTTTGGCCTGCCTCTTATCACAAATAGGTATCACACATAATTATCAAACATGTCAATCAATAATACTGTCTTTTCTAGCTACTCCTATCATTCATCTCAGCATTCTCATCTTGGCAACACAATTCAGTGTTCTCTTTTTCTTTTTCCTTTTTTTCTTTTTTTTTTTCATTTTTTATCCTGGCATTTTACTTCATAGTAGAATCTCCCCTTCAGCCTATTCAATATTTTCTAATCACATAGGATACCGCTAGCTTATATCAAACTTAATCCAATCCAATATTCCATAGCCCTTATCTTCCCGAACTTTGTGTTTTTGATTCTAAACATCAAAAATAGTTATTTTGAGTAATCCCATGACATAGAATTGTTATCCTTAGCATTGTTGAATTTACTTTACATGTATTTTTTTTACTTCTACTACTTTGTAAACCTTTTAACTCTAAATTCCTCCGTATTTCCATTTTTACTGCTAGAGCTTCCTTATAAGTGTCGAATAATAAATAACATTCATGATTCACCATGGAATGAGTCCTTGTATGACTTCTATTATTTCATCTAAATTTTGGGCTTAGTGTTACTCCTTGGTGCTTGAGGGCGGGCCTTGGCGCAACAGTAAGGTTGCTCCATTGTGACCTAGAGTTCAAATCAAAAAACCACCTCTCTACATGTGGAGGTAAGGCTACGTACATCTAACCCTCCCCAAAACCAGCAATAACAGGAGCCTCATGCATGGGCCTAGCCCTTCTTTTTTTTTTTTAAACTCTTTGGTGCTTAGTTTTATAGAAAAATCAGTAGTTTCTCCACTTAGTTCTAGTGTCTTTACACATATCTTGCATAACTTTAATGAAATTAACAAAATTTATTTTGTTTGTAAGGTCCATATTTTGTCTCTGAATACCAATTATATGCCTTCTCTAATTCTGTGAAAATCATGCGTAAATCTTTCTTTTAGAATCCCCCATTATTTGGCTTACAGGGTAAATAGCATCCATAGTAGATCTTCCTCACAAACTCAAATCAGTAATCAGACAATTGATTATTTCCATAATCTTTAAGCTATCACCCTTTCCTATAAGTTCATAGTATGACTTATTAATTTGATTCCTTTAGAACTGCCATAATTTTGTATATCCCATTTGATAATTGGTAATATAGTGTTCTCCTTCCATTCATTTGGCTAGTTCCGTCTTTCAAAATTTTGTTGAATAGGTTTTGTGAGCTGTTCAGTTCACACTTCCCATAGTTGTCACTCCTATATTATATATTTGACTTATCATTACTCTCAATTTCCTCTCTAGAATATTCCTAATTTAACTATCCTTGAAAATAGTTTTCCGTGTACTTAAAATGTATTTGTCATTAACTAATACTGTCTGGTTTATGTCCCAAGTGCATCTAACAGGGAATAAAAAGGTGCAAATTCACAATTAATACCAGACTCGTAATATCATTCTTCATCTTTGACTGATGGCAGTGAGAAGTGGAAGAAAGAAATAACCCCATTCCAATATTTGAAAAAAGGTAAAGGTCCTTTCACCTTTGTGTATATAGTACTCCACAAGATCCTAAGATAGTTAAACAAAATGATATCAATGATTGCTGGTCTGGGAAGAGATCACCTCCGACGTATCAAGAATCTTTACAATTCCAGACAATATATTCAATGAAACAAAGAGTTTATAAGATTTTCCCCATCCTGGAAACTCCAAAATATCTAGAACACAGCTAAACACCTCTGAGACTAAAGTCCCAAAACTCCACAAGTTCGATAAAGTTTCAGCCGTTTCTATGCTCGGGGATTATGATCCAGGGTTTTGTACTACGGAACTCTAAATCTGTAACAATCATCCTTCTTAGGTTGCTCCACCCTACAGTGCTCCTGCTGCATAAAAGTATTTCAATGTACACTTGAAAAGAAAGAAGAAAAAGGAGAAAGAGAGATAGAGACATGCACACACACAAACATAGTGCTTCTTTCTCCATGAGACTATTCCATTAACTCTGATCATTATCTTTAAACATCAACCAAAACCGTAAAAAGGTTTCTAAAATGTGCTCAGCAACCTTACCTAAAGTTGGAGCTCTATTCTTCATAAAGAAACCAAGTACCAACACCTCCCATTATTTTTACGATGTTCATCTAGACACATTCTTCTTTTTCAGATATTATGGAATGTCAACAAGCCAAACCCTTACAGTGTGCAGTTCAAAACAGTGGACACTTAAGTAGCTTAAAAATATGGAAAAATAAAAAATAAATAAATAATTGAGAACATTAGATTCTAAGGCAACTTCAACAAGCTGAATTTTTTATCCATTTATTTCTCTTCAAAACAATGATTTACACTTATTCTATGAAAAAAAAAAATCCAACCAAATGATTACTGATAGATGAATTCTCATTAAATACTAACTTATTTAGAAGTCAATGAGAAAAGAAGTAATATTCACAAATGCTGATGACATGGTACCAAACTTACTTCTCTCTTAGTCGACATGTGCAAAGATAATCCCATAGAGTCAAGATTCTTTGCAGCTGAACCTCATCCAAAGACATGATCTAAATTGCAGCACAGCAGAAAATGGCCATGACACGTCAAATGTCAATCAACAAACTCAAAGAAATAGTATTTTATTGAAAATGACATAGCAACACTGAACCAACCAAGCCAGTTATCTCGCCGTTTATGGAATATTGTGGAGCATCGTTCTCAAGTTTTCCAGATCTGTTCACCTGTATAAAACAATTAAAAACAAAAATCAGCATAAACATCATGAAAATCAAACAATAATCCTACTTACATATTCTGTGTCCGTGTGTGTTGTTTGATCTATATACATATGCTCATTGTTCACCTATGTTTTACCATGAAAGCTTACAAACTAAAACATACAAATATATACTATACAAAGAGCGTGTTTTTAAGTATACAGTGAAGATGCTTTGTGTAAACTTGTGTGTGTGTGTGTATAATTCATATATACACAAACATGAATGGAAATGGACCATTATTGATACAGTATAACTTTATAAAACATTTTACAATTAATAGCAAAAGAGCATTCCAGTTTCAAAACTTCCACCTCAGAGCAGTACAAGCATTCTGTCATGAAAAAAATATTTGATATTTCTGAATAAATCAGTCACGGAAAATTGCTTTCCAAGACTCCAAAGGGACAACGAAATTCAACAAAAACAAATTTTAAAATCTATATCTATATTATAGATAAAAATAAATAAATAAATACAGCATAAACCAACATATGGTATATGCAAACAATTTAGATTGTAGAGATGCCATGGAGAGACAGAAAATAAAAAATAAAACATAAAGAAAGATGGATATTATGATGACTACGCTAAATTTGAAAAAAATCAAGATTGAGTTGATAACGTCAATTTTTTTTTATCTCATCCAAGTTATCAAACTCAAAACCCCATATATTCATTTTCCAAGAATCTCACAAAATCTAAAACACTACAATACGACAACTGCAATAGTCATCACCATCAATAACACGCTTTCACAAACCAATTCAACTTTATATGAATCCTAAGTTGTCTCGGATTCAAACTTTAAAGCCCTCTCACTTGACTGAGTGACTTGAAAAGTATAGGTAAAACATCTGGACATAAATTCTGACAAAACAATACTTAACCTTTGACGGCTATTCTGTGATAAAGATCAACAAATACAATAGCATGCCCTAACGTAAGCGGAAGCGATAAATTTATTCACAAGGAACGGTTTACTTTGAATCCACAAAGTATGATGTTTTGAATCCACAAAACGAAAGATGATTTCAAAGAAATCTGATATTTATATTGATAATTGAATGAATAAAAGTTAATTCTGCACTTGGCAGTACAAGCATTTATAATAAAAGAAAACCTAACACTAGAAGGAAACTAAAAACCTAATAGCATAAGGAAAATAACACTAAAAATAAGCCTAAAAATAAAGTTTCTCCAAAAATTCTGAAAAAATAGAATAAGAAACCTAATAAATAAAAAATACTAAATCTAAAATTTTATAGCAATCCAAGTTCGTTAAGGCCTTAAACAAAAATCCCGAAATAATTAACAGGCCTCGTATAAGACGATAAAACGTGATTTCGGAGCCCTAAACGAAGGTTTTCAGCCGAAAACCAGCATGGCCCACAAGCCAAAGCTAGTGGGTTTTTATCAATGCGTCGTTTCTACTCAAAAAACACTATTGGTTTGTCGAAAACGGACTTGTCGAACTGTTCAGAATTCTGTCCTACATCAGTCTCTTCTACTTCAAAAAACTCGTCCTCGAGTTTGGCTGCGCATAACATAAATTATTGTCTACCACTAAATCATATTGTTCACTGCCATGAGAATCTCCAAAGCACAACACCAAAGTATTTTCATTAGCACCTTTCCGAATAAAAATTTCTTCACTTGCAATCTGTTCAAATAATGATCCTTCGCCAATTTGAATCTCAAATTCATCAAAACCAACTTGGACATGCAATTTAAAATTTTCTTTGACCCCATCATCAATTGATTTAGATTTTTTGCTTTTAACGTCAAACTTCTTGTCACAATCTTCTTCTTTTGCCGCGTTAAATTCCTTAACGGCATCAACTTCAACAACAAGAGGTGAAACAACAAAATTCTTCTCATGATTAATCTCAGAGTAAGGTGGAAGAAACTTGGCTTGCAAAAGACGTTTCATCTTTAACCAAGATTGTACCGGTGCTTTTCTTTGTCGTCCACGAGAAACTCGCAACTGTTCCTATCAATTAAAAGTTATTCCTTCCAATTTGTATGCGACCAACGCCACCTTATTTTCCTCTTTAATTTGTATGTAATCAAAGAACCTCTCAAAATATTCTAAACAATCCATAAAATATTCAACATGAAAGAGATCATCAAAACTAGGAGTAAAATTCCTAGGATCATAAGTCCCATGATTAAAATATATTCCTGTGTCTTTATGACCCCCAAACACGTCTTCAGTGTAATCTTCATCATCATCACTGAATTCATCCTCGTTGGCTGGCTGCCTACGCGACGGGATGGGGTTGCGATTCCGGACAGGATGAACGCGATCTTCGTCAACGTTACGAAACATGTTGTTATCGCGGTTATGCTCCAACTCAAACCTAGCAAGCATTGCTTGAATATCTTGCAATGTTGGCCGGGTTTTATGTTGATAGCCTTGAAATTCGACTCTGAAAGGAGCCACTCTCTGTCGATCTTCGTCGCCAGTGAGGTTGCCATAAAAACGATCACCTACCATCAAACCAAGAAAAGACAAGGCTCTGATACCAACTGGCGTAAGCGGAAGCAATAAATTGGTTCACAAGGAATGGTTTACTTTAAATCTACAAAGTAGGGTGTTTTGAATCTAAAAAACAAAGGATAATTTTAGATAAATCTAATATTTGTATTGATAATTGAATGAATAAAAGTTAATTATGCACTTGGTAATACATGTATTTATAATAAAAGAAAACCTAACACTAGAAGGAAACTAAAAACATAAAGAAAACTAATAGTGTTGGTCCTAATGTTCACCAAGTGGTGTTTGCCTATTTAATGTCAAAAACCAGTGAATCAGAGCTTTCAAGGGCTTATACAATCAGCATTGTGGTGCACAGTGGCTTAAATCATCACACAGGGGTAGTATTGTCTTTTACCATCTTGTGACACAATTGCACCAGGGTCTGAGATAGTACATTGCAACCTTTATACCTACTCAGGCTATTTTGCTGTGTAAATTGAGGTTCAACACATGACAATTGGCTACAGGGATTTTCAGGGGCACTATGGTCTTTTCACTGTTGTATTATATGTTTATACATGTGTCTAGATAGCTAAATTGTATTGAACAGTTGTTGTTGAGCCTACATTGTGATTTATACAGTCTCAGGACTTGTATTATGCTGAGAGTGACAAGTGGTTGTTACAAGGGCATTTTGGTCTTTCTACATGAAGCTCGGGTGTGTGACACGTTGCTGTGGTCCTAGAGTGATATTGTATGCACTACAATTGCATTGCTTAAGGGCTAAGTTTGGATGAGAATGCTATTACAACCTCTTTTTTTTTTTTTTTTTTTTTTTTTTTTTTGATAAGTAAAGAATGCTATTACAACCTTGTCCCTATGAGGTGTAATTTCCGGTACACTAGAGGGCAAAATAGCTTAGGTGGCAAGGGTGTATTGGTCCATTCACATGAAAAATGTCAGAACATTCTCTGTGCAATGATTGGCTAAAGGTGACAGGTGTCTATCCTTATTGAAGAAGGACTAGTGTAGTGAGCTTCACTATATATATGTTGTGAGAGTGATTTTAGGGTTTAAGCCTTTTGTTGAAAACCGTAAAAGTGACCTGCATTTCTATATACTCGAGAGCTCCAAATGAGCAAAGATTTCTAAGGTTTTGATGATGATCTAAACCAGAAATATTCACTGAATTGATCTATATAGCTATACTTACCATGGAGGATGAGTTGCTGTCAAAGTTGCTGGTGCAAAGGCTGGTTTGAAGGTTGAGATTGAGCCTGAGGTTGTTGTGGTGCCAAGTGAAGGTTGAGACAGGTATATTTGAGCTATTTGCATTTGCTAAGCACTTGTTTTTGAACTACCCATTGCTGCAAATTAAATCTTACTCTCAAACCTATGATTAGGCTTGTTTTCTAGTTTAGCCTTGTGATTCATATAGAGATTGATTATATCTTGCTATACAATGTTTGATCTACCTACTAGCAAGTTTATATTGATGAATCAAGGTTGTTAAAGTTTATTTGGACAGAACTTTGGTTATCTCAAGTTCTTAAGTGAACAGTTGATGTCAAGCCTTATCTGTGATAATAGTGGTATATACATGTTGTACTCTTCATGTTTATCATCTGAGCATGTTTGTAGTGATGATATAAGGTTGTGGGATTGATTACATAATTTTTGGGACACGGATTTCCCATTTTACCCCTCAAACCCTAGTTTCTACAGAAAGGGCTTTAGAGGTTGTAAATTAGTGTTTTGAGCTGCACAACTATTCTTATATTTTGTGTATGCTTGAATATTATTGTTATAAATTCATTTTAATGTAGATCTATGAGAGCTTGCAGGGTCCAGGCAAGGGTGCTTAGGACAGGAGGAGTGCAGTGTGCACTATGTTGAGCTAGTGTGTGTGTAGAGGCGGTGAAATCTAGTGTTTCAAATTGTACAAGGGGGTGTGCAGAGTGTGAGACAGTTGAGTGTGTAACTACTTGCATACAGCTAGTGGAGTTTATTATTGGCTGAGGCCAAGAACCAAGGTTTTTCCCTATTGAGAGGGTTTCCTTGTACATCTTGTGTTCTATGCCTTGTGTGTATTTGTTGGGCCTGCAGTGAACTTGAAGAAGTTTATTTTGACCAATTCCCCCCACAACCCGCCTCCCCCCCCCCCCCCCCCCCCCCTCTTTCGGTCTAACAAATATAGCAAAAGGAAAATAACACTAAAAATAAGCCTAAAAATAAAGTTTTTCTAAAAAATCTGAAAAAATAGAATAAGAAACCTAATAAATGAAAAATATTAAATCTAAGATTTTAAAGCAATCCGAGTTCGTTAAGGCCTTCAACAAAAATCCCAAAATAATTAACAGGACTCATATAAGACAATAAAACGTGATTTCAGAGCCCTAAATGAAAGTTTTCAGCCAAAAACAAGCATGGCCCACAAGCTAAAGCTAGTGGATTTTTCTCAATGCGTCGTTTCCACTCAAAAAACACTATTGGTTTGTTGAAAACGGATTTGTCGAACTATTCAGAATTTTGTCCTGCATCATGCCCACACTTTAAACTTGACCCAAGCAAGCTCGGCATGCCAACACTTCAAGCTAAGGTTAAAAATTTGTTCATATGATCAATGGAATTGGAACTACTAACTATTTAAGAATTTATTTCCAAAAAAAATATTATTAAATACAACTTGCATCAAAATTGAGCAGATGAATGGGAAAAAAAAAAAAAAAATCTGATTTGTCAAATTAAAAATATATATATCCAAAAGATTTTATGGAAGCTCATTCATAAAACAATACCTTCAATGCTAAAAAACAATTTCACAACCTATAATGCAAATACTAATATGGATAGCAGTGCCTAAAATTGACATGATAACAAAAAGGAAATATTAAAATGAAAAGACCCATCAAACTTCCATACCAAAAGAGATGCAGATAAATCAAATGGGGCCAATATGTAGATATATTCATCCCCTTCAAATCTTGCATTGTCCCAAAACTTGGAGTCCCCAACAGTGTCATTACTGAAATCAAGATTTCCATGGAAGGTGCTGCAATAGATTTCCAAACCTTGAATCTCCACAAGTTTGTTAACTTGACTCCCTCTCACCTTTATACTAGAGAACCTGACAAAGTAGATAAAGATGAGGCAGAAACAATTTTATTTTCATTAAAATAAACAAATTTTGTTATGAGCACAATGAAAACCTAGTATATATCAGAGAAACTTAAAAGCAATTATTTTCAAGAACGATAAAATCATATTTTCTCACTCACCAAAACTCCCAAATGAACAAATAATTGAACGGAACGACAAAAAGAAACGAAAGAAGAAGAAGAAGATGACGATGACGATGATAATTATCTAGGTTCCATAAGTTGACTGCAGAGAATGCATGGGTATGAGTAATGATAACCCAACAAAGCAGAGAGTAGAATTGAGATAGTGGAGGTATACATATAACCCACAACATAATGATATATCCCTCTATCCTGACAAGCAAAGGGGGGTAACCAGAGAGAGTCACATTAATAAAAGTAAGAGCTGTCCAAAAGCATAGTTATTGGATCAAACATATAAAGCTGTAAGGAACACTCAATATGCTAGTGATAATTTCCAAGAGAAGATGGGATGATGAAAAAATACTCCGGTCAAGCAATAAACCAACATGGATAAAATTGGTGATTGAAAGATTTGAGATTTTGCAAACTGAAAAAAGATGCTTGTTTTATGCTTGAATATGATGATACGGTAGCAATTAGTGTTACAGCAAACCATCTTCCCTGCTGGTGCAAACTAGGCAACAACATAGTTTATACTTATGCAACATTATGTACAAAAACTTTCAGAATGTTGAAAACATTACCAAGTATGAATATGTTCAAAAACAACGAATATAAGGGAGGAAATATTAGAACTGAGTAATAGATAGATATTGTTGAACACATGAAATAGTAACACGATTGTGTTTTATAATCCATATCCATAATTTTTTTTGAAATCTTTCAAGGGAACCTGAGTGCAAACCAAGTTAATGATCATAACACGAGCATGAACATTTAAAACAAGTTTCAGCTGGAGGCAATTTAACATTTAAAACAATGCTGAAGTGTCAAAAACCATTGAGAATTCATAGACATAAATAACCAGACAACAAATGCATCACTAGTAAGAATTTCTTACGTGCATGAAAAAATACAAGCATGTAACATTTATTTTGTCAACAGTTAATACATTTGGAGTTAGAAATCCTTTCATGAGATTAAAACATTCAGAAACCACAACTACATAACAACAATTTTAAAGTTCATCTAAAAAAAAGGTACAATTGAAGCATAAGTAGAGTAATACCCAACGAGATTCTGCTTCATTATTGTCAGGCTGGAGAACTTTAAACCAAATACAGTATGTCCCTGAAAAATTCAAGAAAAATAATTATTACTTCTTTTTCTTTTTCTTTTTCTTTTTCATTTTTTTTTTTTTTTTGGCTGAGGGATTATTTCAATTTTTTCAGAAGAAGTCTAGAAAAATATTAAGTTATTAACTTACAATGTAATCAATAAAAATCAAAATAAACCTTAAGTAATGGAAAACAACCACTAAAAATCATGTTATATGCAAATGGTAAGCTAGCACTGAGTGTATTTTCTTTTTCCATGAAGTGATATTTTATCAAGGTTCTGCTTCAATTCAAAATATCCAATAAAAAAAATTTTTAAAAAAAAGGGGGCAGGAAATTTTTTTTGATAAGTAATAATTGAATAAAAAAAAGGCGTTCAAGAGGGGAACACATCCCTTATACAAAAGTGGAACCGGGGTTTAAGGCCCCAAAGAATCCCCAAAAAAAAATGATCAAATAATCTAAAGAGGAACAGGACTTCCTCTTCACATAACTGAAAAGAGAGCGAATGATGTGAAGTTTCAGAGTCACCGTAGATGACTCTTTCCCTTCAAACATTCTACTATTCCTCTCCTTCCAAATGCACCACCAAACACAATGTGGTACAATTCTCCAGTAATCGCGAACATCACTTCTCACGCAGCATCCTCTCCAAACATGAATCAGATCCTTAGGATAACGAGGCATAACCCAGCGCATACCAAACAGGCCAAAGATAATATTCCAACAGTCGCTCGCCAAAGGGCAATGCATGAGAATATGATCAACTGACTCACCATCTTGTTTGCATAGGCAACACCAGTTAACGAAACAGTTGCCTCTTTTCCTTAGATTATCAATCGTCAGGATCTTACCCCATACAGCGGTCCATACAAAGAATGCCACCCTAGTTGGAGCCATAGAACGCCAGATGGTCTTCCACGGAAGATCGACGATATCAAAATTAGAAAGACATAAGAAAAAGGTTCTTCCTCTGCCAACTGCCTCCTGTCGATACAGCAAATCCAGAAAAAACACAGACCTACTATCAAGCCGATAACAGTCAGCTACGTAGGCATGTCTATCAACTGCAATACTGTATAAAGTGGGAAATAAACTAGATAAAGACCGGTCTCCACACCAAAGATCCTCCCAAAAGCGAACACAACTGCCATCACGACCTTTGAATCTGATGTGAGAAGAAAAAGCATCCCATCCCTTCCGGATGGATTTCCACGCCCCTACTCCTCCCACGAGAGAAACCGGACGAGTAGACCAACCACCACTCTCTTCCCCATACCGACATGAGTAAAGCCTTCGCCAAGGGCGATGTCTTTCCTTCCCATACTTCCACAGCCATTTACCCAAAAGAGCTTGATTGAAGGGAACCAGTAAAAAGGGGCAGGAAATTGTAAAGCCATTTCTCCAAATATATATATATATATATATATATATATATATACATACATAATGATTTCAATCAGCCCATCTGCCACCTTCTAGGCTCCCAATCCTTTCTCATATCTTTCCACAACTAATTCCAAGACCAACAAACATTTATAAGGCACTTCCAAAGGAAGGGTAAGATGATATGCAAATACGACAGCTTAGAGTGATATTAGCCACCTCTTGCCACCCGAAGAACTGATTTCTCTAAGTTCACCTTAAGGCAAACTATTTATAAACATCTACGTATCTAACAGTTAAAATTATAACCCATATCAAAGCTAAAGGCACACTTCAAAGTCTTCATCTCAGATATGGCCTCAACAAGCATTAAAACAATCCAATACCAACTTCTTCCAATAAGTTGTCTCGGATTATGTATTGAACATTTCTATTTTCCTTTACAACAACAAAAGATCAAGCATGTGGCTAAAAATAAGTTAATTGTCCCAAAAAAAAGCTCCATTTGTTTCAGACTCTCTAGCTGTCTTAGCAACTCAACTGTGTTTGTCATGCAATAGTATCTCATCTTAGGGAAAGCAACTGTCATGTTAGACAATTGATTTGAGTTTTGCTATGATTAGGTCAAGATAGCATAGGGGTTCATGATGGAAATTGAACTCTTCGGAAAATGGGTCCCATTGGTCCATTAAATTGACAAAAATAGCTTTGAAGCAATACCAAGATGTTGTTATGGTACTAATGAATGTGATCTCTCGCGACGGCATCTTATTTGGTACTAAAATGAGCTTATTCGTCAAACCACTATTATCATCGAACAGTACCACTAACTTTGATCTCATAAAAAGCATAAAGGAAATCCCAATGTTCTTAACACCGCTCATGTATTTAACCATGTTTATTGTTGGAAGCAAACAAAACTAAGAAATATGGATTTTGGATCAGCCAGACTAGCAAAGTTCTGGCACACCACCTTCCATAGTAGCTTCCACAGACATAATTTGTATCATATCTAATTGAACATAGAAAAGTCAAGTAGTCACTAGCATCAACTATCATCATAGTCGTCTTTGTTAAATCATCTTCTTCTTCCTTGCCTTTATACCGTAGGAAGTCAACCAAGTCACTAGCATCAATGTCATAGACATACCACGTGATCTAAGAATGAACTGCAATGATTCTTCTCAAGTAGCAAGTTCCATAATATTGCAGCCAGAATTATCTGCAGCCTGGGTCCACTTCGTGTAAGCCTTCCAAAGCAAGGTAGTGAATCCACTCATATGTGGGTAAGACATGAACATGCCAGATAATTTTCAAATCAACACATCTTGGGTCAATCTCCAAATCAATCAGATTGACCAATGCAGTCAAATTGACCAAAATGTTAACGACGGTAGCTGTTAAGTCCAGTTTGACAATTATCAATGTGATATGGTTTCGACTCAGCTTGAAAAAGGTCAAAACCCTCAGATCTGGAAGCAAAGAACCTACCACCATCAATCTCAATAGAACTGTCATTGTCAGTGATAAATCCGATTTGATGTATTCCAATTTAGTCACCCGTGATCTGATCCACCTCTATTGTGGAAACCAAAAGTGAATCAGTAAATAAGCCCTTTGCCACTCTAGTCCATGTTCGCCGATAGCTTCAGTGGTTCGCTTCACAATTTCATATCAACTCTGTGATCGCAGACAACAATTTTGCTAGCGACTTAAGAAGAATCAAGGATTCCCAAGTAGTAATACTGAGGACCGCATCTGCTGGAAATTCCCTATTGATCGTCGAAGCACTGACGGTGTGTAGTGCAATGTTCACAACGGTGTATCGCCCTACTAAGTAGGACGTCACAAGAATTGTTTTGTGATGCTCCATTCACAATCAAGTCATGATCATACTACAATGCAAATCCAAATTATTTAAATGAGGGAGATCGTGTGGACTTCATCAGCATGGTCCTACCTAGGCGACAGCTATTCGATTAGCCAAAAAGGTCGGTAAGAGTTGCTAAAGCCATCTAACATCTTTTTCTAGAATAATGACATTTTTTTTTTAAAGTGTTTTTCTAGAATAATGACATACAACGTTCTCAAAACAACCACCACAAAAAATAAAAATCATCATGGTAGGGTATATTATCAGCATAGTGTCATGCCCCGCCTATGGAGGTTGTGCCACGCAGGCGCTGAGGAGGACGCTGCATGGCAACTACATGGCGAGTAGAGTTTCTAGAGTCTTCCGGAGTTGTCTAAAGTTGTGTGGAAGATTCTAGATATGTGTAGTATATTCTAGAGTTCTCCATAATTGTGTGTAGTAGTATGGAGAGTTCTAGAATATTGTAGATACTTGTAGATAAGTATGGAAGTGTGAAGAAGGTGGGAGAAGATTCTAGAGAATCGATCTCCACCATTGGTTAGAATGCATCCTAGCCATCCATTAGGGATGGGGATGCCTATAAATAGAGGTAGGACTTCATTTTGTAGGCAACAAGTTCTAGAGTGAGTCTTGAGAGCCTTGTAGAGAGCTTGAGTGCTAGCCCTGTACAAAGCATTCTTTGAAGTAATAGAAGTGTTCTTTCCTTGCCAACTTAAGTGCCTTAGTGTGTGTGAGTGTGCAAGCCAAGTGAGGAGAGGGCGAGGGCCACTACAACACTAGTAAGCGCACGAGGGGAGTGTGTTGGCTAAGGTGTGCACGGGAGTTAGGCTAACCAAGTACTTGCGAGAGTGGAAGCAACGTCTTGGTGCCGCACGGGAGCAACTAGAGTGGTGCTGAAACTCTAAACCCGTGACAATAGGCTGACATAACCCAGACTCCCAGTGCTTTTGTTTTATACCCGCATTAAAAAATATATTTCTCTTAGGTAAACTAGAAGAGGCCGTCTATTTTTACTTTCTAGCCCTAGTGTAGAGATGAATATGATTTAGACCTCCAATTGTAGTAGTTGTCAGCACTTCTCACCACCTCACATCTCCCCATCTCGAGATTCACAAATCATAAATCATGAGACAAAATCAATAATCCAGCCGTTATTCAAGTCCATCAAAACATGGTTTGAATATGTGATATTCCAGACAAAATGGCGAGGAGAAAATGTCATTGGAACAGTAACCTCCTGTGTGAAGCTGAAGCCACCATTAAATGTGGATAAAATTGCATGAATAGGAAATGCAGGTATTACATGCGATATAGTACAAGTCCTGCATGAAATATGGTAAGCTGAAGTCAAGGATAACTTGAGAGAGAGAGTCCCATAGACTCCACAACATCAGGGCCTTGCCTGACAGTAGTCTAAGTTTAGAGGTCTGAACTAGTGTGTTATATAAATACACTATATGGTATATAAATCGTGTAATGTCTAATGCTGTTGTTAGAGGATTTATATATTTAAGTTACACCTCTTCTAACCGCTTAAGCTTTTAGAGTAGTTGGGTTGTTAACATGGTATCAGAGCCAAAGGTTTCAAGTTCAAACCTCACCGTCACCCTAATTAAAAAAATTGAAAAACACGTGTTGGACCAAAAAGAAGGCCACGCGTGAAGGGGCGTGTTGAAGGATTTATACATTTAAGTTATCCCCTATCTAACAACTCAAGCTTTTAGAGTAGATGGGTTGTTAACAGTTGTCATTTAGAAATACTCGATTATGATTTTAATTAAATGGCATATAGCAAAAGACGGGGGAATTTCTATTTACTTGACAAATGGAAAATTCATCTCTACTACCAAATTTGAGTTTTTATTTCTTCTTCAATCATCACATGTGAACAACCAGAGTGCATGTGGGTTCTGTGTATCGAACAAATATTTCATACCCATACCCAACTCGTGTTGATACTTGGATTGATAGGAGATTCCAAGTAACATAACCTTTTTAATTGTCTTTTCAAGTATGCAATCAAAACATTTAACCTTTATTACTAACAAGCCTGTGTCCTAGCGGTACCAGGTCTCAACTTCCCAAAGGGAGGTCAGGGGTTCGAGCCTCAGTGGAGGCATGTGTGTGTGAGTACCAACTAAGAGAGAGAGAGAGAGAGAAAAAAAAAAAAAAACATTTAACCTCTATTTGGAGATCAAGCTCTCTCTCCCGGAATATACTAACACCTTCCATGAAAATCTAGCTACCACGCCAAGAAAAAGTTTGACTTCCATTCATTCTATATACAATCATGATATCAAAGATAGTCAGCCTAGCATCTTCCATATCTCCAAAATCATGTCTCTAAATGTGACATTTTATGTCCCATATGATCTTATCCTACATGATCAAAATAAGCCTTTTACGTATAAATCTCTACATGTATTTCTTTTATTTATTCGTCCGTCTTTCCAAAACTATGCCTTAGTGTGTTTGTTTACACTACTTGAGGTCCATAAATACTCCCAGTGAACATTACTTCATCAATGACAAAGGGGCTCTATCGGCGCAATGTTTTAAAATAAACTTTATTTTGTGTCTATTATACTTCATCATCCTTTTTCCTCAAACCACCAAAAATTGAAATTTCGAATTAAATAAAAAAAACACACACACACAAGCAAGAAAACAACTATATTATCTCAACATAATGAGAAATAAAACGAAAATACAAAAAATCATCAAAAATGAAGGGAAATGAGCAAAGAACATAAAAACATTAAAACAAGATGATAAAGTATACCGAGTGAGTCAGCATATCACGATATAGAGCATGGACATTTCTCATGGACACTTGGATGCCGTCAAGAATCTAAATGCCATGAAGGTAAAAATATCAGATGTGCTGTGACATTAGAAATTTATGAAACGGAAATTTCAAACGAGACTGATAAGAAATCTCCAACAGATGCAATCTAACAGGCCTGAACATGCCAAAGAATAAAAATACACAATTGAATTACTTAAATGTAATATTCAACATAACAATGTCAAATTGTACAGCTATACAAGACAATTTCACCTTCGCGGTAATGTATGAAATAAATGATTGTCCAGCCTGATTATCTGCAGAAAAGGAAACACGTTATAAGCACCAAATTTGCAATTTAAACAAAAAAAACACATATCATAGATATACATTAAATAGATGAAGAAAGGGACGAAGACTGACGAAGACAAATCATCCTTTCATTCAACAATAGAAAAATCTCAGTACCAAGGAACCTACTTTTAACATAAACACTTGTTTCGAATCAATAATGTAAAAAAATAAAAAATAAAAATAAAAAAATAAAAAAAAAAATAATAAAAAAAGAAATATTATAAGAAATTGTGTGTAAAATTACAATATAAACGTCAATGGTTGACTATGCTTTGTTAGGCACATGTTCAAACAAATGCGTCGAGCATGTATCTCATACGCTAGTGTGTCCATCACAGGTACTTCAAGCTCTTTTTAAGAGTCCATAAAGAAGGTGAATTAGTGCACTTAATAACTGGGGAACTCAAAAAATTTCAGCACATTCCAGGATTACAGGTTGGAAGAAGAAGAATTAATACTTGTTCATGTTTTCCCTGAAAAGAAATCCAAGCATTGGGAAAGGTAACAAACCTATGAGAGTATAAAATCACTACTAAAGAAAAATAAATTTTTGTTCCTAAACCATCCTCTTCAGTTCATGTCAAGGTCCCCTTCTGGTTTTCAATAGTGATCTGAATCCTTAATTTTTCTCCTTGCAACTTGTACGTCATGTTACCAATCCTTTGTGTTACTAGTCATTTATAGTATAATCCATGCACAGACAAGTAGTAAGTGTATTAATGTAAAAATAGAAACAACTATATATTAATAAAAAACAATTCCACTTGTGAGTTGTGACATTTAGAAGTAGAAAGTCAAATTGCTCACCACATACACGTCTTGATAATTTTGCCAGCTCTGCTGCAGCAAGTTTAGCTTTTTTTCCTGCAAATTCTCTCTTTTCAACTGCATCCGTAGACCACTAACAAGGAGAAGGAAAATGACTTGCAATCATAATTCTAATATACATATATATATTACATAAATACACACACATTCTCTTTAATAAGGTTTTCCATTTCGACTTTTGTTCACTTAACCATTTATGGGCATGCGCAATATTATACGCAAGAACCTGGGAACAAATAGATTGCATCCAACTCTGAAAGCGAGTCTTTTCAATATAGATATAATGGTATCAAAATTTACCTCCTGTTCATCCCGCTGGCAGGCACAGACAAATACATCCTCTAAAATAATTATGATGGGGTCCCAGCCAAGCTTTTTCCATGGAATTTTGATACTTAATCTCCCAACTCGACCTATTAAACCAATCACATTTCGATGTAGTTAATAAGAGTAATAAAAGAATTGCAACGAGCATGGTAACAATATCTTTGATGAGAGTATCAGGATTAAAACCAGTGCACATCATAACAAATCCTCTTATAGTATTGAACTTAAAACAATGGCATGTCAAAAACAAATCCTCTTTTTCTTTTATTGATAAGTAAATATAAAGGCATAGCATGACCATAAAACTATGGATAACCACATCTAATCTCAACAAGACATTAATACCTTAACCAATAAAACATCTTTGCTTCTACCATATCTTCTCATTTTCTGTACAGAAATGTCCTAAAAAGGTTTGGGAGGGGGGAAAGAGGTCCAGAATACAATAAGAGGTCTCCTGACTCTCCTCTAGAAGAGTAAAAGGGGGAATATAAACACCAAATAAATAAATAAATAGATAGAACTGCAAGAACATGTAAAAGCTCGTTACACAAACAAAGAAGCTAGGGGGATGGAAATGTCCCTTGCTGCTCAAAGGCTATGTGTACCGCCTCTATAAGAAAACACAACTAGGTAAAACACCCAAAAATACCCAACATTCATAGGACTGGTAGGTATCTATGAAGAGTATAAAACATTACATTAAAAAGAAGAAAGTGTACCCAGATTTGTCGCATACCCTTATTTATAGTTTCATATAATTTAAGCAAATCAGGAATCATTTATTAAAATCTCAATGGAATCCTTCCCATAATGGTTTGATTGAGTGTACAGAATAAATGACACATCTAAAGAAAACTATACAAAAATGCTAATAGCTTTAGACACTTTTGTTTCCTTCATGATAGAAATAAACCAAAGCCAAAATAAATAAATAAATAAAAAGGACAAAGAAGAAATATATCACTTATTCAGACCAAAATTTAAAACTGTAATATTATTATAGCAGCAGCAGTGAAATTAGTAGAGTTTGGGTTACGACACCTTGCTTCAGAGCAAATGGCAGCTGGAGATAATCAAAAGCGTCAAGAGTCAGATCTACATTCTCCAACAACACTTCTTCTGCATGAAACATGAAACCAACTTCCAAATTCAACCATCAAAGTCAGGAGTAAACATGTCAAGTAAACAAACAAATGATCATGCAACACTCCTACAGACAGCTAAATCAGAAACAATTAGTACTTTTTTTTCGACAGCTCTACCATGTATTTAGCAAACACAAAAAAATATTCCCGTGAAAATAAAAGCAAGAACTTAGCCCAGACCCTAATGTAGAAATGTTACAGGTTAATGATAAGAAGGATAAAAAATAAATAAACAAATAAATAAACTGGTCCATTAGTTTTATGCCACCAGATAAGGTGTGCAGCTCTAGCCAATTTCAGTTGTTGGATTCTATGGTTAGGATAAGGAACAAGTTGCTTTGCATGTACATACTTGCCCTGCAAAGGGTAGCAGTAAGGTAAAGGGGGAAGTTAAAGGATGCCAAAAGGTAATGACCCAAAATCACAGGTGGACCTGATAAGGTTGTGCAGTTGCAAGCATCCTTTGTCATCTTATCATTAAGTATGCTAGATAAATATTAGACAATTGAATGATCCTCTAAATCCAAAAATAAGCAAGAAAAAGAATAACAAAGACAGCATTGATTTTTTAGGAATTGTAAAGACCAAACTCCTCTGTCGCTCCATACACAGAACTCCCCTCGTGTGAGAGTAATGATTGTAAAGTGGCAAAAGCTTGTATCTGTGATACTGTGACTGGGTTACAATTCATAATGAGGGCATGGTAAAGCCAGCAGAATTTGTGTGTGATGGAAGTGTTTGGGTTGTGATGAAGTACATAGGAATAGGATTACACAGTATGAGAGAATGCTAAAACCAGCAAAGTTCCTATCAGGAGCTCTGCTAAAAAAGTCTGCCCAACAATTCTTTATGGCCAAATGAAAAAGAAAAAAGAAGGATGCTGCAGCTGCAATTAAGACTTGCCGGGCACGTAGCTGTTCAGATTTCCTGGGTTCTTGTTATGGAGTTTCATATGGTGAGGAACAGAAAATTTGGTTGGAAGGCGCTTTGGTGGAGGATGGTTTCATTGGGTCTTTTCCGGAGTTTATTGGCCTACGGAGGATTTGTCAAGGCAGTTGCTATGGGAGGAGCTGGGGGATAGTGGAAGGCGATGATTGCTGCCGTGGTTTATTGGAGGGGATTTCAATGTTGCTCGCTCTCCATTTGAGAGATCGACGGGGGGTAGGTGGACGTCTGACATGGAGTCCTTCTCGGCGTTTATTGATGAATCTAGGCTGGTCAATTTGCCTATGGAGGGAGGGCTTTTTACTTGGTCTAGTGGCCGTTCTCCTCCTACCCTCTCTCGACTTGATAGATTCCTTGTGTCTGGAGATTGGGAGGAGAAGTTCTCTGTTGTTGTTCAGGCTACCTTGGCTCGCCCTATCTCAAATCATGTTCTTTTGATGTTGGATTGTGGTGGGTTGCATAGAAGGCGATCTCCCTTCAGATTCGAGAATATGTGACTTCGTGCTTAGGGCTTTCTGGATAGGGTCCGATTATGGTGGGAAGGGTTTGGGGGTGGTTGGTACCCCAAGTCATATGCTCGCGGGTAACTTGCGCCTTCTTAAGGAGAATATCAAGATTTGGAACAAAGAAGTCTTCAGGAATCTTGTTTAGAGGAGGAATCGGCTTTTTTCTGAGATTACTAATATTGATCGAATGGAGGGTCAGGGGGTCCTGGCGGACTCCTTGAAGGTTAGGAGGGTGGAGTGTCAAGCGGAGTTTGCTGAGAATGCTATCATGGAGGAGATTTCATGGAGACAAAAGTCTCGAGCTTTGTGGCTTAAGAAGTGTGACAGGAACACGAAGTTTTTCCATAGATTGGCCAACGCCAATAGAAGTGGCAATCATATTGGGAGCATCCTGGTGGAAGGGGAGTTATTGTGCAAGGAGGATGAGGTTTGCAAGGGTATTGTTGAGTTCTACGCGAAGCCGTTCATAGAGTCTGTTGGGTGGAGACCATTGCTCGAGGGGCTTCAATTTGATTCTATCTCTAGTGAGGAGTGCTCTGGTCTGGAGGAGCCTTTTTCTGAAGAGGAAGTGTTGGTTGCTTTGAAGAGTTGTTATGGGGATAAAGCCCCAGGTCCTGATGGGTTTACTATGAGATTTCTTTTGGAGTGCTGGGAGGTGGTTAAAGGGGAAGTGATGGGCACTTTTCATGCTTTCCACGCTCAGGGCTCTTTTGAGAAAAGCTTGAATGCCACTTTCATTGCTCTCATTCCCAAAAAAAAGGGGGGCACTAGATGTTCGGGATTTTCGCCCTATTAGTTTGGTGGGGTGCATTTATAAGTTGATTGTCAAAGTTCTTGCTCATAGGTTGAGGAAAGCGTTGGATGGAGTCATTTCTGACTCTTAGGATGCCTTTGTGGGAGGCCGTCAAATTCTAAATTCAGTTCTTATTGCTAGTGAGTGTGTGAACTCCAGATTGTACAGTGGGGTTCCGGGCGTTCTGTGTAAGTTGGACATCGAGAAGGCGTACGACCATGTGAGTTGGAGCTTCCTTCTTTATCTGATGGAGAGGATGGGGTTTGGAGTGTGACGGAGGAAATGGATTCATTTTTGTATTTCCAGTGCTCGTTTCTCCGTTCTAGTGAATGGAGCTCCGTCAGGTTTTTTCACTAGCTCGAAGGGCTTGAGGCAGGGGGATCCGCTTTCCCCTTTCTTGTTCCTCTTTGTGATAAAGGCCCTCGGTAGGTTGATGAGGAGGGCTGTGGAGTTGGGTTTTCTGAGGGGTTTCCGGGTAGGCAGGGATGCCGCTAGTCAGTTGGAGATCTCACACTTGATGTTTGCAAATGATACTTTAGTACTTTGTGATACGGATGTGTCCCAGCTCAAATATCTGAGATGCGTTTTGATCTGGTTCCAAGTTGTTTCCAGCCTTAAGGTGAATGTTCGAAAGAGCGTTTTGGTTCCGGTTGAGGAGGTCCCTCAAGGTGATGTTTGCCAGCATTCTTGGTTACTGTACAGGTTCCCTTTCCCATTTCTTATTTAGGGTTGCCCCTGGGAGCTCCCTCAAGGTGTGTGGGGGTTTGGGATCCAATTGTGAATAGGTTAGAGAGGAGGCTGGCAGAGTGGAAGAAGCCGTACCTCTCCAAGGGGGGGCGGGTTACTCTAATTAAGAGTATCAATTCTTGCCTTCCTACTTATTTTATCTCTCTTTTCCAAATTCCCTCCTCTATGGGGGAAAGAATTGAGCGTTTGTAGCATAATTTTCTGGGGGGGGGGAGGTTAAGTTTCACCTTATTCGTTGGGAGCAAGTGTGCAGGCCAATTTGGAATGGAGGGTAGGGGCTTAGAAGATTGGTGCCTTTCAATACAGCTCTCCTTGGGAAATGGCTGTGGAGGTTTGGGGGTGGAGAGGCATTGGCTTTGGAGGAGGGTCGTTGTGAGCAGATATGGGGAGAGTAGAGGAAGGTGGAGTTCTCTTGAGGTGCGTGGTACTAAGGGTGTGGGGATTAGGAAGTTTATTCGGAAGGGCTGGGCTAATTTCTCCAATCATGTTCATTTTCGTCTCAAGGATGGCAGGAGGATTAGTTTTTGGGAGGATGTCTAGTGTGGGGACCTTCCTCTTGCTCTCGCTTTCCCACGACTGTTTAGGATTGCTATAAATAGACAGGTCATGATGGTCAACTGTTAATATTGTTGATTTTTTGGCCTCTTTGAAGGCTTAGAGGCTCTTTTTGCCTCTTGTTGTTCCTTTGGGATGCGCTCCCCTTTTTGAGCGCTTTTTATACATTTCTTTCTTATCAAAAAAAAAAAGTTTATTGAGTGCCTTTATGACATCCAATTAGGTGATCTGAAATTTAGATGTATCTTTGTGTTCACTACAAGAAGGGAGAATACTGATTATATCGAGAGTCAGCTGGATGGAATCATTGTAAATGAAAAATTACTCTTTACATTTCCTCCGACCCAAGCAATTGTGTTGGTCAAAGAGCATTCTAATGTTCCAAAAAAAAATGCTTGGAAATGTGACCATGGCCCACGAGTCAAATTGTACACCTCTCACATGTAATTTGAAGATGAATGTTATAATTCCCCATGTGATAATACCAGCAACGGTCAAGGAGATGGAAAGGTAGGTAGTGCCGTACTTTTGAAGTTCCATGCATCACATTCTAAGCAAACCTCGTGCCATTATGTTATCTTTATATATATTACCATTTGCTTCTTTATGGTTCAAACACTAAGCAGTATCCCCTCAAGACAGTATTAATGGAGAATATAATTAATTAGATAAAGGGATATTCATTTCCAAAGGACCAATTTTGGAAACACTTCAGTAAGATAATTGCATTGATTGTTTATGTTTCTTCCATCGAAGTATCCATGAACACTGATTTTAAGTCGTACTTGGAAAAGGCATCATGATGTCTCCGAATCTTGGTCCTATGGTTCAGAGATGTGGACAAGGTTATTGACGCAAACGCACACGCAAGGCCATATCGGGAGTAATGTAACAGAATTGGTTATCATTGAAAGTTCATATGACTAAACCCAAGGCTCTAATGAGATTAGCACAATGCCCACGATCTAGACCTAGAGGGGGGCAAATAGGTGTTGTTGGTTGAATCAATTAATTTTAACTATTTCTTGAATTTAAACGAACTTAACAGCAAATTTAAATTCAAATCATAATATAAAACTAAAATCCAATCAATCCATCATTCAAATCGTGCAATAAACAACGGACGCAGAGATTTTTACGTGAAAAACCCAACCTGGAAAAACCACCAGACGTTTACCTCAACATCAATTTGACAATTCTTAACAGTCCAAAAAGCAACACAATGCACAATTTTAAGATAACGATCACAACTAACAGAGAATAAATCTTTACTCGAAACAACCCAAACAAGATGAAAATATTACATTGTAGTTCTAATATATTATTTTTTACCACCACCAAAAAAAAAAAAAAAAAAAAAAAAACATTAATAATATAAATTTATAAATGAATAAGTTTGGTTTAGCTAACCATTCCATAAGGTAATCTTGAGCTGTTCTCTTTGAATGTCTTTAATATATCGGCCAAGATAACCCACAATAAGTTGGCGAACAAGTCCTTCAAACATCGCCCTATGAAACCAACTAACTTGGAAAGAAAAAGCAAATTTATTATTAAAAAAAAAAAAAAAAAAAAAAAACCAATACAAATAGGTTAGGGATTTCACGTTGAAATTATTCAGAACGAATTAAATTGAAAAATAGAATTTGATTGCAAGTTACTTTAGTTGTATGAAGCATACATTAACTAAAGAATCATAGGTGTGAATTTATATACCTTTCTCAAGAAAAATAAAAAACTTATAGAAGTTCCGGAATCAATTCAAAACCTCCCAAGTTGATCAAGGGTCATTGGCGTGAGTCGACAAGGTCAAGATCGAAGACAGCAGACGAAGAATGGAAATAGAGATAGAAGGACTCCCGCGGCGAGCGGTGTTGGATATTGAAAGTGCCGTCGAGTACGAAGCGGCGACGGCGACGGCGACGGCGACGGCGACAGCAACGGCGGTGAGGAGGGGAGTGGTGGTGTCGACGGGTTATTGAGTATTGCGTATACCACACATCGCCTCTTTTTTATTACCCAGTATGTGTTTTTTTTTTTTAAAACCGGAAAGAGAACCCAATTGTTCAGTTTCCGGGTCAGTCGCGGGGGACCGGATGGGATCCTCTTATCTCCTGACGGTTGATACGTTGATCCTGCGGCTATCGTAAAACCACGTCAACAAAATTGTCAAATAGTGTAAAAAAAAAAACACTCTTGCCGGTTTTAGGAGTGAACTATTCTGAACTCACTGTTTCACTCGAGTGTCTGACTCTCTGGCTTTCTGTCCAAGTTAGGGTTGAATCAAATATTCAGGATTCATGTTTCAAGTTAGGGTTGTAGTTTTTGGATTTGAAGTTTTTAAATAAAAAAATGTTCCACCTCTATCCAAAATTATATTTTTTTTATTTTTTAACAAGTCAAGGCTGTGTTCCTTTCGACGTAAAATATTTTTTTAGAAAAATATTTTTTTTTCAAGTAAAATATTCTTTTATTTTTACTTTATTGGTATTTGGCAAAAGTTTACGTTGAAGTTGAGACATATAAAATAACTTGTCGAAAATTTATGAATACATTTTTTGTTAAATTTTAATATTTTTTTCTTCGTAAATATTTTATAACAAGCAAACACCATAAAATATTTTTCGTTTATGTCCAAACAAACGAAGCCTAAATGTTAAAACTTTTTTTTATTAGCAAAAAAACACACTTACACATTCACTTTGCCTGCCTTTTTAAAAAATTGATTCACTTAATGAGACCCATTTTATTACTTAATTTTAAGTGATCGAAATTTTATGCATCGTCTGTAAATTTATTATTATAAGTCTTTAGCATTCAATATGCCTAAAATCAGTGTCACTTAAAACTTTCATTTATTTTTAAATAATAGGGCGAACTGCAAATACCTCCCCTTTACTTTCACCTCTTAGAGCATCTCCAACCCGCCTGCCATATGGGTTGTCAATTCAAAATATAACAGGTGGGTTAAAATTATGGTCTCCAATGGGCTGCTAAAGTACCTGTCAAAATTTGGCATTGCCATTTTTTGTGGCAAATCTAGCACAAGAAATAGCTACTGCTATTTCAAAAAAACAAGAGAAAGGGAGAGAGGGAGAGAGGGGCGATGGAAACTGAAAGATATGGGTTTTGGGTTCTATGGGTTTTGGGTTCAGATATATATATATATTTAAAAAAGATCATAAAAAATTTCACCAAATAGGATTTAGTTTGCAAAACAAGAATTACAGACCTTGATTACTTGATTTAGAAAAAAAATTAAAACAAAACCATACGTACAAGTTAGTAGTTGTAGAGAGAGAGAGAGGGGGGGGGGGGGGGGCAAGCTTGAGAGTTGAGAGACAGCGGCTGAAGCTTGCGAACGGCGAACCCGAACTAGAACAGCGGGCGATGGAAACTGAAAGATATGGGTTTTGAACTTCTGATTCTTGTTGATTTTGTAGTTTGTAGTTGCAAAGAGAGAAAGAGAGGGGGCAGTTTCAGTGTTGAAAACGAGAATAGAGATGTATGCGATTAGGGAAGCTGAAATGATTTGCCCTAAAACTATAAACGGCAATTTGGGAGGCTGAAATACATATATATATATATATAATATATAAATTTTCGAAAAAGAAAAAAAATTATATAATAATATAATCAAATATATAAATTTATACATACATATATATATATATATATATATATATTTGGGCCCTTTTTTGACTAAAAATTTTTTATTTTTTATTCTTTTTAATTAAGTTTAATTTTAGTTTACTTCTAATGTCTACAACTGCCTAATATTAACATTATTGGTGCAAATATGAATGGTGGGAATGGTAATTGAAAAATAATAGTGGTTGTGTCAAAAAATAACATTTTGCATAAAATGCATCATTAGAGCATAATTGCTAAAATGTAACATTTTGACATCGTAGCGCTATCAAAATATAGATTTGGCATTCAATTTAACATTTTACCATTGGAGACGCTCTTAGCAAATAACCCCCCTTGGAGCATCTCCAATGCTAAAAGCTATTTTCAGCTACTAAATCTTTATTTTGACATGTGCTACAGTGTCAAAATGTTACATTTTAACAATTCTGCTCCAATGATGCATTTCATGCAAAATGCTATTTTTTGACACAACCACCATACTTTTTTAATTATCATTCCCGCCATTCATATTTGTATTAGTAATATTAATATTAGACACATTCCAAGTCAAGTTGTAGACAACAGAAGAAAACTAAAATTAAACCTAATTAAAAAGAAACAAAAATCTAAATATCTGGTCAAAAAAGGACCAATATATATATATATATATATATATATATATATATATGTATGTATGTATGTATAAATTTATATATTTGATTATATCGTTATATAATTTTTTTATATATATATATTTTTCTTTTTCAGAAATTTATATGTATTATATATATTTGAGTATATTATTATTAAAAATATATATATATTTAGGGCAAATCATTTCAGCCTCCCCAATCGCCTCCATCTCTATTCTCGTTCTCAACTCTGAACTCCCCCTCTCTCTCTCTCTACAATTGCAAACTAGAAAATCTACAAGAATCAGAAGTTGAAAACCCATATATTTCAGTTTATCAATCTGTCTGCAAGAAACAAAATATCAAAACCCATATCGGCATATCATTTCAGATTATTCAAAAACCCATATCTTTCAGTTTACATCGTTGTTTCAGTTCGGACTTGCCGTTCGCAAGCTTCAGCCGCTCTCTCAACTCTCAAGCTTGGCCTCTGTCTCTCTACAAGTTAAATTGTATGTATGGGTTTTGTTTTAATTTTTTTCCTAAATCAACTAATCAAGGTCTGTAATTCTTGTTTTGCAAACTAAATCCTATTTGGTGAAATTTTTTATGATCTTATTTAAAATATATATATATATATATATATATATATATATATATATATAATACCCCTAATTTTAAAAGGATAATCCTGGAATTTATTTAATTGTTTAAGTGTGTTTTACTTTGTTTTATTGTGAAATTTGTTTGATTTAATTGTGAATTAATTAGGTGAATTATTTAATGTTTTGTTTGTGTTTGCTTATTTATTTTAATTGTTTATTTATTTGGATTTTCTTTTATTTTAATTGACTTAATTGTGTCTTAAATTGTTTGTACTTGTTTTATTTCGTTAAATTGATTTTTATTGCATGGTTGTATTAATTTAAATTATGTTAGATGTGTTTTATTAAATTAGGTTTTTAGAGGTCATGTAGGTAGCCGATAGAATTAAACATTAATTAGGTTTTCCATGGGCCAAATTTTCAGTTTAGGGTTTAGTTAAACCAGGGTTTTGGCGTAAACCTATAAATATAGGTATTATGTTCGATTTAGGGTTTGAGAACCCTATTCATGGCATACTAAAACAGAGAGACGTAGAGAAGTCTGGGAGAGAACAGAGACGGAAAAGCTTAGAAGAAGAACGTTGAGATTTTTGAACCGAATCTCACAGGCAAGTTCTAATCTCAACTCTATCTGGTTGACTCGTGTTCTTTGCACGTTTAAAACAACTATAGGATTTAATAAGGATTAAAATTAAACTGTGTTCCATGGTTAGATGATTATGAACAGGACGTGTTTATATACTGTATATTGTTTTTGTTTTAAATTATTTCTGGTGTAGATTCTGTTTTAATTCATGTAAATTGATGAATAATGAATTTTAGTAGTTCTATAACATGTTGGAGAAACACTGGAAGTAATTTAGTTGCAAGGTTGATTTGCTAAAACAGTTGGTGTTCATGAATGAAAATTATCCTGGTTTAAATTCCTTGTGGCATAATTGATGTATAATAAATGTTGTTGAGTGAGTAAGGAATTTAATTATTTCTTTAGCATACTAGAATCTAATTAAAACACTTAGGAACCCTAGGGATGAAGAACAGTTCGTCGGAAAATCGCCGGATGTGAAAGAAATGAATAACAGAGGAGAGAGACGGCTCACAGGTTGAAGGAGCAGGCTCTTGGAGGTCTTGGAACCGGCTCTAAGACTAGGAGAGCCGGCTCTTAGCAAAGAAAAGCAGGCTCTTTCAGTTGGGTTCTAGTTTTTGGTTTTTCTGCGACGATTTTGGCTACGGGGCTTGGATTTTCACGTTTTCAGATTCTGTTGGAAGCTGTATTGGAGTGTTTTGAGATGTTCTAAGTCTTATTAACGCTTCAAAGAGTGGATTAATGCAAGATAAATCAACAAATGCTCGAGCTTAAACCGTAGATAATTGTTTAATAAACTAGTTTACTGTTCTTGGATGGAAAAGATTTTAAATTTCTTACAATCTTAAATAGAAATTCTTTGAGTAAGTTTCTCTGTTAATCAGGTTCTAATGATATAAAATAAGTATGTGAATATTTATATTTTAATATGCTTATTTGGAATTAAAACGGTTTACTGTTTCTGGATGGATAGTATTTTAAATTGCTTGAACCTTAAGATAGCAATTCTTAAAAATGGTTTGACAGATAATTATGTTACATGTTATAGAACTAAGCATGTGAACTATTATATTATGTTATGCTTACTTGAAGGTAATTGGTTTACATGTATAATCTGTAAAATCAATTAATGTATTGTGCGGAGTAGTTTTGTCTAAGACTGTTAATTTACAGAATTTTTAGCAGGCTTGATATGGAATAATTGATGCTTATGTTTTATTATTTCTATTATCAATTGTGGATTTTATGGATTAGTTGATAGTTATAATTGTTATTTATTCTATCAACTACTGGATGAATTGGATTGTATGCACCGGTATGTGATGGTGACATACCAGGAATGGTTTAGTTACAAAATACTAAATCCAACCTGAATTAAAATAAGGGAATGGATTATAATTAAATTATACTTATATTTATGCTAAGTCAAAGAAGCTGCACAAGCTGAATGACTAGCTGGATTACTGGATATCTATGTTAAGTTTGTGCAGTTAAATAAGCTGAACGACTTACTAGATTTATTATGGATGGTTATGAACAGATTTTAAATATATTATTATGGTACCGTGACATGAGCTTAAGTCTCAGAGTCGACGGTTAGGGAACGTATATGCAGTAGGACGCGTAGCTGGCTATGCTGGTTGTGGTGTATCCTATTAGGCTTAGGCAGTCATGCCCACTCAGGTTGAGACCCGTGTCATAGTCCAGTGAGAGTCCATAGTGTAGATATATGTATATACACGACTTATGTAGTTATTGTTGAGTTGGTTAGAGTGTATATGCGTATCGAGTCTCTGCTTGGATTGTAGTAGGTTAGAACTTGTTCGTGGGCCTGCCCACTCCTATTTTTTCAGATGTACGTCAGTTCCAGGCTTGAGTTTGTTCGTGCTGAGCAGAGACGATCTTCCATTCTACTGATGATGTAGGACTTCCCTCCAGATATTTGATTTGGATTTTATCTTCGGTTTACTTTCATTTCAGTTTGGGATTTTTATTAGGGGTCCACTAGAGATGGATTCCCGAGTTGTTAACTTATGGAGATTTTGGATTATTGGGATTAAGTATATTTAATATTAAAGGATTTTATATTTTAGATTTCTTTCAACTTAAACTATTGTTTCTTAAATTTATTTTGTATTCCATGTTCGTTTTAACATATTAATTGTTTGATATCCCTCGGGTTTGGGCCTGGGCCTGATCAACCCGTGTCTCGGATCCGAGGGGTATCACAATATATATAGACGAATTTGGATTGAAATTATGTGTGTGTGTGTGTTATATATATGGGGGGGGGGGGGGGGTTGGTGTTAGAGAGCGGCCAAACAAATTTGGCAGCTCTTATATTTAAGAGAAATTTTGAGATTTTCAAATTTTGAGAGGCCAAATGAAAGGCCATTGGAGTAACTTTTTTTACCCATCTCTCAAATTATGAGTTGAGAGCTCAAAATGAAAGAGCATTGGAGATGCTCTTACGAAATGTTTTAGCAAAAAAACCCTCAACTATCACGAGGGGGTATTCCAATTGATCGGTTATTTTTTAAGATAATTTTTTAGACCAAATTACCCCTCTGCAAAGTCAACTGCAGAATTTGTTTGTTTCTCCCACAGTCATTATAATTATTCCCACACATCCATCATACATGTCCTTGTAGTGTAATCATCCATCATAATTATGGATAATTCAGATGCATAGATGGAAAAATTGAAAAAAATCACAAAAATGTTACATGTGAACTTGTGTAGTGAAAGCACAAAAGTAATATACAAGACAAATAGTAAACCAGCCAGGAATCCACAAGGAAAAATATATTTTCAATAATGTTGTCACCAGTACCATCCTACCACTCAAGTTTCAAGCATTTGGAAGAACAAACTGGTCAAAGTAATATATATATATATATATATATGTTAAAGTAAAATATACTTTGAAACTGGTTGTGAGAGAGTTCAATGAAACCAACAATATCAGAGCCAGGAGATCAAACGCATACTTCCTTAGCCTGGAGGGTTGTTCTCTCTCATGAGAGTTCTCAATTCTGCTGAGTTCTCTGTCCGATCAGAGTTTTGTTTTTATTTCCTGGTGCTGTTGTTCTGTGATCTTGCTGTGGGTTGCGCGTGATGCTTGTTTCTGGTTATTCGCATTTCCGTTTTCTCTTTACTCGTGAGGTTTTCTTATTGTGGGCTTGGTGGTTTGGTCCTGTGTTGTGGTGGTCTCTATTCTCTGTTTTTGTTTAGGTGGGTTCTCGACGGCGTGGTCTGGTGTGTGTTTTTTCCTCTGTTCTGTGTTGGTTGTTGGTCGGAGTTCGTCGTCGACTCCGCTCGTGGGGGTGCTCCCGGATGGTGTGGTTCGAGTTCTGGTGTCGAGTTGGACAGTTTCCTGACTCCTATCAGATGCTATTTCCATTCGATCCTGGTATTGTTTTTAACCTCTTTGTTTATCTCTACAATCTGACTTTTCTTTTGTGTCTTTTATACACCGTGATCTATGGTCTGTGGGGGAGTGGTAATGGGATCAGTCATATGTCCGGCGTGATTTAGGGGTGCGGATGTTTCGCTTCTTAACATGATTGGAGGTGCTTATATTTTGTTGATGGATACTCCGATGATAAGGTTTTGCCAGCGTCTATTCCATTCCTTCCGGCACGTTTTCCTTCGCCTTCAAGCCATCCTCGGTTTGCGTGGTGTACGGTGACGTGTCCACTTTTTCCTCACACCCAAGTTAATCTTGCCTACATTTGTGGTGTGTGTAGGCAATGTTTGGCAAGATTGTGCTGAGTTGTTAAACCCACTGTTAATCTTAACTAAATTTGTGGCCGCTGTTAAACTCACTACCTGTCCCTTCTTTGGAGTTGGGTTGGTCCAACTACAAGCCTAATTACTGCTGGGTCGCCTAATGGGTAGTCCTCTTCCTGCTAATTGTATCTGTGACTTGGCCTATGAGGGTCCACCGGTAACCTTGATCTATGGGGCTTGGATGCCACCCCGCACTAACCACACTGGCATTGACAATTTCAGTCTCGACGAGGTCGACGTCCTTCAACTTTGGTGTTTAACGATCTGTTTTTTTGGTTGTTCATGGCCATGATGCTATCAATATTGGGAGCCCTCTGACAATTTCCTTCACGGAAACACATGTTCCTCACTAGATTTCTTTTAGTCATTCAATTACTTCTCAAATCCTTTTGTGGAATATTTATCACTTGTTGCAGTCTTGGTTGTTTGGGCTGTTGTATCGTTTTCACGGTGTTCTGCGATTAAGGTATTCTCCGATTCAGGTGTTCTTGCGGTGTTGGCCGGTGTTGGTGCGTGGGAAGGGTGCTTATCCAGTCTGTTATTGTGCGTTCGGCTTCTACTGTTGCTATCCAATCCATGGATGGGCTCAACCCAAGCTTGTTCTCTACGCTTCCTTATCCATGTGTTACACTGTGTTTGTTATCTCCGTTAGGCTCTGTTTCTAGTTGCGGGTCTTGTGGTCCTGTATTGTTGGGTCTTATGGTCCTGTATTATTGATGTGGTTTGTGTATAGTTTGTTTTATCTTTTGTGGTCCTTTATTGTTGGGTTTTATGGTCCTCTATGTTATCTCAGTTAGGCTCTGTTTCGTTTGTTTGTTTGTTTTAGATGTGGTTTGTGTATCGTTTGCTTAATCTTTTGTAGACACGGTACACCAGGCCAAAAAAAAAAAAAAAAAAAAAAAAGTAAAATATATATATATATATATCAACTTTGAAAATAGTTTTTGCTACTTCGAGTTAAAAGGCAATACAGTAGTAGAGAATATCACAACATTACCTCATCAAGAGGCTTCTCAAATTGAAGGTTGACGCTCTCAGCATGTGCACGCATAACAGGAACTCGTATACAGGTTGCAGTCACTTTAACATTTATGTCATTCTACAACAGAGAATATCAAGAATGGATAGATAAAGAAGCTCATGTAGACTGCGAGCATGTGAGGAGTTAACCATATCTACCAAAGGGCTTGAACAAAAGACGCCGTCCATCACAGTGGAAAAAACATGTATTCAGTTTGCCATCAAGGGCTTCACATAGTCGGAGTCACACCCACAACACTCGGTTTTGGCACTTCCGTCAGCACAGCGCCACCACCGCTTGCTGCCACGGCCGCGACCTCCACATCCTTGGCTACAATCCTTCCATTTATCCCATTACCCACCATACCACTCAAATCTATCTTCAATTCCTTTGCTAGCTTCTTCGCATACGGTGAAGCCATAACCCTCTTCCCTCCCACAGACGCTGGGTGTACTGACACCACCGCGACCTCCACTTTCTCCAACAAAGCCACCGCAAGAGGCGTAGGCAGAGGAGGAGGCGAATCTGAAATTTCAGCCAAAGAAGATGGAGAAGATAAAGTAGACGAATTACTAGACTTCGATCTAGCTTCGTCTATCTCTCCCTCTAATTTGACCCACCACACAATCTTGCCCTCGGTCATGGTGGAGCTCAGCGCCGGCATGAAAATCTCTCTGATCTTCGATACAAAATTTGGTATGACGACCTCTGCTGAGCCACATCAATCTTCAACGAAGGCCTGCGGTCGTTGAATCTCTGCTCAGAATTCGATTGACAGTCAAAATTTGGTTGTGACAACCTCTGTTACTTTGATCATTGGAGGATGCCGATCTCTGTTGATTGATTTTGGGTTTTGAGTTGAGATTTTGGGTTTGTTAGTGGCCGCCGTCGGCATCAATGATTCAGTGGAGAAATAGCTGAGCCATTTTCCGGCGATCTCTCCTCTTACAGTAGCTGCGGATGATGTTGAGGGGTAATTTCGTCTCAAAATTTGGTTAGAAAGTCGGTTGAAGGGGGTTATTTGCTAAAACATTTTATAAAGGAAATTATTTGCTAAGTTAAGAGGGATTATTTGCAGTTCGCCCTAAATAATATTTAGAATGTATCATCTACCGCGATTAATACTCAACATATAGTATTGAATTGAGATATTAAACAACATGATGGACTTCATATGGTAAGTTGGGTAGCCTAGCTTATAGAGGCATTCCACTAAGTTGTCTAAGAGTCCAAATTTAATTCACTTCATCCTCGCCTTAAAAGATAAAAAATAAAGGAAAAATTACGTTTACATAGAGTTAGGAGTTTTAAATAACAAAATGAATTATTTTAAAAGTTTATTTTTTACTTTAATTGAATTAAGTAAAATAATTACATATGCATCAATAACTATTGCTTAAGTCCAAAATATCTTCAAACACTTATTCCAAAATACTAAAAATTATTTCCCTTAAATCAAGTACTTTCTTAAAATAATTTATTTGCTTAAAAAATTTAGGAAAACAAAATCTTTCCTTTAACTTTAAACCATATTGCTACAACTTTCATATATACACACTATAACTTATATATATAATAAAAAAAAAAAGATTTAATATAGTAACAAAGGGGCAATTAAAGGTTAGTCCCCAAAAAATATATATATAATTACACTCGAGAATATATAAATTGTCTTTGTTGTGGTGCATGCCTTGAGATGATCATCAATATTTCATGTAATGAAGTAACTATTTAGTTTTTTCATGATATTCCCCTCCTGTGCGTGTATACTGTATGTGTATGTATGTATATATATATTATATGTGTATTTATATATATTCATAGGAAAGTTTTTACATTTGCATGTTTATATTAGTATGAATTATGAGATATGGTTACAGTTATGTGCACATAAAATTAGGAGATATGGTTACAGCTATGTGTACATAATTTTATGTGCACATAGCTGTAACCATATCTCCTAGGAAGAATTTCCACTTACCAAAAAAAAAAAATCTATAAACAATGAATTTCCACTATTATTTGTATATTTCTAAATTGACATTTGCAGGTTTGAACTAATATAGATTAGGAGATACCATTAAAGTTTTTTGCACAAAATTTATATAATATATTATATAAATGTGTGTTGTTTTTATTTTATATATTTTGGCAATATAAACACCATATGCAAAAAGGCCAAGTTCAAAGTCAACTAAAAAATATATATATATATATATATTTTTCTTCTAAATTTCATGAATGAAAGAATTATTTGATTTATGAAGGATATTTTGGAATATTGGAAATAAAAGTTTGGAGGGTATTTTGGTCCTAAATAATAGTTTTTAATGCATATATAATTAATTTACCTAACTCGACCAAATTATTAAATTAACTTTAAAAATAGACTGATTTGTTATTTAAAGTTACTAAATCTACTTAACTGTAGTTTTCCCAAAAATAATAATAGTAATTGAGTAATGATACTTGCACTCATTTGTTGCACCAGATGTTTTTGATTGGTTATTTATGCATAGTACATGTAAGTGGAGGGTCCCAATTCTTTATTTATGCAATTTGTTATAATGAATTGTCAAATTTATTTATTTTAATTGGTTTATGTATGCATAAATAAAGAAGTGAGGTCCTCCACTTACATGTACTATACATAAATAACCAATCAGAAATATTCAGTGCAACAAATCGATGCAAGTATCATTACTCATAGTAATTTACATGATGACTTAGAGCATCTCCAGCTGTCTGTTAAAATATCCTTTTGTATAAAATATAAACTTGTCACCTATCATGTGTAAATTTTTTCCATCTCCAGCAATCTTTTAAGATATATTGTCACATCACAAATGTGTAAAAGGGTTGTGTATTTTACACAACGATTTTACACTTCCATATCAACATATTTCATTTCTCATCTATCTTCTCATTCCATTAAAGAATTAACTATATATTAAGTAAGTTTGTAAAAGTTATGTGGGGTCCTGGCATGACATATGGCTAGTTATTATTGGAAGATATATTTTTACACAAAATGTATAAAACAACCGTTGTAACTCAAATTAAATAATTCAATTTTTTTGTGTAAATCCATCATGACACATCAGATTTACACAAAAAAAATATACATAACGGTTGGAGATGCTCTTACATCACTTAATAAGAGGGATGGATAAAGTTTCCCAAGGGAAGGAAATATGTATCCTTTATTTTTTAGTTGAATGGAATAGATAGTAAAAATGAGGATGTGGTGATGCTTTTTCTATTTTTGTCGGAGGTAGGTAAAGAAAGTTTTTATATTTTTTTACCAATATACCATCACTTTATAAAATAATAAAAGGTAAATATTCATTTGATTTTTTTTTTAAAGGTTAACATTATAATTGAATATTTGTAGATAGTTATTCATTTTCTCACTCCTTCCTTTCTCTAAAATTGGTCGGATAGAAAAACATGAAGGATAAGGAATGCTTCATCCCTCCTTGCTTGCTTTCTCTCCCTCCTCCGACCAAATACAAAAAGTTTCATCCATCACTCCTCAATTATTCCCTTGAACCAAACATAACATTAATATTTGCTTTAATATGTAATAGTATTATGCCTTAAAAAAATGTTTATAATTGTATTATGCCTTAAAAATTGTTATTTAGGGTGACCTAAATTTTAGGTTAATTACACTCACACCCTTTTAGGTTTGCGACAGCCAAATGACACCCGTGTCAAATTGGATCCAAATAACCCCTAAAATGATGTGAAAAGTCGAGATTACCTTTATTTATTTTAATTAGTTTTAATAAAAAAAAAAATAGTTGAATGTTGAAATGACTAAAATACCCGTTTTGATAATTAAAATATTCTCTCTCCTCCCTCTGTCCATTCCCTCAGTCCCTCAGCTCAACCTCCTAACACAACCACCACGACCCCATGACCAACGACAACTTGTTCGGGCCTTTATCGGTGGCGTTATGCTATTCATCGACCTATTCTTGACGGAGCTCCGATAAGAAAAAGATGAATAAGAAATACAAAAATCTAGAAAGGTAACTCATATATATATACACACACACACAAGGGCATATTCAGGATTTCTCAGTGGGGTGGGCTAAAACAAAATATATCAACCAAAATCAATTGTTGTTTAATTAAATTTTAGTTAACAAACAATGTTTCTTTAGACAATTGACTGATTAAGGCATAGAAAATCCTATTTGGGTAATTAATAAAAAGAATAACCAATTTATTTATGAACAACTCACCACTCAGTACCCTATTTCTTCTTTTGACCAATTTACTAATCCTATTTGAGAATCTACTAGTGGAAGCAGAGTGTAAGGTAGTTTGTGGCAAGCCCCTTCCAACACTGTGGAAATCACTCAAAAGCATGCTTTTTTAAAGTATTTTAATTTTCAAGAAGTAACTTTAGAGCTTTACCCTAAAAAAAAAAAAAAAAAACAACAACAACAACAAAAACAAAAATAGAAGTTATAGAAAAAAAAAAAAAAAAAATTATTTGTTTTGCTGAAATAAAAAATAGATTACAGTGATTACCTCAAAATGCAATGCAAAATTTGTTACTTTATATTGTAAATATATATATATATATATATTTTAAAACAATCGTAAAAAATTTCACCAAATAGGATTTAGTTTGCAAAACAAGAATTACAGACCTTGATTAGTTGATTTAGAAAAAAAAAAAAAATTAAAACAAAACCAATACATACAAGTTAGCAGTTGCATAGAGAGAGGGGGGCAAGCTTGAGAGTTGAGAGACAGCGGCTGAAGCTTGCGAACGGCGAACCCGAACTGGAACAGCGGGCGATAGAAACTGAAAGATATGGGTTTTGTTTTTTTGAACAATCTAAAGTGATATGCCGATATGGGTTTTCAAATTTTGATTCTTGCTGACAGATAGATAAACTGAAATATATGGGTTTTGAACTTCTGATTCCTGTAGATTTTGTAGTTTGCAGTTGCAGAGAGAGAGAGGGCAAGTTCAGAGTTGAGAACGAGAATAGAGATGGAGGCGATTGGGGGGAGGCTGAAATAATTTGCCCTAAAAATATATATATTTTTTGGTGACCCAACATGCCTATAAATTTTGAGGCCCTAAGGCTATGTTTGGTACGGTGGTTTGAAGGGAAATGATAACATTAGTTATGAGGGAGGGAAGGAAAGGAAAGGGGAGAATAATTTTAATCCCTTATCGTGTTTGGGTGCTTAATGAAGGAAAAGAAAGAAAAGGATAATAATTATGTTTGGAAGAAGGAAGGAAATGAAAGAATTTAAATAAATTTTTCATTATACCCTTTTATATTTTAAAAGTTAAATATATATATATATATATACGGGGCAAATCATTTCAGCCTCCCCAATCGCCACCTCCATCTTTCAACTTGCCCTCTCTCTTTCTCCCTGCAAATGCAAACTACAAATCTACAAGAATCAGAAGTTCAAAACCCATATATTTCAGTTTATCTATCCGTTGCAAGGATCAAAAGTTCAAAAGCTATTACCTATATCAAAACCCATATCGGCATATCATTTCAGATTGTTCCAAAAATCAAAACCCATCTCTTTCAGTTTTCATCGCCTGCTGTTCCAGTTCGGGATTGCCATTCGCAAGCTTTAGCGGCTGTCTCTCAACTCTCAAGCTTGTCCCCCTCTCTCTGTGCAACTGCTAACTTATATGTATGGGCTTTGTTTTAATTTTTTTTCTAAATCAACTCATCAAGCTCTGTAATTCTTGTTTTGCAAACTAAATCCTTGATTTTGTGTGTGTAAATTTGGCATCAGAAATTCTTCATCAAGCCTCTTCTTCTCTTTCCTTCCATTTTTGGGAGGATAAGCAAAACATTGTACAAGCTTTGAGACAACCTTTCAAAACCTTCCCTTTCCTTCCAACAATTTTTGCTAAACACAAATTTTTAATCCCCCTCCATCACCTCCCCTTTCCTTTTCTCCCTTTTCTATTGCACCAAACCGACCTAAGAGACTGCCTTTGTCGCCTTGTGTCAGGGCGGCCTGTGCTTACTTGGCTTGAGCTAATTTGGACTTAATTGGGTAAACTAATTTTAGAGTGGACTAATACTATTAATATATGTATATATATTTTTTAGCTGGGCTAAAATTAGTATAGCCGAAAAAAAAAAATTAGGATCCGCCCTTGCAACTAAAGTATATAAATTCAACATTAGGCTAAAACCACAATGGAAAGAGGAAAAAAAATTCAGAATTCATAAAATTCAATAATTTCTTGAATCGGTTGAAATTAACCATCATGACAAATTAGTTGATAAATCCACTGGGGTCGAAGGGAAGGCAGGTGGCATCAAATATATGGTGTTTATGCTTTTGTTACTGATTTCTCTATTTTGGGTTGTATTTTAGAGAGAGAAAGTATTTGTGTACAGGGAGAGAAAGAGAGGGTGGGGGTGGGATACTGGGGTGGATTAGAAATTGGTATGATATATGTATATAATATATACACACACTACACCACGGGCAGAGAGCGGACAGCTACATGACATGCGAGTGAGGGTTTCTGGTTCTAACCCACATGCCTTGACATCATATATATTGAGTTAGTTTTCTTTTGAGTATATTTTCCGGAGGATTCAAGTGATTCCAACCCAAATGGGTTGTATCTTAGAGAGAGAGAATGTGAGGAGAGAGAGAGAGAGAGAGAGAGAGAGAAGGGTTGGGCTGGATTCTAAACCGGTGTGATAATGATATATGTAGTATATTATTGCAAGTTTGTTTGATTTTTGGAGTACAAAAAAGGGTTTGTTTTGCCCATTAAAAAAATATTTAAAAAATGTTAAAATAGTAATTTCATTATTCAAATTAGTGAATTAAAAAGTTAGAACGTAATAAAGTTAATTTATCATTTACCAAAACTCATAGATAAGTGTCATTCTTAAAAAAATTGATCAATTTTCATCTGACGATCAATAACACAAATCTCATAATTATGAGTGTAATTAACTTTTATAATTAAATGCTGAATCGAGTATCAAACTATCTACCCCAAAATGAGATGACTTACTGTCACTCAAATCTCCATTGATATTTGATATAATTAACTTCGTATCATAAAAAGGTTTAACTTGATAAAAAAATACTTGTATTATTATATTATTGTAAATGGAAATATTTATATGATATTTGCTGTTCGAGAAAAGTCACGAAAGCATGAAAATTATTCGAGAGGAAAGGAGATTGAAAAAATAAATATTACTTAATCGAAGGTCTAAGTGATCAGCACGTCGGGTGTTATCGAACATCAATAAGATCAAATTTTAAGTATCACAAACAATAGAACTTTAACATTAATTGATATTCTAATTGGGTATATTTTATACGAGTTTTCATATTTTAAAATGTTGTATGATAAAATGATAAACAACGACCCAACAATTACGATATTCACAAGAAATAGTCGATAATTCGAAAAAAGAGACGGGTTATGAGTGTGAAGAGTAAAAACTTCGCCCCCTTTATTGTAGCATATATTTTTAGTAGATAAGCAACACATGCACATTATTACATGCAGGAAATGGTCTCGTATAGAGCCCGAATCACTTGTTATTCCTTTAAGAAATATAGCTCACACCACTTGGACCAATCCCCCGGTAAAATAAAAATAATTTTGAACTAGCTAATGACTGAAATATTATCAAGTTGAGTTATCTAATTAAGACACCGTGACGTAACTAAATTAAAGAGAAGTATTAATAAATAAAAACTTAATTATGTATTTCTTCCATGCTCCTTTTTTTCATTAAAATTATACTATAATTTGGGGCCTTAGCCGAAAAAAAAAAAGTGACCTTTTAATAATATATTAATATTAAATAATATATTTTTAAAAATCATCGTTGTTAATTTGTGAAATGTAAAATTACTAATTAGCATGAGAAGGAAAGTTTTGTTAGCGTAACAAAGAAAATTTTCAGGAAAGTACTTGCTTTGTTTGTAACTCTGAAAACAATTCTCAACAATTCAAAGAATACAAAACTGTTCTTAGAGAACAACCTTTTTATAGTTATCTGAAAATAAATATTTTTATAATTGAGTTTTGAAAAACAGTTTTATTAAAATTGAACCAAGTAGATATTTTTGTAATGTTTTCCATTTTCAGTTTTCTGAAAATAGAAAACAGTTTTCATAGCTACAAACTAAGCAGGCCCATTGTTGATTTTCCTGAAAAAGTTTCCTCCAAAAAACATGGTAAAATTCTAATTTCCTACGAAAGTTGTATAATTATATTTTGATATATTAGAATTCTGTTATTAGGTTACAACTTTATGGTTATTAAAATTAGGACTCTCCTCCACAATCACAAAAGAAGTGAACTAATCTAACACACTAATAGAGTCCTAATATATATTGCAATCTTATATATTTTTTTATGCTAGGTATATTATTTATATTAAATTAGTAAGGATAGGTTTGGCATATAAAATTATTTTATCCAAACTAATGAAACAATATTTTTTCACAACTTTCTTTAAAAAAATTTATGCTAACCAAATGCATAATAAGAAGCTAAATTTTCTTTTCCACTTCTTCACATTATTTTTTTTTACTTTTCACCGTCAAATTCCGACTACCCAAACATAACCTAAGAAAAGTGAAGCAAAAAGTTTATCTAGGCTAAAAATGGAAGAAACATAAAAACAAAAAGGAAATTTCAAAGCAACAAAGAAAGTTGAATAAGTCAAATGAAAAGGGCAGGCACTTCAATACATGCACTATCGTGATTTTTATGTACTCCTATATCGCCATAATATCATTGTTCAAAATTTTATTTATTCTTTTAATATTCGTCCTTATATAGATTTTTTTTTTCTTGCATTGCTGCTGATAATAAATTGAAATATTTATGGAGCTACCAAACATTTTTTATGATTTGATAATGTGATAAGTATAAAACACGAAGAACAAGCGTACACGATATGCGTGCCTTGTTTTCCTCCCATATCTCGTTCCTCTTCGGCGGGTTGGTGAATCACCCGTTATAGACTACTGAGTACTGACGGGTGGTGCCTTCATCTGCTGAATTCATCTGCTGAAAAAGAGTGGACTGTCTAGGGTTCATAGCCAAAGGCCAACAATCAATCACGAAGAGGAAGAAAGAATCAATTCCATGGGTGTGATAAAGGCGTCGATAGCCGATGGGGTGTTGACTTTCATGTGGGTGTTCTGCGCTTCTACTATCGGTGCAGTCACCACCGTCATCGCAGCTGCACTTGGTGTTCAAGGCGTGGCCTCTCTCTTCATCACCACCGTGATTGTTTTTATCCTCGTCTTCATTTTCAGCATCATCGGCGAATTCTTGGGTGGGGCCACTTTCAATCCCACCGCCACCGCCTCTTTTTATGCCGCCGGCGTCGGAACTGACTCTCTCATTTCCATGGCCTTCCGTTTTCCTGCTCAGGTTTATATACATACCATATATCCTTTTTGAAGTGCATGCACAATCATGTCCATGTCTAATGTCCCATTACTTTTTTCTGATCTGCTTTTTTTTTTTTTTTCCTTTAAAGTTCTCTCTTTTGTTTGAATATATACTTTTTTTGCTTCAATCTGCGTCAATACTGCACAATAGTTTTTGCTTTTTTTTGCAATTGAGATATGTTAATGTGTTCGAATTTTGAAATATGTGTATACAATTAATAGTCCCTCTTTATCACTCCAGTGTTAGATTTTCCTCCTATGGATGTTTATCTGTTAGATTTGTACTTTAAGAGTGGAAAATATCACTGTCAGTGTCAACTCATATGTTAATTATATTTTTTAAAGTTGTGTTGAAGAATTCTTAATGTGACTGAAAATTGAAGATTTTGCTGAGATGGAAACCCTAACAAAAGCCGTTGGTCCGGAATCTTCTGGTTCAGTTTGGCTTGGTGTTCAGTAGTTCTGGCAATAATTATTCAAATGATTATATTTATCATTCTTCTAAATTTTCCCATATAGGTTTGTTTTACATCATTTTTGACCAAGTTGTTATCCATCTTCTTTGTCAATTGCGCCATCTTTTAGTCATGGATTGGCTGCGCCCATACCAATTTATTCAAAATTGTCGTCGAAAAACGGAGAAATAGATGAAAATTCACTTCTTTTGAGAGCTTTGAGATCTACCATTATCGCGGGAAGTGTGATTGGCTATCTAAACAACTCTGCCAAGATGATTCATTCAGAAGAAGAAAACCTTCTTCTGTTTCATCCCTTGAGAAGCCATATGAAATCTACAAATTTTTAAGACTCTGCAGTGTTGATTTAGTAAAATATAAGTACTAGAATACTCCTGAGATCAGGATCGCCTAATTTGGGAATAAAAACTTGACTTCCAAACCTCAATTGAGATATATCATAGAAACAAAATAACTTGACTTCCAAACCTCAGCAGTGAAATAGGACTGAATATTGGAATCTTTGTAGGAGGTAGGTAGGGGTACATCTCCCAATTTCCATGTGAATTTGACAAGAATGATGTCTATGTACGATGTTCAACTGTCAATCAATAAAATGAGAACTAAATCTTTAGATGTTTTATAATTTCTTTACATTTATTATAAATATCCCTTCCCGGTACTGGATATTTTTATTAAGCACTCTTTTGTTTCCTTGACAGGCAGCTGGTGCGGTTGGTGGTGCCTTGGCCATTGCCGAAGTGATGCCAATGCAATACAAGCATATGCTAGGGGGGCCTTCTTTGAAAGTTGACTTGCACACTGGAGCCATAGCTGAGGGGGTGTTAACATTCGCAATAACCTTTGCTGTCCTTTTTATTGTCCTTAGGGGTCCCACCAGACCAGTTTTGAAGATGTGGTTGATTTCCATGTCAACTGTAGCGTTGATTGTTGCAGGTTCCAGTTACACTGGACCGTCCATGAATCCTGCCAATGTAAGTATAACAACTCTTTTATGTTAGAAGCTGCAGATTTTTTACGCATATGCCTTTGCCACCACCCCAAAAAAAAAAGAAAAAAAAGTGAGACAATGGTCTGAATTTTCTTTTAAAGTGTCAAATGAAAGTTATGTATGTATAAGATGCCAGCAAAAATGCATGTGATCGTTATCATTCAAAGCACAATACTTGTCAACAACTACAAAATCATGTCCAGTTTCATATTCTCCCCTCTCCACTCCCAACCCTACAACCACTTCCCAATCTTCCTTTTTGATAATCATTGCCACTGTAGATAATAATATTAGTTGTAAAAGTTTTTGCAGATTGCATTTTATATTTCATATAAATTTTATTGCTATATTTTTGTAGATTGAAAACTATCTATTGGCATTTGTTGATAATTTTACATTTGTTGGAAATGAACATGTGATATAGCTTTGTGGTGTGAATAATTTACATGGTATTGATTACTACGGTCTATTATGGTAGTAGTTTAATAAAGCATTAAATTTACTGCCACCTAGGAGAGAAAAAAAAAGAAAGATAGAGAAATGATAAAATTTAATGAATACTCAAAGTTATGTGGCTGAGGTTTCATAAGGATGCCATATCAGACACTTTTGCAAAATATGTCCTGTCTTTGTGTCTTTATCTTCTTGCATATTGAATACGAGGAGAAGCACATGCAGATCTAATATTCGGAATGAAAGGGAACTTTTATATCTAAAGCTTAAAAGAAAAAAATGCTGCCAACGTGTGTGTATGAGAGAGAGGGACTTACCTTTTTTGATTTTGTTTTTCTTTGTTTTTTAATTGTCTAATTCTTTTTATACTCTGTAAAACTTAAAATTTAAGAAGGGGATGTACAAATTTTATTGGATATTTTTGATAGTTAATATATTACCAAGCATGCTTTCAAGTTTATCCTTGCCATAAATAGTAAAGTGGATCTCAATTAAGTAGTAACTAATTTAGAATAGACAAGATCTACCTTTATTTTGGGGCTTGGGGGGATTTAGAATCAATAACCTGTGAAATGAAAGTTTTCAACTTTAACATGCCCAAAATGGGAGAATCAATATAATTATTAGATGGGAATGAATAGAAGGCATGATGCTAAATGAGTGGAGAAAAAAATAATAGTACCAATATACAAAAAATAAATTAATGAGTCGTACAATAAAATTAATGGGAAAGGGTGATATAACAAAGATTAAGGACATCATTCACGGTTTCTGATAATCAATTTGGATTTATGTTGGGGAGCAACAGCGAAAGCTATTTATTTAATGAGGCTATTAGTTAAGGAATGTGGGAGTAAAGAAAAAGATTTACATGTGGTTTTTATAGACTTGGAAAAAACGTATGGCAGGATCCCGAGAGATATAATTTGGTGGGTTGTACAAAGAAAACAATTTTCTTTATTCATAATGAAGATGCTTTTGGATATATCTATATAAGTTTATTAAAATCATATGGTAGGTTCTTAAGAGATATAATTTGGTGGCTGTACAAAGAAAGCAAATGTACAAATAATGGTTATCTTGGATATCTATATAAACATTGAAATTAGAGTCCATTCTATATATTTTAAATGAAATATAACCAAAGACTTCTAAGGAGACAATCCACGGTGCATAATGTTTGTTGATGATACAGTGTTCTTGCATACATCCAAATAAAACTTAACAAGAAAATTAGAAATTTGGAGAAATACATTAGAATCGAAAGTCTTGAGAATTAGTAGAAATAAAACCAAGTATATAGAATGTAAATTTAATAAAGATTTAAATATTGATAATATAATGGTAAATGGCCACACTTCAAAACCAAAGGCTTATTCATATATCAATATTTCATTGCATGGAATTCCACTAGTTATATCATACATTCTTTTGTATCATTGACCCTAAAAATTAAAACTGCTTATTCAATAGGAACTTATAAAAATAAATAAATAAAAAATCTATAAGTCAATGATTAGGCCAACAAGTTTATATGGGGTAGAAAGTTGGGCTTTAAAAAAGGAACAAGAATTATGCATTCAGGTAATGGAAATTAGTTAAGATGGATGATTGGAGTGACTATGAGAAATAGGGTTACTAATGAGAGTGTGGGAGAAAATTTGGGAGGGGCACCTTTTGTGAGAAAATAAGAGAAGGTAGACTTGGATGGTATGACTACATACAACGAAGACCTATGGATAACGTCAATAAGAAGAGGTGGGTTAGTTTGCACAGAAAGTAAGAGGTAGATAGGGTGACCAAAATTAACATGGGATGAAATTAGAAATGATTTTAAAATTTTGAATATTATAGGTGAGATGACTTGTATAGAAAAGAATGATGATAGAGATTAGAGAATTAATCAGACCGAGCCCATTCATACGTGATTTAGGTAGGGATGATTATGAATTGTCTTATTTGTATGGATTTGATCTACTAGGTCCCAATGTTCTTGACAGTTGTTTTCATGTCTAATTTTTATTTTTTTTGGGTAAGCAAGCAAAGCAACAACACCCTGACCATTCCTCTGGGGAGATGAGGGTAATGCCACCTAGGCCAAGGGCCTGGTAGTATGTCTACAAATTTAGTGGTTGAACCAATCAATAGAATTTCATCTTCACTGGTATATATATTTCTTATTATGTCCAATAATACAAGTATCTGTAATTCCATGTATCCTTTGCATTGTTTTTTGAACTCCTGCTCTCACTTGAGTGGGCCTCTCAACGCTCACTCGACACCATTAGACAGTATATCACTTGTAAGTTCTGTTGGTACGTGTGGTTGATTTGTTTTTTGATTATGCTTTCTTCTTTGCTAGTACCTATGTAATCTCCTTCCCCCCCGCCCAACAACCACACTTTGGAAGTGAGCTTTTCTCATTGGTAAACTGGTTTTTGAACCGTTGTGCTTTACATTTGATACAAAAGCTGTCCAGGACGACACTATAACTTCAAGCTATCCACAAAATCCAAACATGTAAAAACATAAAAATTAAACACCAAATGTGAAACAATGGAAAACTTATGATGGTGCAGTGAAAGCTTCGGCTGTCCAAATTGAGGCCTCTACTTGGTTTTGTAGATGGCATTAATTGGGTTGCAGGTGAGCAAACTGAGACATTGATGTATTTAGCAAAGATGGGCTAATACACTTCAATTTTCGAAACAAAACTTCGATCCTCCCTGAGGCATTTTTTTTTTCAAAAAAGTTTTGTGCTGGGTCTTTTCTTATAGTTGATGGATTTTTTGGTTGACTTCTTGTAAATTTGAGGGTTATTTTTACCTTTCGTTCCGTTCATACTCCTCCTCCTCCTTTCTCCTTTTCTTTTTCCAACTAAAAGAATTCTTTATTTTCTTGTTAAATATATTTCTATATATTAATACAAAATCCCTATATATCCCTGCTTATTGGAAAGGAAATCCTTTTTTCTGAGAGCTGGAGATGATTGAGAAATTTCATTTCCAATCAGTATAATTATTGTGTTTTACTCGTATTTTACAAAGATGAGGTTACAGTCCCCATGTTGAATATGAAAAATTCATATTAATTAATATCACTTTAATTTGCTTTCAAAAGTCTTTATGAATTAAGAAAGCGAAGCAACTATTTTAATACTCTCTGTCCCAATTTATTAGAACCTTTTCGGGGTTTAAACTTTTTATAGGTCATGCATTTAATTCACCGTCCCCTTTTGAAATTCCAAAGTTACTTTTTGAAAGCACGACACTAAGTAATCCAAACCAACCTACATTACTTACTAACGGTGGATAGTTTTCCTAAAAGTACTAAATACAACTCCATGACTAAGCAAAAAATGCTCATTGTGCATTAAATTCAACTCCATGATGGTGTAAATCTTGTTTTGTTATTGCGCAATCCTTCTCTTCATGCTTCTTTTACATTTGCTTAAATCAGAAAACATGCGATCTCCTAATGTATTTGTTGTAAGGTTAAAAATATTTGTGCATTAATCATGTATTAATGTCTTGGAAATTTAATTGTTAGCATCATTAATTATGTTTGTGGATGATATCTTCAAAATCTATGCCTTGTGATAGTGTTAGAACACTTTTGGATGAGAAGGAATTCTCCTTGGTTGTGGAATCAGTCAATTCCAGTTTCTGTTGGGACACCCCATCAGTGTCCATATGCTATGATAAGTAGGTAAGGGTTCCATGTCTTTGTGGACAGCATCCAAATGTTATGAGAAGAAGGCAAAGGTTCCCAAGTCTTTGTCGAAAAAAATGTAGGTAAAGAATTAAGTGGTTGCCTTTTGAATGGAAGAAAATAGAATTATCTAAGTGTAAAATACAATGACCTCCTGTGAGATTTTGCCTAATTGCAAGGAGAAAACTTTTGTCATTTTTTTTGCAATGACCCCCTTCTAATGTATTTGGTTACTTTTTCTGGTGCTTTTAGCTTTCTGTCCCGGTTAATTTATTATTAAAATAATAAAATATCTAGCTATGTCGAATTACCATTTTGCCCACTTACAATTTTTTCCCCCTTCCTCAGTACCTGCCTTCTCTCTCCTCTCCACCTCCCACCATGGCCAAAGCATCTTTTCCCTTCTCTATCTTCAATATTCGGCACACCACCACAACCACCACCATCAACACATTATCACCACAACCGCCATCTGTCATCAGGTAATGTGTCTAGAATTTCAACCCTAATTTTATCCTCTAGTTTGCCCTAATTATTCAAACACCGTCTCTCTCTAGAAGTCCAACAACGTGCCATTTCATGATAGAATTAGAAATAAGAGTGCAAACATATTCCAAGGAGAGATAATTTCAACATAAGCAATATACTTATGTACATACATACATATATATATATATATATAGCAATTCAAGACTAAATCATTCTCTCTCTTTCATATCCAACTCCTCCTGCAAAAGTCTGTAATTCCATTCTAGATCCTCCAATTCACCTCTCCAGATCTCAATTCTAAGTTTAGCCTATATATATTGTTCATTTATATACATGCATATAATAATTGGGGCCGGTGATTGATCTATTCGTCTTCGCATCTGGGTTTGAGTGAATCTATTGTAAAGCTTGAAGACGGACCCAATCATGAATTGGGTACATCGAATTGGGAATTTGTTTGGACCCAAAACGGACCTAGCAAGTTTTGGCAATTACCCCGATTATGCTTCTGTAAGTTTTTGCCCTCCCATCATTTATAATTCTGTTATGGGTTTGGTTTGTTTGGTTAGCATTGCTGAGTTTTAGCTCTAGGTTTGTATTTCGCAACGGAATTTGGTCGGGGTGGAGGGCTGACAATGATGGTGCAATGTGGATTTTTAGAGATTGAGGGATTTCACAAGGGAATTTGATTATATATATTTAACAGAGGACTAGAGCAGTAGAAAGTGGGTAAAGAGAGAGAGATATTGAGGAGTAGGTAGAGAGGGTATTTTTTTCCCATTAAAACAATGTTTTTGTTTTGTTTTGTTTTGTTTTGTTTTTTTTGTTTTGTTTTGTGTCATTTGATGACACTAGAAGGGTAATAGCATATTTCCTACTTAGTTGATGGGCATTTTAGTCACTTCAACCAAATTTTCTGACAAGAAAGACTGAATTCTGTATGGAGGGGAAGCCTTTGTAAAACCGGGTTAAACCTCAGGGGGACAATCTGCCAAAAAATGCATAAGTTTCGTACAATTGTATATAGGCTTTAACCTCAGGGAGGTCATTGTATTTTACCCTTTTCTAAAATAAGATGCTAAAAGAAGTAACAATAAATTTAGGAGATGAAACTTATATAATGTGGAATAGGAGGACAGAACCCAAGTGTCTCAAAGGAGTGGTATCATAACAGTTTCTTAGTGGTTAAAAGGAAAATGGCCACTATCTAAGAAAAGTTACAGGTGGACTGAGGATGTCCAAATTATAATACAAAAAGTTTGTGTCATAAATTTTGACAAATAAACTAGAAATGAAGATTGAAGGATACATATGTAGAGAAGGAAGTTAATGTGAAGGAAAAAAGTTAATTATTTATGAATTAGGTACAAACAGGGAAAATAATATTTACAAACTAGCTAATAAGCTAAAGAGAGGAAAACTAGAGATCGATAGTATTAAGTCCATAAGGGTTTTTGTGAAAGACCATGAAATAGAAAAAAGTGGAAAACTACTTTAAGAAATTGTTAGATGAAAATTACAGAGGAATTATAATAATATGGTAACCTTGATGAGATTAGATAAAGCCAATTTTTTGCTGTGGATCAATGTGTAGATGAAAGAATTTTAATGAGGAATATGAAGATAGGAAGGTATTTAGGATGAGAAAAAATGTCGCGCATCAACTGATTTTTTATTTTTATTTATTTTACGAAGATAATAATAACTGTGGAAATGCTCGATTATTAGTGCAAAAATATTTTAGCAAAATGGCGATATTCAAACTTGTACATATTATCTTGTATCAAGTTAATGATACATACCACAAAACTTCGAGGGAGATTAAATTTCTAAGATGTGAATCTTTAGTGTTGGAAACACTTTAGATTTATGTTGACAAATCGTGGGATAAACAAGTGTTAAATTAGTGTAGACTTGTATCTAGAATGGGCATCGAGCTCGTATCTTTTTGTCTCAATCATGGATTTACATTGTTAAAATAAATTTAGAATGAGGTTCCAAGATGAGGTTTCATGGTGTTTGGTAATTGTTGGTGATAATCTTTTAATTTATTTAAAGTTGAGATATAAATGTCTGAAGAATAGTACTATAAAAGAAAGTTATGATAAATAAGACAATTGAATTTGTGAAATGTAAATTTAGCAAAACTAAGAAATTCAAGTAGACATGTAGTGAAGAGCGAGGGTAATGAGATATATGAAAGCAAACATTTTTTTTTCATATGGAGAAATCGACAATAATTATAGTCATAGAATTAAAATAGGATGAGTTAAATAAACTTATGGCATATTTTGTGGTAGAGCTGGACTTCTAAAAATTGAATACTAAATTTTTATAAAATAGTTAGTAAATTAACCATAGTTGAGGTGACAAAATATTGAATATCCAAGAAACAACATGTTTATAGTGATATGTTAATCCTGCCAATATGGATGTTTGGTGAGGGAAGTAGGAAAAAAAACAAATGAACACATTTGTGAGATGGCAAGAGTAGCTTCCATTGGAGGATAAAATGAGAGAATCTTGATTAAGATGGTTTTGCTATGTGCAACGAAATCCATTAATGTTAGGGAAAATGAAAGATTAAAATTAACATGGCTTGACATAGTAAATAAAAGTGTGATATCATATGGTTTTATTGGGGTCATGGCTCTAGAAACATGGTTAAAGTAGCAAACTCCAAACAGTTCAGATAATGACTACTTCTTTGATATCCTTTCTCGTTATTCTTGCATTCTAAAAGTAACAACCACCTTTTGGAAAGACACTCCCCCATCTCTCTCCAATATAAATTATACAGATATCTCTTTTTGTTTTGTTTCTCCTGTTATTCTGCTCTGCTTTTAGTTGGGGGTATAATGTTTCGGATGATGGTTATGAGCACTTTTTATATTAGAAAAGGCTCACAGACCTACATTCCAACTGGGATTTGTGTCATGCACTTCACGTTCAGGTGTGGGAGGAAATACCCATCAAGCGAGCAGCTTGTGGTACAAGCACTAATATACCATGAGCGTTTGATTATTTAATAGTCTGATTAGATGCATAACTTGTGTTTGGTTGACTTTGCAGGCATTTGGCTGGGCATATATAAACAATAGGCACAACACATGGGAGCAGTTCTATGTATACTGGATCTGTCCCTTCATTGGAGCAATAGTGGCTGCTGGGATTTTCCGCGTCGTCTTTCCTCCTCCTCCAGTAAAGTCGAAGAAATCAAAGAAACCGAAGAAAGCCTGAAAAGGCGGAAGCAACTCAATCTTGTTAGTTGCTTTGGTGAAAAAATCATGCTGTGTTCTTCTTGGACATCATGTTGGGTTAGGTTTGGTTTATTCGCATCTGGTGGACCCTGAACATGGTCTTGTCAATCTAAAGGCAGTGAATTTTAAACCTGCAATTAATTAACTTCAATTGTCTACTTTATATTGCATATCAATTTGTTGCTTTACCAAGACTCTGTTGTTGGTAGTGAGGCAGTGTGTCTTAACAGTCTCCCTTGCCTCAAAGCAATTTGGTTCCACCGCTTAAGAAAACTGCTCTCACAAACTGATTTGTTAGATTGTTATTGGGTGGGCAGTACCGGTTTTTAATAGCAATACAAGGCGCTATTGGAAATGGTTGATAATGCATCTATTTATCAATTCAATCTTAACCATTGGAAATAATGGTGGTTTTAGTTTGTTGATGCATTGCTTTTAATTTTTAACTCCCAGATTGGTGCATAGAATGCTACAAGAATAGTCATGATGGCTTCATTCGGACCAAAACTGCTCATGACTTGGTCCCGTCTATGGCGTTATAACAAAAAGTGTACTTCTCGTAGCCATCTCTATCTCTCTTCTTGTGATTTCTTATTATCGTTTCCGTTATGTCCTCACCTTCTTCTATAAATATGATTTATTAATGAAAAAGAAATAACATAAGAAAAACAAGAAACACTACCCGTTGGCAACCACAATTGCTTTGTGCTTTTGTTTTGATCCGAAGCAGAGGCAATGTTTTTGCTTTAGAGCGTGTTCAACAAAGCTTGTTTAGAAATGTAAATTTGTTGCAAGATTTTTTAAAGCAAAAACATGAGAGCATGAAGTGTTGCAAATTTGAATGTTTTAGAAAGAATTTTTTTTGGAATAGTGCTTTGATACAGTACGGAAGCAAAAGCATTAGTTGCGTTTTGAGGCACCAAACGTTGAATTGAAATTGAAAAGAATTCAGTTTAAATTTCAAACTAAATTTTCTATAATTCTAAATTCTGACACACATAACATATGGAGCAGGTCATGGTCCTCACCACGTTGAGTCCATGTATCAGCTGTCAAGATGGAGTAAATAGTAGCTTCATTTGTTTGAACACTGCTCTAATTTATGTACATCATTACGGCGGTTGGAATTAATTCCTTGTTTCGTAATGATTATGGCTGCAAAGCATATCCATATTGCTGGCTGGCTGACCACTTACATTTCCACAAAACAGGCTGGGTTTTTTGTTGATCCAGACCAAAGTTGGTCATGTGGATTTCCATGATGCATCAAATCGTATGTACACACACATATATTTTGTGACTACCCTATTTGCCAATCACTTTTAGCTCTTGGATATATGGTTTGCAAAAACACGTGCGCTTTTGAAAAAGTAGGCTTGAGGAGGATGCCAAATCTACGTGTCCAAGCATGTCACAGTTCTGCATAGATCTGGATCGTATATCAAGTTCACATTGACAGAAGAAGAAGATGGTTTGGGTAGGTCATTCCATGTTTACTTTTTTTCCCATACATGTCCACCCTTATGAAGTCATATCAGTATCTATTTATTTTACACCGTCTCCTTATATGATCCGTCGTTTGGACAGGAACAGCCCTCCACCATTCCGTCCTTGCCAAGAAATTACATTGGTGAAGAACAGTTAAAAGTACCAAAATTTCTACAGTATTATTTAATGCGCTGATTTATAACCTCTGAAAGAAAGATTCAACTGAATGAATTGGTTTTAGGGATAATTACAAAATACATGGACTTTTGGATTACCAATTTGACAAAAAGGCTGATGTGAATATGAAATAATATTGTTTGTTTTATTGAATTGCTCAAACTATTCTTATTATTTCGAAGAAGAACCCATAATTTAATAAATGAATAAATTTTCAATTACCGATTATCAAAATGGTGTAAAAAAAATGATAAATGCGTGCATAGAAACTAATACATCTATTCACCAAAGTAGTGTCCATATGATCGAAAGCGATCTCATGATTTTGGTAATGTAAGGTAAAGTTTGTTTGTTTGGTTTTTTTTTTTTTTTTTTTTTTTTTTTTTTTTTTAACACATGCATCACTTGTGCAAACTTTTTTTTTTTTTTTTTTTTTTTTTTACGATTAGTGATCAAAATTTTATTTTAATCATTTATAATAGTAATAGTTCGATTAATTTGGTCACATGAATAAAATGAACATAATTTTTCTCCACCCACATCAGTTTCTTAGTCAAATTCATTTTTTTCGAAACTTATTAACTACGACTCCATGAAATGATAAATATATATTTTTTTGCAACTCGTTTTGTGACTTCTTCTTCTTCCGGTAAATGAACAGATTCTACTCGTTTTGTCACCAAAAAAAAAAAAAAAAACTGTTGCTTTTATTTTCTTTTTCTCATTCAAATTTTATTTTGTTTTTATTTTTAGGGACCAGCTGGAGGGTTTAGTAATGGAAGTTGTTCACTTTCTACTTGGACGGTTGATGGGCGCGGTGGTCAGTGGTCACTACAAATGGAAGAGAGAAGAGGGGCGGGAGGGAGGTTAGCCTATAAACTTCTGACTAAAAAACCCTACCAAACCCAAAAAGCGAATAAGTCAATATTATTGACTTTTTTTTATCAATTAATCAAAACCAAAATTAATTAATTAATTAATTACTTTTATTATCAACAGGAGACTAGATTAATTAGCTTATCCTTTAACAACTTGTGCCTGCCTTTTCAAGTCCTCTCCTCTAATATATACTGTACCATATGTATCCTCTATATATATATATATATATATCATCTGTCCGAGTGGCAGCCAACTGTCTCACCCCATGAAACACTATATGAATGTTCCCTCTTCTTCTTTTCAGTCTTAGCTCTTAAGTCTACACTATAAATAAATAATTTATCAAGTCCATAGAGATTTAAGGTTAAAGAAACGCCAACCAATGATAGTGATACTTCAAGTTGTATGATTGGCATTACTGTACACTTTTTTTATTATTGGTATTTCGTATGTATATTTTTTAATATCTATGTGTGTGTTTTATACAAATGTCATCTGGAAATTTGATGACATCATGGTCGGTTGCTCACTCAAGTGGGCCAAGTGGGCTCTAGAGGAAGACACCTAGCTAGCTTAACACACTTTTTGTGGCCCTGTGGCTTGTAATTGCCTACGTAAATGGCGTACATACACTGTGGTGAGTCAACAATATTCAGTCTTCCAATACTTTTACACCAAAAAAAAAAAAAAAAAAAAAAAACAAACAAACACAATTAAACTCTAAAATTACATTTTAACTAGCCTATTTAATCTTCAAATTTGCAATACTTTTTTTTTTCAAAGTACAAACATTGCTTTACTTCGAATCAAAACAAAACCACAAAACAACTGTGGTTTGGAGGTTTTGCCACTTTCCTAAAAGGGCAGGTGGATTGGGTTTACCTGATTTGCACTCTTGGAACAGAATTGCTATAATGAAGCACATTTGATACCATTTTAAATCCAAAGATATGTTTTGGGTCCAGTGGGTTAACACTTGCCTTCTTAGAGGAAGAAGTTTTTAGGAAGCCAAGTCCCCCAGCCAGTGTTCATGGAATTAGAAGAAGCTTCTCCAACTTAGGCCAGCTTTTAGGCTTCTTGTCAAGCTTGAAATTGGAGATGGGAAGAATACCAATTTTTGATTTGACAATTGGTGTTGCTTTGAGCCACTTCAACTCATTTCTTCCTAACAGCTTAATGAGTCACCCCATAACACCACAACCAAGGTTAGCTCTTTCATTACTGGTTCAACATGGTCGTTTCCCCCTTCCATCACCAATATCATTCCACAACTGCATATAACTAACTGTAATACTCTTAATTTTAAAAAGATAGTCTCGGTATTTATTTAATTGTTTAATTGTAATTTTATTTAATTACTTGATTATTTGACTATTTGATTACTTGTTTAATTGAATTTGTAATTAAATGTTTTATTTGAATTAAATGATTAGTTGAAAGTATATGTTTGAATGTTTTATTTGAAATGATGTATTGTTTATTTGTAATTAGTTGTAGATTAAATAATTAAATATTTATTTTATTTTATTTTATATTATTTTTAGTTCATGGATGTGGTTAGTAGTAATGGACCAACCAATTAAGTTTTATGGACTACTTGGATAGGAAGTTTAATGGGTACGGATAATTACCTATGAATAGTTGTATATGTGTATATGTGTATATATATATATATATATATATATAAGGAAAGTTATTTAGTAATAATCTGATGTATATATTTTATATATTTATATAATAAGGATATACATAGATTATGCACATAATATATTTTTAGTTACCTTTTTAATATTTTAATATTATTATTTTTATTTATTAAGTTGACTTGGATTGGGAAAAGGAGTAGGGTTATTATTTAGCCTATAAATATATAATTATAGAGTTGTAAAATGGGGTTAGAAATATATCACGTAATATATTTTAGAGAGAGAGAGAAAGAACGAAGAAAAAGGAAGAGAAAGAGGAAGAAGGATGTTAGGATTTTTATCAAATCTCTAAAGGCAAGTTCTTATTCTACACTTTTCCCTTTGTGAACTATATAATTTTAGGGTTTTTTATTCTAAAGCTCGAGCCATGGACAAAAAGTTCGAGCCTTAAAAGAAAAGCTCGAGCCATTGGTGAAAAGCTTGAGCCTTAGATGCAAAGCTCGAGCTATTGATGCAAAACTCGAACTATTGATAAAAAGCTCGAGCCATGGACAGAAAGCTCGAGCCATTGGGACAAAAGCTCAAGCCTTACCTGGGAGTTTCCGTAAATAACGTGTAAATTGTCCTTAATTGATTTTAAGGGGTCCTAAACATTAAATAGGGTTTAGGTATGAGTTTAAATAAATTTTAAATAGACTGGATCATAATGATGCATGTTATTTGAATGTTTTAAAGAATGAATGGATTTAAACTTTCTAATTTGTTATAGCAATTGAAATTAAATGTTTAGCACGTGTATTTGGAGAATTCTTACTTGACTGTGAAATGAAATATCAACATGTTTAAGATTCAGTTTGTGTGGGATCCATGATGTAGGAAGCTTAAAGAAATTATAAGTCATTCCTAGTGATAACATGATATTTTGTTATTATGTTAATTTCTAGATTATTTGATGTATTACTTTATTTGTTACATCAATTATTGGATTGTATAGATGTAGTG